GCATCCACATATTAGCAGCAGCATAAAACATTTATGGTCAACACTTTGCTTTTTAGATGGCTCTTAGCAGAGCTGCCACATTGCCATTAATTTTTCTGCTCCCGCCCCACCACCCCAACTCTGCTTTCATTTGTCTTGATGAAATGTGAAGCTGTTGCTATGCTTTGCTTTAATCCTCTTACACTCTGTGTGTGTGTGTGTGTGTGTGTGTGTGAGAGAGAGAGAGAGAGAGAGAGAGAGACCCCAATGGGGAAATTCCACGTTTTTGTTTCGTTGTGTGTGTGTGTGTGTGTGTGTGTGTGTACATACACACATACACCCAATATGCTTCTGCAGTAAAGGAAAAGATTTTCAGCCTTACAGCTTTGGCACTTTAAGGCTCTTGGGTGTTCTTGAGGCTAAGAAGTGCTGAGAAATCTCGACCAATCCTCTGGAACAGACTCGCAGTACTGCAAAATGCATCTGTGAAGCATTATTTATTTGCTGGTGTGTTCTCTCAGTTCATACCCATTCCCTTTCAGACACAACAGGGCTGGTGGCTTATAACACTCTTCGCAAACAGCCTCTCCAGATGTCCTTGTAATTGCGTGCGCCTGTGGATTTGGGCTCGCGGTGATATTAGGGCATTTATTTGTGATCCTGCGTTCAGTGTTGTTTGTGCCTGCAAAGGTTTTGTGGCGACCATACTGCTTCGTTTCTGATCAGTCCTCATGCCATAGCTTCCTGCAGAAGTTCTGTCACTTTTCATTCCCCAAATGTTCTGGTGTGTTTGTGTGTGTTCTGTTTTGGTTGTGCCATGTGGCACGAGGGCCCTTCCAGGCAGCAAAAATGCTATAATGTTGGGGAAGCAGTGCAGAACTACTAATAAAGTGGAATGATGTATTGATTGTCCAGTATAGCTCTATCACTGATGCTTTATTATTGCACCAATGGCATGTTGCAGAATATACACCCCTCCCCACAAAAAAACTCAGCAGCCTGAAGAGTCCGTAAATCATTAAAATCCTGCTCAACAACTCCCATAAATTCAACAGGTATGTATGGTCACACAGACAGTGCAAGGTAAATAAATCTCCATCACAGTAATTAAAAGCATGAAGCCTAACAGGTTGGGGGAGGGGAGGGGGAGAGAGAGGGAAAGGTGACAACCTTAAAAAGTCTCCAGGGGAAGAAAAACAGGGCAAGCAAAATGTTCTAGCCTCTAATCTTGCAAATCAAACCCAATAATCTTCTTAGCTGTTCAGCAGATCTATTTTAAATGAGCCCCCACTCCTCCCAGCTGCCCCAGCCACCTGATCTCTGACTCCAGATGTGAAGCTATTGGCTAATACAGCACTTCCAGGAAGGTTTTATAATCCAGATCTAGGCACGATATAGTTCCCTCTCATTATTACATAAATGAGACGGGAGCAACCTCCTTTGGCCACTTGGCACCACATCAGGCAAAGAAAACCGCTGTTTTCCCAATCATCAACATTTATTCAAACTTTCTAAAAGATTTGTGGGGCTGAATCTTGTCAGAAAAGCACCTCTGTCTTGAGCTGTGAGCCTTGCATTATAACTGCTTAGTGTGTTGGCATCCTGCTGTGGTTACCCAGTGGCAGCAAACACACTCTCCGCATGCTCAGAGTTATTCTCATCTTTATTTCACATTAGATGAATAGCTCAGTTGTGAGATGATCCCTAACCTCAGTAAATATACTGTTGAAATCAAGGCAGCTAAGGATCAGTGCTTTGAGCTGTTTGGGAGATATATTCTCTGAGAGATATATTCTCAGACCTTATTGGGAGGGATTTTCTTCCACACCTTTGAAATGAACCGTGAGATTTATTGTTTCAACTGAGACCACACCATTTCTGCTATTTATAGGTAAAGGTTGGAATCCTATACTTCTCTGGGAATAATAATCCACATTCCACTTAATGGGATTTTCTTCTGAGGAGACATGCACAGGAATGTACTCCGAGGTTGCTTAGAACCAACTAGCATGAAAGATAGTTAGATAGATAGATAGATAGATAGATAGATAGATAGATAGACAGACAAATAGATATATTAATGGGGTGGGGAAAAATATTTTTCCGGGCAGAAATTGTTGGACTACAGCTCCCCTATTCTCAGATGACCAGCCATGCAAATTGGGACCAACATGAGCTGGAGTCTAGCAGCATCTGGAGGGCTACATGTTCCCCGCCCCTGATTTGAAAGGATAGTCTAAAATAATAATAATAAATAGTACAATCACAGCAGGTTCACAAAAAGGACAACTAATAAATCCCACCCCATCTACTCATTAACATGAATGACTCATTAACATGAATGACTTTTTTATTTTTTAAAAAAACCTTTTTATTGATTTTTTTTTGTCAAAGGTACAGAACTCCATGCTTTCCCATATTGGGTTGATGCCTGTTCTGGATTGTATTAATCCCACGTGAATAACTGTCAGAATAAACAATTATGAAACGCAGTGAGAGATTACAGCCCTGGCTTACTGAAGCTGGCTTGGGAAGTGTGGACAGCAGACGCTACAACACCTGTTGTTGTGGTGGTGCGATCTGAACATGAGATTCTTGGCAAGAGCATCCATCCCTAATGGACCAGTTCATTCCATTGCTAGGTAATCTGCTTTTTTTTCCTTTCAGAGAGGGGAGATTAGGAAAAAGGTTGCAAGCAGCTGTTGCAGCACCAGCTGGGGTGGCTTTTCCAAATTACTACACACCCACCAGGATGGAGGGCAGCAGCCCACACACCCATCTGTCTGGAGTGATGTCACAAGTTCCCACCCACACAGACGAAGAAGAAAATCTCTGTCATTTTGTGCTAGGCGTATATTCCCTTCCACAGGACTGCCAATCCTGCCTTGGCTGACCCCTTAATTATTGCTAATCTGTGTGTCTTCCTTCCTTCCTTATTAAAGTTTTCTTGGTTTACAAAGGTATGCACAATGTCTCTATTTTCAAGTTACATTTTCCATAGGTCAGTTTCATTTCTTGAGACATTAGGATTACATTAGGAAGAAAAGGGGGGGAAGAGGCGGAGGGAGCCATGGTGGGTGGGGGTGGGGTCGGGAGGCGATGTTTCTATTTTACTTAATGTAGGTGTGGGGTTTTGTGTTAGTGTCACTTGTGTGGGTTCTCTTTACTATTCACTTGTGTTCCTTTGGTGGTGAGAAAAGTTGGGGTTGGCCTAGGGTGTGGTTGCTTGTTTGTGATTGGCTGTGGCGAACTTTGTTTTCGTGTGTGAGTGGGGTGGGCGGGTGTTTTTGGATCAGGTTAGCCATATTGATTTGTATGCTGTTAGTAGATTCTTGTCACTGTCTTGTTGGACTGTGTATGTGATAAAGGGAAGCCATACCGGGGTGAAGGCATCTTCTTCTATTTGTCCCCATGAGTTTGACCAAACTGTAGGAGGTAGTGGAAGACAGGAATGCTTGGCGTGCTCTGGTCCATGGGGGTCAGGAAGAGTCGGACATGACTAAATGACTAAACAACAACAGTTTCGGTTAATTTTTCTAGTGGTGCTGTTTCCCATACTATTTGGTACCATTGGTCCATGCTTACTCCTGACAGATCTCTTCAGTGTCTGGTTATGATGTTTCTGGTTGCTGAGAGTATAGGTGGGTTATGAGTTCTTTGTGATGTGAGTGGGCATTATTGTCTTGGAAGATGTTTAGTAGGGCCAATTCTGGGTTGTTTCTAATATTTGCTTAGTTATTTTTACATATTTCTCATATGGCTGTTGTCCAGAACAGTTGAATTTAGGGGCATTCCCACCACATGTGGAGGTATGTGCCTGTGGAGGTGCACCCTCTCCAGCATTTTGGTGAGGTTCCGGGCATATTAGTGCTAATTTCCTTGGTGTTAGGTATTACCTGTAGGTGAGTTTCCAAGTGAGTTCTTTCCTTTTCATTGATATGGATTTAAAGGGGGGTTTAGACCACATTCTGGTCCACTGAGTGGGGTTAATCTCATAGCCTATGTCATCCTCACATTGTTTTTTGATTACGTCTAGGAGGTTTGTGGGATTTTGGAGTATTATTTTGTATATTGCGGACAACATCCCTTTGCCGTGTCCCTTTGTTGTTAGGAGGAGGTTTTCGAAGGTTGTCAGGGGCCTAGTTGCTGATGATTTTACTGGATTGTTTAAGAGGGCATGTAATTGGTGGAATTATTGCTAGTCTTGATTTTTACTGTGAAAGGTTGTTGTGTCAAAGCGTGGAAATGTTCACGACAACAAACATCTCTGTTTTCATGCATTCTGTCACTACTGGTTTGCAGCAATGCTTCTTCCCACTTTGTCATTGTGGCAAGGAAAGGAAATTCATCCCCAGTGTGAGGCCACTGACACAGAGCTTCCTTATACTGGGAAATACCGCTGACTCTCTTATATTGTCTGAGCCAATGGCTGCTGAAGAGAACAAGTTCCTTTTAACTGTAAAAGGCTGTTCCCAGAGGAAGCAAAGGTCACCGTCCAGACTGAGCTAAAGTCCTATTTGTATCTCAGTATAGGGTTGTCTGTTGCTGAAGCAACATTTGAGGATACTTGCATGAATCTCCAGTCTGAGCTCAACATGGAGCTGTCCACAGTGCTACCTGGAACTTGATTTTTGCTTTGTTTTGCCTTGCCTTGCCTGAAACTGAACTTTGCCTGCCTTTTCATGACAGGGGGTAAAACTCTTTTGTTCCAGCACACTCACTCCACCTCAATATATTTGTAAAATAAAAAGCAACTGAATAAAGATAGATAGATATAGATACATAATGCTGATGGTTGCCTTAAACATGGAAAGTTGCATTATTTAGGACTTGACACCAATTAAGCTATATTATTTTCCATTCCACTTGAGCAAAAGGATTTGGAAGAGCGGATTCATGTCACTGATGGTCCCCAGCAACATGGAGAATGCCCCCAAATTAACTAGGTGTGGCCATTTGAGATGGCAGTTCTGCTACATCACACCTGCTTGTTCAGAAACAATCTCACTGAGAACTTCTCCTAACAGTTTCCAACATTTTTACTATTTTACTTTTCCCCGCTCCTACGTCTCTGAAATCACCTTGATCTGTAGAAGTTAACAGGTGGTGAATGCTTCTTTCTCTTTGGCATGGAAAACTTTGCTTGCTCGTTTCTGCAGAGCCAACTGTTGTGAAAGGCAGAGCAGGCCTGGCCGATCATTTTCTGGTCAGTTGGCAATCCCCTCTCCTGCCAATAAGAAGATACCAGTCATAGATCTGAAGGCAGCAACGTCACTGCTGGAAATCTGGGGCAATCTTCATTTAGGGAGCTTGTAGACTAGAGGAATTTCTTTTGTTACATAACATGATTTGTAAGCCAGGCTTTGCTTTGCGGCCTTGGGCTCTCTCCTCTATTGCTCTAATAACATTTGTATTCCTGATATGAAACTCTTTGATCAAAGATAGGGCATCCTGGAGCAGTATGCCTCAGAGACCCTATCTGCACTATACATTTAAAGCATGATCATACCACTTTGAACTGCCTTGGCTTCCCTTGTAGAATTCTGGGAAGTGCAGTTTAAGGATGATCAGTTGTTAGGAGACCACTGTTCATGTCATAAGGCTCAACAACCAGTGAACTCTGGGAATTAAAGGGTGGTCTAAAAGTCTGTGGTTTAACCCACAGCACCACCCATGTCCCACACAGAGCCTAGGACTTGCCGATCAGAAGGTCAGCGGTTCAAATCCCTGTGACAGGGTGAGCTCCCGTTGCTTGGTCCCTGCTCCTGCCAACCTAGCAGTTCAAAAGCACATAATCGTGCAAGTAGATAAACAGGTACCGCTCCAGCGGGAAGATAAATGGCATTTCCATGCGCTCCTCTGGTTCGCCAGAAGCGGCTTAGTCATGCTGGCCACATGACCCGGAAGCTGTACGCCAGCTCCCATGGCCAATAAAGCGAGATGAGCGCCACAACCCCAGAGTCGGCCACGACTGGACCTAATGATGAGGGGTCCCTTTACCTTTACTAAAAGTCTAACAAATTGATTAAAGATAATAGAGTCACCCACAGCCTCACTTCCCATTTGAAAGTGGCAGTGTTCTATAGCAAGGCTATAATACATATTGAAGGGAGGAGGTCTACTTTCTATACAGCAAGCACCTTCTAGCTATCATTGTTGATCATCAGCTTCATTCCACTGGAAACAGAAAGTGTCAATCCAATTGTGCTGAGATGGAGACTCCTTTGCAAAAGGTGGGCTCCCCAAAACCACCAGGTACTCTGTATTTTAAAACTTGAACTTTCCCCAGAAGGTAACCGTTTGTCACCAATGATCACACTTTGTCTTTTTGTGCTGGGATCTAATGCACTTAGAATGATGCAGAGCTGTTTAATAATGAATCTCCTTAATTCCCATATGCTCAGAGGCAAATGCTTTGACAACAGCAAGGCCAGTTCCTCAAATGACCCCCAGCTAGGGGTGTGGGTGCAACATCTAACCCTGAAAAAGTAATAGCCTTCAAAATTCTCTGTTCTCCAAGATTTTGCGGTGCCCTTTTCAAAAAGAAAAAGGGTACACGAATGCATGTATTAGAGGAAAGTGTGTATATACTGAGGAAAATAAGGCGCAAAAATAATGAAAGTGGGCAGAGTGCTTGCAAAATTGCATGTTAGGAAAGCTGCATATGCAAAATGTAAATAATAGGCCAATGTCTTGTCTAGTCTAGCATCCTGTTCTCACAAGATGCCTGTGGGAAAGCAACAAGCAGGATTAAAGAACAAGAGCACTCTCCCCTAATGTGGTCTCCAGTGGTTTGTTTGCAGAAGCATTCCTGCCTCTGACTGTGGAGACAGAACAAAGCCATCATGGCTAGTAGCCACTGATTGCCCTCTCCTCCATGAATTTGTCCAGTTCCCTTTTAAAGCCATCCATGTTGGTGGCCGTCACTCCTCTTATGGAAGTGAGTTCAGCAGTTTAACTATGCACTGCGTGAAGAAGTCCTTTCATTTATCTGTCCTGAATCTTCCAAAATTCAGCTTCACTGGATGCCCATGAATTCTTTTGTTATGAGAGAGGAGGGAAAACCTTTTCTCCATGAGAAAAAGTGAGAAACATAGAGAAACCAAAATAGACATATTCATCTCTTCTGAAATCCCCACCATTACTCCAAGGGGAATGTATGCATTATGACTCACAACACACCCTTCTCCTTCAAGTGGCTGTACCATCTCCAGATCTGGCCAGACTCTACAGCTTCCTGCACATAGGATCACCTGGTCAAAGCTGCCTGTGAGCCATGCTGTGAAATCAGAGTAAAAGAGTCCCACAGCTGGAATATGCATGGCTTAATCCCTGCTATTCTTGCTAAAGAAGTTGGACAGCTGATGAGTAGACGCCACTGGTGGTTAGATAGACCTATGGTCTACAAGATAGCTTTCTACATCATTGGAGCTTCATTCCAGCTTCTTGTGTTCATTTTAAATTAAGTGTAGCTCAGTTTTGCATTCAGAAGGTCCTGGGTTCAATCCCTGGCTGGTGGATACCTGTATCTGAAACCCTGGAAGAAGAAGAAGAAGAAGAAGAAGAAGAAGAAGAGGAGGAGGAGGAGGAGGAGGAGGAGGAGGAGGAGTTTGGATTTGATATCCCACTTTATCACTATGCTAAGGAGTCTCAAAGTGGCTAACATTCTCCTTTCCCTTCATCCCCCACAACAAACACTTTGTGAGGTGAGTGGGACTGAGAGACTTCAGAGAAGTGTGACTAGCCCAAGGTCACCCAGCAGCTGCATGTGGAGGAGCGGAGACACGAACCCGGTTCACCAGATTACGAGTCCACCGCTCTTAACCACTACACCACACTGGCACTGGAGAGCTGCTGCCAGTCAGTGTGTGTCTTGTACAGTGGTGGAGAAAGGGGTGTGTGGTGGGGGTGGTCCGCCCTGGGTGTCATCCTGGGGGGGGGATGACAAAATCTCCCCTGAGTGGATTGCCGCCATGCCAATAGGGACACCCATAGGGATGTGGCGCGCCATGGGACCTCAGCCACCCTACAGCAGACGGTCCGAGCTGTAATGGGTGCCGCGCGTGCCGTGTCCCTAGAAAAAGCTGTGCGCGCCGCGTCCCTAGGGGCGGTTCACACTGCCCCTCGGGGCACCACCCCAGGTGCCTGAGAGGCTTCCTCCACCCCTGGTCCTGTAAACACAGAAAGAAAGAAAATAATTCTGGAGTAAATTAAATATTGTCAGCTGTAATGCAGAACCTGGACAGGAAAGTTCCCACTTGTCTGGAGAAGAACAAAGGTAGCCACATACTCACTCCTTTGTTCTCAGATTATAGCTCCAAGGTTACCTCTCTCATCTTGAAGTCTAAGAGAAAAAATGTGAGGAGGAGGATGTTGTAAAGCAGGATGCAACCTAAGACGTATCATTCTAACATGAAAGAGTTAGAGAGATCTGCTCAAGAAGTTAAAGATACAGGGAGAGTCTGAAGGTCCTAACTCTTTGTCTGTTTTAACCCATGAAAACCCCTCTTCTACAAGCTAAGTTGCACCCAAAATTCCAACGTGTTGCTATCACACCTATCAGAAGCATAGTTTGTTCAAAATTCATCAATATCTGTTGGAATCCTTCAGAATATAGGATAGTGCTTCTGCAACCAGGACAGATTCAGGTCACCCACACGTACTCTCAGTTGTTCAATGGTGACCCTAAGCTCACCCTTTTATAGGGCTACTAAAGGAAAGAAGCAGTGAATAATTTGTTATTTGCCACTGTATTTCTAAGAAAATCAGTTACAGTTATATTCAAGTCTGATGGAGGAGAGCCATTGGGTGGTATCCACTGCTAGAGTAGACCTGCTAGAGTGACATGACAAATTTAGGGCCATTCATTTCAGTGGGTCTGCTTTGAGCAGGACTTAGTTTGATACAATACACTAAATTCAAATTTAAAGCTAACTGACGAAAGAAGAGCAGCACATACAAAACAGTTTGGTTCTGTTTTTAAACCAGTAACTCAAAAACACATTTATATGCTCTCTGCCTCTCTTTTCCTTGCTGCCCTCGTTGATATCTGGGGACCAATTTTTCCCCATTTTGTCAAATTGTTTTCTAATGCTTCTTATGGCTCCTGAGTAGATTATGGCTTTGAGCTTGGGAAATCTCTTTCAGAGCTCTCTGCGCGCCTGACATGGACTCAGTCAATTTAATCAGAATCTGTTTTCTTCTTTCTCTCTCCCCCCGCCCCCGCCGACAACTTTCTCCATTCACACATGCTTCTCCCAGAGTTGGTTCGCTCCCCCCTTGCCCTGCACTGTATCTTTAAGGAGAAAAGTTATGTGATGTATCTTTGGAAGGTGGCAGGTGGCGCGGGTGGTGCTGTGGTCTAAACCACTGAGCCTCTTGGGCTTGCTGATCAGAAGGTTGGCAGTTCGAATCCACACAATGGGGTGAGCTCCTGTTGTTCTGTCCCAGCTCCTGCCAACCTAGCAGCTTGAAAGCATACCAGTGCAAGTAGATGAATAGGTAGGGAAGGTAAACGGGAAGGTAAACGGCATTTCCATGTGCTCTGGTTTCAGTCACGGTTTTCTGTTGCACCAAAAGTGCTTTAGCCATGCTGGCCACATGATCCAGAAAGCTGTCTGCAGGTGAATGCCAGCTCCCTCGGCCTGAAAGCGAGATGAGCACCACACCCCATAGTCGAATTCGACTGGACTTAACTGTCCAGGGGTCCTTTACCTTGGAAGGTTATCAACAAAGTGACAAAATTCCTGTGAGTCTGGAAGAGGAACAAGGAAGAATTTCAATTCAGTTCACACTGAAAGCAAACCTCCCTAATTCACACTTTCTGAAAGAATGCACAAACCAGAATACAGCCTTTTTCCAAAATTTGCTCTTCTTTTAATTTTGCTACGCAGTTCTCCCACCAAATAAAATGTGCATACAAGTTCATAGTTCCAGAGAAAATAAGGGGAACTCAGATCAATTGAAAAACTGTTGGATGAATTAAGAAAAATGAAATTCGGATCTAATCAATGGAGTCACTTGTTTTGATTATAGGTTACAAAAAGCAATGAACAGTGTAAAGGAAAAAAAAGTATTTAATAATATAGTAGAACAAATATTATGTTAGACATAAGATTCTTTTTTCACTTAGGATTTTTATTAATTTTTCATAGCTTTAACTAATTACAGTAAATTAGACAGAAGATTATTTACCCTTCATGACTAAGCAGGGCTTTGAACCTGGGTCTCCCAGGTCTGCTCTAGCCACTACACCATGCTGGCTCATGCTGAAAAAAATGTTTTCAGCAGCTGCCAAAAAGAGGACAGTGTTAGTAGTGGGTGCCGCCACACTAAAAGACTGATGTCTTACAAATGCGGAAAGTCGTTGACATTTAGTGCGCTACGTAAAGGTTAGCCTTGAAACCACTCTCCAGAGTATTTCAGCCTAAGCATAATGAAAACACTGCCTCTACATACTTTTAAAAATGGAAAGGGGCATATCTTACATTTCAAATGTGTGCTTTATGTTTTAAAAATCATGCAGAATTCATGCAATTTTGATGTGCCTCCTTCAAAAATAAAAATAAAAATCAGCTCCAAACAGCACAGATTAGAGCTATGAATGAGGGCCAGCAAGATTGAAATGCAATTGAATTAAGCCATACAGACCATCCCTATTTCCCTGTAACCTAGAAAAATGCAGATCCTGAGCAAATGTTCTCCTCCCACCTCATCAAGCCGCCTTACAAACTCTCGTCTACCGCTTTCAATCTGGCACCTCCAAAATTAGACTGCGTGTTCTTTCAGAAATGGGACCAGATCTTCTTTTCCATACTGCAGAAGCCTCTCTCACACTTTTTGGAAAAGGAGATCTGAAATGAAATACTTCTGCCTCTTTCCAATCAGATATACATATGCTTCCATCCAAATGCTTTATTTATTGCAGCCTGGGGCTTTCCGTTCAATGTATCAATGCTGGTCAAGAACGCCAAAAGACAGGACTTCTGTCTACACAGCCATCTTTTATATGGCACAATTCAAAAATAAAATAAACGTCTCATGTGAATGTGCAATGATGGATATTAAAAGCTGCATGTCAGGGTCTCATTCTTTTAAGGATCAAATGTGTTTTACTGTAATGTAATTTTACATTACTTTTAAAGTTTTCTCCTGGGCCACAGCTATGCTTATGTAGAGAAATAAGGAAAATCAAAAAGTTTGGTTTGATGGCCGCTATTGGAACACTTTGAGGAAAACTTGTTGGAGTCATAGACCTGGGGTAACCTGTAGATGGCAACAGACCAAGAAAAAATGGCATAGCTGGTTTAAAAATGACCTGTCTTGCAGGAATTAGCTGGTGAAGCTTTTTACAAGGATGAATGCTGTCGGCTGCTAATTGCTACAGGAGCTAAGAGAAAAGTTGACAAGCCTAGCCAGGCAGAGGATGGTGAGTAGCAAGCTGGAAATGCATTCATTAAGAGAGAAAGGGTGGTCAGCAGCAAGAACAAGAGAGGGGGAGAGAGAGAGAGAGAAATTAGCTTTAAACAAATAGAACCTGCAACAAAACATTGCAGAATGGAACGTGCCCATTGCCAGAACACTCCACTGCCCAGGAGTACCAACTTGGACCCGTGACCATGGGTGCCCAGGGCCGTGGGTGCCATGCAGTGTGCATTGCCCTGGCACCAAAATTTATAGGTGCCCAGTTCCTTCATGGGGAATTTTGTGGATGCTCGGGCAGCCAGGTCCCCTGGGAGATGGCACCTATACCATTGCCCCTCCCTTGGTTTTCCAGTCCTATGCTCTCAACAAGGTCCCCTTTCCTTCTACTGAAAGATTGGGGGGGAGCAGGGGCTTGATTTCTAAACACCTCCCCGTTGCATACCGATGGCGACATCTCAGCTACATCAGCAACAGCACTCAAAGCCTGCACATTGGAGACAGAGGAAATGCTTTCAAAGCTTTTGCAATTGTATATGGGTAAAGGCTGTGGCCAATTAAGACTCAAAGACTTAATTCTCACTGAGGTAGGAAGCCTGTCTCTTTAAAATGTACCACTTTGGATCGCAATGCTTGGGGCTGGGGCAGGCAGCCCCACATAGCATGACCCATAATAAAAGATTCTAGGAGATGTAGTAAGAACCTGTGGAGAGAACCATATTGACCACCCATGGCCTACATAAGAAGAGCCTAACTGCTGGATTAGGCCAAAGGCCCGTCTAGTCCTATTTTTCACAGTGTCCAACCAGATTCCCATGGGGAGCCTGCAAGCAGGACCTGAGCACAACAGCACTCTCCCCATTTGTGAATCCCAGAAACTCGTATTCAGAGGCATACTTTCTCCAACAGTGGAAGTGGATCCTAGCCTAGCCATCACAGCTAGTTGCCAACAATACCCTTATTCTCTTTCAAAGCCATCCAAGTTGGTGGCTGTAACTACCTCTAATGGGAGTAAATTCCATATTTCAACCATGCACGGTGTGAAGAAGTATCTCCTTTTTGTATGTCCTAATTTTTCCAACATTCAGCTCATTGGAAGGCTCTGGGTTCTAGTATTATGAGAGATGCTGTTATGTACTGAGCTGAATCCTAGAACAATAGGATCCAGAATGCAGCAGTCTGATTGGTCCGCAGGAGCCACCCAATCCAGCTCCAGGTGGAAGTGAATCAGCGACCTGATTGGCCAGCAGGAGCAGCCAATCAAGCTTCTGGTGGAGGTGAATCCACAACCTGATTGGCCTACAGGAGCAGACCGGAATTAGCCAATCACGTGGGGCCCATTGTGTAAATAATGTATATATAGCTAGACGTTTAGGGAAAAGTTTCATTCATTGCTACTATGAGCTGAATAAAGAGCATGAAATTCACACTCGATTCCAAGTATATTTCAGATGCCTTTTTAAGGTGAGATGACAAGAATTGTACACAGTATTCCAAGTGTGGTTGCACCATTGATTTATATAACAGCATTGTGCCGCAGACACTTTTATTTTGAATTCTATCATGGAACTGACTTTTTACACAGCTGCTGCACACTGGGTTTTCAATGCATGAAATCCAATGCAGGTAGCCTGATTTCACCAGATAAATCTCGCAATTCACTGTGCATACCCATATTTGAAGGTTAGGGGGGGTCATGTGTGGTGTCACTGCCCTCCACGCATGGATCAGGCTGAAGAACCGTTCAAGTTAGCTGTAGAAACTGAACCAATTGAATCAAGAAAGACTCTTCTCTTGGAGATCAATAGTTTGCAATCCTTGAGATGCTGATTATAGGAACTGGTGCCCTCTTGTGGGATTCCCACAGGAAATCACCAGGTTTAAATGTGCTGAATGGGATTGGACTAGTGCTTCAATGAAGGCTGCCTCTTGTCCTGATAGTATTCATTTGCTAGTCAAAGCAATGCTGACACTCAGCAGACGAGGACACACTACCCACAACTGAACTTCCTAAAATGCAATTCTAATCTGTCAACAGCAGAAGAGGCACATTTTCTCCAGTACTATCCCAGACGTCTACAGTTCAGAAAGGCCACAATGAAAAGGCAACAGGGTATCCTTCCCAAACCTAGTGCCCTCAAGATATTCAAGACTACAACTTCACTCAGCCTGGTCAATATGGCCAATGGTCAGGGATGATGAGAGTTGTAGTCTGACAACAACTGGAAGACACTAGGTTGGGTAGCAGTAGAGGCTGCAGCTGAGATTAAATCTATTTTGTCATTCCAGATTAGGGTTGAGGAAGGCCAATGGTTGTATTCTAAGTCCTCCTCACAGTAGACCCAATGAAATAAATGGATCTAAATTAGTCATGTAAAATGTGTGCCCTTTGAGTAAGACCAGCATTGAATACAACCCAATATTTTTCCATGTGCTGATGTTTATTTGCGGCCCCTCCATATTTAGTGCTGAGAAACCAAATAATTTTTCTAAGGTACTGATCTCTCTTGGAGGGCAATGATTTTACTTGGGTCCTGCTTCTGGCCTTTCTGTTGGGGCACCTGGTTCTTCACTGTGAGGATAGCCTGCTGGGCTGAATGGGCCTTTGGTCTGATCCGACAGGGCATTTCTTACATTCTTATCATTTTCAGCTGGCGACCCCAAGTGAGTCTGATGTGCATTTGCTCTTGATAACTAGCCCTGCTGTGTTTATGCCGCCACTCATTTCCCTTTGATTACATTTCACATTGCCGTGTGTGAGCCCTGTTGTTAATTTGTAATCTTATGTAAAGTGCCATATGTGAAGTGATTTAACTTCCAACTCAATCGGAAATGAGAAGCCTAAGTCCAGTTTCCGTTTCACTCGTCTGCAAATCAGTTTCGCAGGCATGCTCTGCACACCGCCATGGCCTCCTCAAATTGTTCATGACCCTGGCAACTATTTGAGGGTTTGAATTTAAATGCAATGTAGTGAGTCAGACAGACAACTATCTTGGATCAATAGACCAAGCAGAACCTGTAGGCTAGAGTCTAGCTGTGTGTCAGCTACTGTGTAGGTGTGTTGTGCAAACGCTCCCCACACTCCTCCCGGAGCTGGAAAGAGACTAGTTTAACCTCCACTTTGCTAGTAAAACTGAATTCCTGATGCATGTTAAAAAGTGTGTCACCAACATGAAAAGTTTGTAAAACTCTCCCTAGCTTATGGCCCATGTGCAGGCCCCGGAGACAGAGGTTAATTGGGAGAGGGGAGCAAGGGAAGGCAGACCCCACCAAGGGCTCTCACCCACCTAGAGAGTCAAGCCCTCCACCTGCCACTTGGATGTATAAGACTGTGGTCTAACATTCTTCTTTCCAACAGTCTCTACGTCTTGTGTGATCTCATCCTCAGTTTTGCTGTTCCTCCATTCAACCAGTCCCTTTCTCACATACTACACAATCTTCTGTTGGTGGGCATCCGTCTATCTTGGGAGACTATGAAAGAGTGCACCTTTGGGGGTGAAATCAAGTCACTGGAGAGTTACAGCGCTTGGTGTGGCTGTAGAGGCCAATACAGGAACAACCTGTTTTGTTGCAACTGGGGCAGATGAATGCATCCAGTTGTGCTGGTACATGGTGCATCTGAGCAGTCATTCTTCCTCTGCTCATTGCTGTGGCTACATGACCTGACTGATTGCCTCCAGATACTGTGGTCATCTGCAAGGGATTCTCACACATCGGGTTTAACGTTGCCAACCTTTATGTCACGTTTGCAAACATATTTGTAGCACAGAATTGGTCTCTTATACGGATACATACACAGACAAAAGGCTGCCTCCTGCAGAGAATGAGCACTGCTCTGGATAGAATTTGCTGATGCTCAGCAAAATGTACGTAATCACTCTGGTGGAAACTGGAAATCCAAAACCACATCATTGTCATTCCTGCCAGCAAGGAAGTCCTTCCACACACTGTTCCTCACCTTTATTAGGACTGATTCGTAAAATATTAATGGTTTCATCGGAACAAAAAAAAAATCTCCTGGGGAAAATTAGTCAATTAGTACTGTATGTATCATTTCCACCATGAGGTAGAAATATTTCATCCTGAGCACCCAGGCACTGTGAATTAACTATGAGCTGTCCCCTTCCATGCAACCCAGATTCTCTTCTCCCTCTGGGGGATGGGAGGACAAAACTGCTGCAGGTTCATGTTAAGAGGCCTGCCAGGGAATTGTATAAACACTCTTCATAATAAACTAGCTCCTGGTAGAGCCTGAATTCATTTTACAGATAACACACTGCACAATACCAGTTCACTGCTGTAAAGTTCTCCATTTCTTTCTTTTTTACCATTCTCCTTTAATAGGTGAGAAAAGAAATTGAAAATATGAAAATTAGCAAAGGGAAAATAACATTGGCAACAGAATTCAGGGGCTGTTGGTTTTTTGTTTTGTTTTGTTTTGTTTTTTTAAAGCACAGAGTATAACATATGCAGCTGTTTGGCCTAGTTCCTTGGACCAGCTGCTGAGATGCTTGTTTGAAGGTCAGGGCTATCCCAAATTCCTGAAGTGTTTATAAGTGAGGACTGAAGTCCCGCTGCAGCCAAGAAGGCTGAATTGCTGTGACAGAAGGCCATTGGTTCCAGATGCCTTCTACCAAGTCAGATACACTAAGAGCAACAGTAACTTCCATCAAAACTGGATTATTACAAGCATGGGCTGATTTGCTGCCTCACAGAGTTTCTGTGCTAGTATGCTGCAGTGCTTTGAAGAATACTTTCAGTATGCTAGATAAATATGCTAACTATACAAGTACTGTATGCATTCCTTGGCATTGCTAAACTTAAACAACAGCTAAATGGTGTTGCTTCCACAAGAGGGAGCTACAATCTAATTTTATTTATCATCAAAAAATGAGTTTTCAGAGGAAACACTGTGCTTAATTTCTAACAGAAGACATCTCATGGCTCAAATGCATTTAGAAGCCATGGATTAAACCTAAAGACTTTTGTTTTAGTTAGTAGTAAGAGGAGGGTTCACTGCACATGCTCAGATGCACTCTTCTGCGTCATATTCTGTATCACTACAGAAAAAGAGGTTGTGAATCTAATAATTTAGCTTAGGACGGACCCTAAACCTCTCTGAGGAGAATTTCGGTCTGAATTTGGGAAGGAGTGGGGAAAGAGAACAAGGGTGAAGGGAAGGGAATTTCTTCTTAAATTTGTGTCTGGCAAGTGGTTGATAAAAGAAGAATATTTATGGTCTGCCTTTTCTGGACAAAACCTTCTCAAGACCCTTTGAGAAGATTCAAATTTAACTTGGTACTTTAGACTGGTTTCCTATCTTCCAGAGTTGCTAGAGCTCAGGGACACATCATGCGATGCATAGGGAAACTATGGAACTCGCTCCCACAGGAGGTACTAATAGCCACCAACCTGGATGGTTTTAAAAGACAATTAGAAAAATTCAGAGAGGAGTGTTGTTGTAAGCCAAAAATAGCTTATCTCCTGAGTCTATGTTAATAAAAAACTCAGAAATGCGAGGAGTTGGGAGTCCAACGTTTACTGCAAAGCAATAGGTTACAGTCGGATAGTTCTGCGAAACTGCAACCCCACCCAGTGGTCCAGGTGGTGGTATTTAGAACATTTCAAACAAAGCATTTCAATTTTCACCAATCATATACATCATTACCTCATTTCATGTTTTACACGTGCGCAATAAGTTCTGGCAATTTGTGCTGATTCAGGTTTGATTCTCACCGTGTTTTGTTACATTGTGGTACTGTGCAAGTTGGGAACCTGTGTTACTTGTACCATGTAGCAACTTACATTCTAGCTTTAAGCCATATCTTTAAGCCATCACATATTAGCTGTATTTCTGCCCCAATTGGGGGGTGGCAACTTGCAAAATCATCAGTTTCATAAAGCAACCGGTTACCATAACTTCTCTATTAGAAGCGCACTCAAGGATTTCCAGGGGTACACATTATCACATTTATTGTGGCCCTTTGGTTTGTTATGTAGGGATACTCATACCTAAGTTCTTTTTCCCTCTCCAGTGAAGTAGGAGGTCAGCTGGCTGTCCCACTGTATGATGATCTGAGGCACAAGGTATCGGCTGAAACGTCCTTGATAGGAGGTACCCAAACATGGAAAACCCAGGAATGGCCCCCCACTCGTATCATTAAAGAATTTGGCCCAGCCACTTGGCGTCAGGATGGTATGCAAGGGTACCATACCCCAGTGTACATCTTGAATCGCCTTATCTACATCCAAGCCGTGGTAGAGATAATTACCAATCGCACGGCCACAGTGTTAGATTTACTCTCAGACCAAAGCTCCCAAATGAAAGAGGCCATCTATCAAAATACAATGGTCCTAGATTATCTGCTGTCTGAAGAAGTAGGTATGTGCAGAAAATTAAATCTGACCGATTGCCGTCTGAAAATTGATGAACATGAGCATTGACTTTGAGTTTGACACCATCTCAGTCTGCAGCCTAGGAGAAGAGGAGGACATTCTTCTGAGTGTCCCAGCACCATTGGGTGCTGCTGAGCCCGGTGGCATTTTGCCCATGGAGGGCTTCAGCCAGGAAGAACTCCAGGTCCAGCTAGCTTCTGTCCTGGCTGGCCTGCAGAGCTGGAAGAAAGAGGTCCACAGCAAGGCTCTTCAGAAGTTTTCAGGCCTCCTGTTGGAAGCAAATAAACACCCTTCTGTAGAGCTTCCAGAATCCATCCTGGGCAAGATGGTGGCAGTCCTGGTCTCTGTGTGCTAGATCCAGATGCCGGCTGTGATTGTGAGGCAGCAGAGACACTCTGCAACCTCCTGCATGTCATGCGGCGCAAGGAAGCCATGCTGAAGGAAACAACCTGGGGCTGGGAGGCGATCCTTAGGGCTCGGTGGATCCTCAACCCAACTGAAGGACCTTCCCCAGAGTTATTCCTGCATAATGGCTATGTTCTGCCCATGGTCTTTGGTGCCTACCTGCCTCCAGAGCAGCTCCTGGAGGCAGTGTGTCACCTGGCCAGGGACCTTGCAGTAAAGGGCATTTTCATGCCACTGAAAATCCACGCCCTGCTCCACCAAATTTTGGACAAATTCAGTGGGAAAGCTATGCAGGTCGAGCTGCTGCTGGAGGCCTTTCTCCAAAATGCCAAGGGGCCCTCCATGGAGCAGCAGAAAGTGGCACTCTTTGCCTTTTATGTACTGGCAAAGCAGTGCCCGGAGAATGTGATGGGATACCTGCTCCAGTTCCCTTTGAGTGACAGTGGCAAGATCTGGAAGGTGGTCCTTAGCTCTGCGGATCACCCTCACTTGATCCATCTGCTGACTCGACTAAGGGCCACCTTCAAGGAGTCCACCACCACACTATCAATGGCTATTTAGCCAGGATGAATATGTTGTGCCTCCAATAAATGCTGCTGAATACCTGTTGCTGGAAACCACAGGAGGGGAAAGTGCTTGGGTCCTGCTAGAGGGTTTCCCACAGACACTTGGTTGGCCACTGTGAGAACAAGATGCTGGTTTGATGGACCATTGGCCTGATCCAGCAGGCTCTTCTTATGTTCTTACATTCCAGGAGGGTGTTGAGCAGGTCTGATGATGTGGGAATTAGACTCTAGTTGGAAGATAGCCCTGGGTCGTTTGACCCTTTAATTAGTTCTCTTTTCCCCTCCTATAAAAAACTATTCAAGACATGCTCTTTGAAAGTTTAAAGAACCAATAACTTGTACTTGCAGATGCAGATTAAAAACAGAAAGCAGGTGGATATTTCTTAAATATGTCTTACATAGGTTAAACTGTTATAGACTAACTCTCTCTGAGGCAGACAGCGGCACAACACAACGTACCTGCTGCTCTAACTGTTAAGACTGTTCTGCTAACTGCCATAACTGTACCAACTGCCACAACTGCCTCAGATATATGACATCGCAGAGTTCTATAGGTCTTGCAATTGACTCTTTACTTATGCATTTTGGATGCTAGCTTCCTACAGCTGAGGAATGAGGAGGGATGGCTGTCTGAGAGTGCCAAGGGCTAAATGGATAGGATTTGAGGGCCGCATCTGGCCCATTGCTCTGCGAGGCCACAACCATGTATTAAAGTCTGTATTTGTTCACCAGCGAGTTTTTTAGACCTGGTTGCTGTTAGCATTTCAACCGGAGCCTGCCAAGGATCTGGCAGCTCCTCACTTGAAGCCTGGCCTGTGTTTTCTTACCACCTGGCCAATCTAACCCTGCTCAGTCATGTGGAGTGGCAGTGCACAGGGCGGAGCGGAGCCTTCCAGTTTACATCTTGTTTAGTCTGTTCCTTCAGCTCTGCCGCTTAGCCTTCCTTGATGGATGCCTCGTTCCCAGCAGACTCCACTGTGCCTAATTGGAAGACCTCGCAACAGGCACGCAACAGAGAAAGAAATTGACAAGGCAGCCAAGCATCAGAGTAATGAGCCTACGGGACTGTGGGCCGCTGAGCCGGCTCATGAGAAGTCAGGATAAGGAATGAGTGCGAGCGAGTTTTAGAAAATTATAACAGAGATTTTGAAAAATCACATCCCTATCTCAAAGCCATATACCAAAGGACTGCATATTTTAAACAATCAAATCAATTACACATGGTTGTTGTTGTCTTTAAAAAAAAAAGATATAAAAACAATTGTATATACAGTATAAAACAATTTAAAATTCACACAATTGTGATATATGTTTTAAAAATCTCCACTTCAAAAGCTTGTTGAAAGACGAAAGTCACTGAACGAGTGCTGGAAAGACAATAGTTTGTAGGTTCATTTGACTTATTTTATGAGTAAAGTGATGTAGTAGTAGTAGTAGTAATGTCTGATCAAAGGGTTGATGCCTACATGATGTGGAATGGACCTCGTAAAGAGACAATATCTGCAGGATGCCCTCTTCTGCAGAAGTTTGAGTGTAGAAGGGATGAGAATATATTTTGGGTATCCTTGTCCCAAGCTGTGTAGTCCTTTGCATGCCAGTACCACCAGCTTGAACCTAGCCTCCTGTGAATAAACAACACTGTGTTTACTAAATGTATTTTGACCACATGAAAAATAACAATAGGCAGATTAGCTGCTTCAAAGTGGATCCAGATTTCAGTGTTTCAGGCTTCTTTATACCACGGCTTCTGCTTATATAATCTTTAATTAAAGAAAATAGCATAAGAAAACCCTCAAACTACCAGACTGTGGGTCAGAATGAAACAATCCCTGATTAGGATTGTTTCATGGTGAAACATCCACCAAGAGCCCCACCTGGTACCTTCCAGATGTTTTAGACTCCAGCTCCCATCAGTCTCATCCAACATGGCCAATGGTCAGGGCTGATGGGAGTTATAAACCAGCCACATCTGCAGAAGGCTGTTCCAAGGCAGCCAAACATAAGAGTCAATGTAGCCTGTGCTAAGTTCTTTGTGGATAAATAAATGCAATCTATACCACTAAATATTAGAAACAACAAACCTCCACTTTGGTTTTGCTTTAGAGAAACAACATTCTCATTGGTTTGTCCCTCAATCAACATTTCCAAAGCAGAAAGAGGAAGAGAAGGAAGTTTAGGAATGCTTTTTTGTGGCCAGCCAATCCATTCCCTCAGTATCCTTCCCTCTCTTTTCCTAATGCACAGGCTCTGTTCCTTAAAAGGTACAGTGGAACCTTGGTTTTCGAACATCATCCATTCCGGAAGACCGTTCAACTTCTGAAATGTCCAAAAGCAGAGGCGCAAAGGGCGGTCAGCAAATTTACAGAGAAAATTGAGAAAAATACAGTGGTACCTCAGCGGAAGCCTTTTGACTTCTGAGACGCATTCGAAAATGGAAGCATTTACTTCTGGGTTTTCGGCATTCGAGTTCCAAAACATTCGCCAATGGAGGCGTTCGCAACCCGAGGTACCACTGCATATTTATAACCTGAGTTGGGTGCAACTCAGTTTCTTGAGAGGGGCTTGCATGGAGGAGAGGACTGTTGATGGTTACTAGCCATCATGGCTAGGCTCTACCTCCATAGTCAGAGGCAGGGATGATTTTTAATGCCTCTGAATGCCAGTTGCTGGGAACCACAGGTGAGGAGAGAACCGCCACCCTTGGGTCCTGCTTGCAAACTTCTCATAGGTACTGTATCTGGTTGGCCACTGCAAGAACAGCACTCCGGGCTAGATGAGTCTTTGGCTGGATCACGCAAAATCTCCGTATGTTCTTATTGGCATAGATATTGAAAATCTAGCAAGCAGGTTCGTTATCACTCTTCTCTTTTTTAAAAAAGCAACAACCAACATATATCAAGCTGACTTGAAAACCTCAATTATGATAGGAAATTTTGCAATGATACGGTTCAGACATTTACTGACCTCCTGGCCCCTGAGCTGCTGTAAGGTCCTGTCTGAGATGTTTCATGTTGATTGATGCATTTCCACACAAAAGCTGAGGTTACAGGGAGGGCAATGGAAAGAGGCCTCCACACACAACCTTCTACTCCACCCCTTGCACTAAAAACAGATGGCATTTGGTTGCAGCTTTCTAGCTGCGGCCTCCTCTCTAATTCGTCACCTTGATGTGCCAAAGCATTTCCCTGACTGCTCTTCCCTCTCTTCCTTTAAATTCGTCCTTGAGTCCCACTTTTATTTTAGAGAAGTCTTTCCTGGCCCCATCTTCCATTCCCCTCCTTTCCAGGTTCTCCAAACACAGTGTAATCTACACTCCAAACATCTGTGCAAATCTACTCCAGAAGCCATATTACGATAAATGGGAGTGTGAGCTAAGTGTGTACGAGATTGCAGTCTAACTTGCTCTCATCTTCAACTTTCTACTGCTAATATTCCCTCAGTTTTGGACTCAGCTGCTTTGTATTTGCTAGTGACTGTTGAACATTAAATGCTGCATTAGCCTATAGAAGCATTAACATAAACCCATTTCCTACTTTCCAGAAATGAAATAATATCCTTTTGTCCACAGTTTTAAATGTGGAAGTGGGGGTTGGGTGGCAGTTATTGGTTTGGTTTGGTTTGGTTTGGTTTGTTCTGTTATTTTTATTATATATTTTGTGTTTTTTATCTCATATTTTTATGCTGTGAACCATTCTAAGATCTTTGGATGAAGGTATACAAAATAAAAAATAAAAGTAGGTCTAATCATGGAGATCAAGTGATGGAGGTCTGCTGCACCTGTTGTACTTCTGACTGCCAGGAATACTGGAACTCTGCTGCACAGGGGCGAAAGAGATATTTGTTCAGTCTGCATGCTAAAGTGAACCAGTCTTATTTGGCAGTCCTGGGTTTAAACATTAATTGAAATGCACCTCTCAGTGGATTGCACACAGATCCAAACTCTGCAATATAGTTTCAGGGTGTTGTGTTTTTTATGTATTGAAAAGCATTTCCGGTATTTGAAAATGCCAAGTGTTTGAGGCAAATAATGAATGAAAAATGAAAACAAAATGGGTACAATTTAAACGTGCATTTTTCATGTATTTTTTTTTTTTTTAAATAGGAACAGAACAGTCCTATGATTGAGCACATGAGAAACTGACATGGAAATGGGCTGATCCGCCAATTACTGCTGCTGGGAGGTAGGGGGTTGGAGTGGAAAATCTACCACCACCCAATTACATACATAAAATAAAAACATAATATTTGCTGTCATTAACAGCATTGCTGGAATGTCCTTGGCTTTTTAATTATTCTAAAGGCAAGCAGTTCTGCACATTTGCTCCCTCCTCTGTTTTCCAACCACAACCATGAAAGGTTTGCTTCCTAAATTATGCATACTGTGGGTGCAGTCAGGAGCGATTAAGGGCACTGGGCAATCTCCCCCACCCCCTTCCTGTCTTTTTTTTTTAAAAAAAAGGAGGGGGAAGCTTTCCTGGGGAATCAATGCTTGCTAATCTTTCGAAAATTACTCTAACAAGCTCCAGGCCTGAACAGCTGGAGTCTAGCTCACTGGCCTCTGAAAGCACGCACAGGCCATTAGTAGAACAGGACTTTAATGAACCAAAAAATCTGTCCCAAGCCATGGCTTTCAGGCTTCTGCATCTGACATTCTGATTAAATGTCAAGCAGCCAAAGAGGAAAAGATAAGCAATGCTCTGGGCTCAGGCAAGAGGCAGTGCAGCAGACTTCAGAAATCAACAGGTGCCAAACTATCTCTAACCCCAACCCAACAGTCAACAAGGGAGGGGGGGGGGACACCAGAATTGCTTTCTGGGATAGAGACCCTCCAGACTGTGGGTTGTATGCAGGGGTCCATGGGACATCTCCACCTGACCCTCAGCCTGACACGAGTATTTCTTGCACTATAGATATAGATATAGATATAGATACAGATACAGATACAGATACAGATACAGATACAGATACAGATACAGATACAGATACAGATACAGATATAGTTATATAGATATATTTATTACATTTATATTCTACCTTTTCTCCAAGGAGTGCAAGGTAGTGTATGTGATTCTCCCCCATGTTTTCCCTCACAACAACCCTGTGAGCTAGGTTAAGCAATGATTCTTTGACATCAACTTCATTGGACTGGTCATGTTGTGCGGATGCCTGATTATCGTCTTCCCAAGCAGCTACTCTATTCCGAACTTAAAAATGGAAAGTGTAATGGTGGTTGTCAACAAAAGAAGTTTAAGTACTCTCTCATGGCAAATCTAAAATAAATGTAGTAGAAACACCGACAACTGGGAAACACTGGCCCATGAGCACTCCAGTTGGAGAACAGCCTTTACCAAAACAAGCTCAAATTCAGGACGAAAGGAAGAAATGTCCTAAGAAGAAGGCACGCTTGGCAAACCCTCACCGTGATCAACTCCCACCCGGAAACCTATGTCCCCACTGTGGAAGGACGTGTGGATTCAGAACTGGCCTCCACAGTCACTTACGGACTCACGGTTAAAAGCGTGTTCATGGAAGACAATCTTACTCGGCTATGAGTGATTGCCAAAGAAGATGATGTGATTCTCCCCCACCTTTTTCCTCACAACAACCCTGTGAGGTAGGTTAGGCTAAGAGAGGGTGACTGGTCCAAGGTTATCAAGAGAGCTTCATGACTGAGTGGGGACTAGAAGCCCAGACTCTCAAGTTTTAGTTCAACACTCTAACTCCTACGCCACTTGGGCTTTCTCTAACTCACTACATCACACTGCCAAAGAGGACACATTTTGCTGTTGTGCATGGGTAGATGCAAATTTAGAAATATTTGCTCTAACTGAAATAGAAGTACAGTATATATCTCCATTGTGGGGAAGGTGATGACCAGCTGAGCTATTTGCCAGTTCAGTCTGCTTCTCAGCTGCTAGCTGTTTCTTTCTTTATTTGTTTATCAAAATTTATACACCACTTTATTACATTCAAGACGCTAAGCAAGTTTTACAAAAGTTTAAAATGAAACATTACAATTCTTGACTGAAAAACCCCCAGTTAAAAACATGTACTTAAGAGATAAAACACACATAACGTCTACATATCTGGAGAGGTGTGCCTAAACAAAAATGTTTTAAGCAGGCGCTGAAAAGAGTGCAGCAAAGGCACCTGGTTGGAATCAAAAGGCAAAGGTGCTACCACACTAAAAGATGGATTTCTTACAAGCACGGAATGCCTATTATGTGGTAACTGCAAAAGTGCTAGTTCCTCAGATCAAAGCAGTTGAGTGGGCATATATGGAATAAGGTGATCCTGCAAGTAAACTGGACTCAAACTGCTTATATACCAACAGTAACACTTTGGAATTGACCTGGTAGCAAATGGGTTACCAGTGCAGATCTCTGAGCAGAGTTCTTACATGTAGACAGCGTCTCACTCCTGTCAGCAGCATTCTGCACTAACTGCAGCTTCCAGGTCAGGTGCAAGGGAAGCCCCACACAGAGTGCATTGCAGCAGTCCAGCCTTGAAGTTGGTGACTCCCATGTGGTCAAGCTCTCCTGGTCCAGGAATAGCCATAGCTTTAGCACCAGGTGCAGCTGGTATAAAGCACTCTATTGATGAGTGATTTCAAGGCTCCTGCTCTCGGTGCTTTGGGCTGTATCTAACTTCAGTCATGTTTAGAGTAAACTTGTTGAAATTAATGGATATGATGACCAACTTTTGTCATTAAAGCAGGCTTTGATGGGACAGTCCTTCAAATAGAGAGCTCCTATAGTGAACTGTTCTCTGCAAAACAGGACATTATCACCCAAGAGAGAGAGAGAGAGAGAGAGAGAGAGAGAGAGAGAGATTTTCCTTTAAAGCCATATCTGAAAGAATTTGTGTTCCTTGGCTTGCACAATTTCCATATGGAGTCTTTTCTCAGAGGGCTTTCAGGAATCCTGCCCTCTCAAGCTGTGGTCACTTCACAGTCTTTATACTTGGCAGTAGATGGAAAAGAAAGAAACAAAGCATGCACACAATCTTGGGTTTGATTTTGGGGTGGTGGTGATACAAGGTTTAGTTGTCTAATCTCTCAAAGAAGTTCTGGCAGAAGGTAAGGCCTCCCCCTGTCACTCTGGCAGCCAATTATGTTTTCATGTTTGGAAGCAACTCCACAGCCATAGCAGCAACGTCAATTTTGACACACACACCCCCCCACCATGCATACATACAGCAAAGAAAAAGGAGGGGGAGGAGGTATTTGAAGAATTTGCAAAATATACGTCTACTGGCCATAAGCCATGACAGCTAAAACAATACGCCTTGCAAAAAAAGCAAGGTTGCCAAATGATCTGCGGAGAAACGGTCTGGCCTGCTCCTGTGCTTTTGACAGTGGTTTGATCTGTCAATATCTGCAAATGACGCTTTTTGCAGCACAAACGTCACTTGTATCCTTGACTAACAGCTGGACATTAAGCCGATGTTAAAGGCTCAGTTGCAGAGGGTGGCTGAAATGTTGATAACCTTACCTCAAACCAGGGGCAGAACTAGGCTTTATTTCACCCAGGTCAGAGACCCAGTTTGGCATTCACCCATGTACATTTCTGTACACACACACACACACACACACACACACACACACAGGCTGGGAGCCTCAGTGGTGGCCCTCTGGAGGCTTCACCTAGGGCAAAAAAAACTGGATAGTCCCGCCCCATCCCATAGCTACAGCTCTGCTCAAAGGATGGATGCCAGAAGTAAAAGGTGTATTGTATTCAGGAGTCTTGGCAACCCATCCACATTCGATTCCCCTGTTAGGCTATAAGAAAGTTGTCTCAGGCCTGTGTTGGGAGTCCTGCTAGGAAACTGTATAAAGCCTTGCAGATAAAAACCTTCCATAGTTTAACAATGTGCTGTTTGAATATGTACTGTCTTTTATCTGCCCTGAACCTTCCAACATTCAGCTTCCTTGGATGTCCACAAGCTCTAATGTTCTGAGAGAGGAGAAAAACTTTTCCCTATCCACTTTCTCCATGCCATGCCTAATTTTATAAGCTTCTATCATGTCTCTTCTTGCTCAACCAGAAGGCATGAGGCAGGCCACATTTGACAGGAGATATTGAACTTGATGGAACTCTTGATCTGAGCCAGCAGTGCCCTTGTATTGTTTTGAGGAACCTGCTTGTCTCCAGAATGAGCAGAAGGCTCCGCCCAGCACAGACAGTGTTTCATCTGGAGCTCTTGGAAATTCCCATCTGCCAGTTTTATGACTTTCCAGACCTGGTCTCCAGCAGTAGCCTGACTATAACCAACACTATAAATCAACACAGGGAACTCATTCTTTCAGCAGAAACCATTCTTAAGATAGAGAGTAAATTCAGTTACTGCTTAGAAAATCCCAGAGGCCCAGATCTTCTCTTCCTGACAGTTCAAAACATACCTCAGCAGCTGCAGTGTGTCAAATGTTAGGCTGTGCACTGCACTGAGCTTTAATGTTCACGCATGCAAATTGACATGTATGCACAGGGCTGGATTTTTGGTGGACTACAACGTCCATCATCTAGCAGGATGGCTAGCAGGACCAGTGATCAGGGATGATGGGAGTTGTAGTCCAGCAACATCTGGGGACCCAAGGTTGAGAAAGGCTGCCTGGGCCTGGGGGGCAGGGAGCTGTGCCTATGAAATGACCATGAAACCGATGTTAGTTTATAGAGTTTATATGCAGAAGAAGAAATTAACTTTAGTTAAATGGCGCCTTGCTTAGAGCAAGCATCTAGTTGAAAGGCATTCAGACTCAGACTGACTTTGTATAAAATAAGAAAGTTTCTATTTATTAAAGGAAGTACATTATTGAAAGGAAAGAGTTCTATCCTAATTAATTATCTAATTGGACAAACAAAAATGCCATGCTTGCCTCTTTGTTTTCAAAAGAGAGATCCACAGAAAAGTGTGTGAGAGGGAGTAGGAAGCTGAAACAGGATGCAGCCCAAGATGTATCAGTCTAAACATCAAAGAGATAAGAGAGAAATCAGCATAGGTACAGGGATAGTCTGGGAAACTGGCTATCTGTCTTAACCCATGCAAAACTCTCAGTTGGACTCTGTGGTGTAGATATGCTCTTACTGCCTCAATCTGTCTCCCTTATTCTCAAATAACTTCTGGGTGATTATATTACCCATGCATGGAATAAACAGAAAAATTCCAAAGTTAATTCTAAATTTAGATAAGTTGAAATGTTTGCCTGTAAGCATCTTTAAAAGGAAAGGAATCAGGCATGTGTTGGTGACAAATGTTTAAAAACATGTGCATTGATAAAGCTTGGCTGAGTGTTCCGTAGTGGATGAAATTCACATGGCGTGAGACTAGAGGAATGAATGGCTAAATGGAGAGGCTGGAGTTTGTGTTCCTATTGTGGGTTTTTATAAATGAGGATATGGGGTCTTCCAGGCCGTCACTATGTTTGGGCGGGATTCAATCACGTGCTGATTTGGAGCTGTTGTGGAACAAACTCTCAAAAGTTCATAGAACCTCCCTGCAGATGCATAAAGAGTGGCTAGTCATTAAATAGCCAACATTATACAATCTCTCTGCACATGGTTCAGGGGAGATGCTCAATAGACAAGTCATCTGCAACAACCCTCAATCACATGTTGGCAATTTCAAGTTGCACAATTCCCAGAGTGGTTTAACAATCAGTCCCTCTTCCCAAGGGACCTTGGAAACTGTAGTTCTTTGAGGGTAATATGGGTCTCCTAATGGCTCTCAGCACCCTTAACAAACAACCCTTCCCAGAATTCTTTGAGGCAAGCCATGATTGTTTAAAGTGGCATGTTATGGCTTTGAATGTGCCTACTGGTGCAGAGCACACCCATGAGAAAATGCCTGTTTGCAGGGACACTTAGGAAGAACGCCAACAGAACTAACTAAATATGCAACAATACTAAGATTATTCAGTTTTACTGTGTTTATCTTGGTTATTTTTATTGGTTATATTTTATTGGTACTGCCATTCATTCATTGGTTTATTTCTATGCTGTTTTGTCCAAAGGCTCCCAAGGCAATAGACAGATTAACACAATATTATCACAAGAAAATTACAGCAGATACAAATGCAAGAGTACAATAAATCAATAAAAAATGTAAAATTACAAAACAACAACAACCCAGAAGCACCATCTACCACACTTAATACATTCATGAGCTTCAGATGTGCTCACAAGTGGGGTGTGTTTATTCGAGTGCTGTGTGCTTGCTTGTTTGTTACTACTACATTTTCTGTTGAAATATATTTGTTAGTCACCCTGGGCTCCCTCTTTATATATATATATATATATTATATTTTTATTAGTTTTCAAATACAAAAACAAATTTATACATTCCATACATCTTAATTACATCTTACTTCTCTTTTTTGACTTCCCTCAATTTGTCTGCCATTCCTTCCTATTGTTACTTTTTACACATTTCTGCCCTTTTAACCCTTTCCCCTCACAGAGCTTCCTTAAAGCTTACAAACGTAATTTTATTATCACTCAGTTTTTGCATATATTGGATAAACTTTTCCCAATCTTCTGTAAATCTTTGATCTCGTCGATTCCGGATCCTTCCTGTCATTCTGTCCAGTTCTGCATAATCCATCATTTTAGTTCTCCATTCTTCTATCGTAGGTAATTCCTCCTGTTTCCATTTCTGGGCCATCAATATTCTTGCTGCTGTCACTGCATATAAAAATAACTTCTTTTCTTTCTTATTTATCTCATTACCTGTAATGCCTAGTAAAAATGCTTCTGGTTTCTTAACAAATGTATATTTCAACATTTTCTTCAATTCATTATAAATCATTACCCAAAAGCATTTTACTTTCTTACATTCCCACCACATATGAAAAAAGGTACCTTCTTTTTCTTTACATTTCCAACATTTGTTACTTATCTTATACATTTTTGCTAACTTCACAGGTGTTACATACCATCGGTACATCATTTTCATAACATTTTCTTTTATAACTGTGCATGCAGTGAATACCCTGGGCTCCCTCTTGTGAGGAAAGGTGGGGTATAAATGTGTGGAATTAAATAAGCAAATAAAAAATTATTATGGTAGTAATTACGTGGAATGTTTGAAAATTTATTCCTGAAGACTCCTTAAGCTTTTTTTGCTAAGATAGAAATATTAGCAAAACAACAATGTTGTAAAAAAAATGGGATGCCTTCAGAGATGCATTGGCCAGCCTTGGCAGGAGTGGAACATGGCAGTGAGGACATTTTCATAATGCTCTGAGGAAATGCAGGGCAGGAAGGAAGATGAGAAGATGGATGAGGCAGCTAACTCCAAGGCAGGCTTTGCTCCCATTGAGCAATTCCATGGTCGGACACAACCTCTGGATCCTTGGATGCCCTCGGAGCAAAACCCTCGACAGGCGTCCTTGACAGAACGCTTTTGTCTTCCATTCTGGGTGATCGACTGCAGTGACGTTCCCATTCCTGACAGGATCAGGCTTTTTGTGTGACCTGCTACCGTTGGGTCAGTGGTGTACTGTACTGTACTGTACCACCAAAGCCATGTTCCACATAGGTTATTTGAGGTATGCGGTTTTTAATGCTTCAGCACAGACATTTCAGAACATTGGGCTGTATACCTTAGTGGTATCCTTGTTCCATTGGTGAATACCAATAGAATAGGGTTGCTCAAGAGAATGCATAAGCAAGTTGCTGGTAACTTTGCTGCACAATGGATTGCACAATCTCTTACACAATAGGCTTCCACATACTTTATGGAAGCTACATATTATATGTATTATGTATGTTATGTACATATTACAGTGGTACCTCGGGTTACTAACGCTTCAGGTTACAAACACTTCAGGTTACAGACTCTGTTAAGCCAGAAGTAGTACCTCGGGTTAAGAACTTTACCTCAGGATGAGATGAGGAGGTAGTTTTCCCCTTTCTCTCTCTCTTTCTCTTTAGGTCTCTCCTTTTCTTGTTTTTCCTTTCTTTCTGACTTTGTGCATCCAGCAATACAGTTAGAAGGATGAGTTCTGGCTCACCCCACTAAAAGATGAGCATCACAGTAGAGGCTAACTACCAAAGGCCTGGGTGGATACAAATGTCTTAGCCTGATTCCTAAAAACCGACAATGATGGCACCAGGTGCGTTTCACTGGGGAGGGCATTCTACAAACGCGAGGCCAACACTGAAAAAGCCTGTTCTCATATGTCGACCCTCTGCATCTCCCTTGGCTGAGGCACACAGAGAAGGGACTCTGATGAAGACCGCAGGGTCTGGGCTAGTTCTTGTGGGGAGAAGTGGTCCTTGAGGTATTCGGGCCTCAACTTCATAAGGCTTTGAATAATTGAATAAGCCCCAAGCAGCCATTCCACAAGGAGTCTTTTTACTGCTTGACATCTGTCCTTGCTCCCTTCCTGGCAGCCCAAAGGGAAAACAAGCTCATTGGCTGGCTCTAGTCTGGTGTTCTTGGGGTTTTTTTGGGGGGGGGCCTTTAAATCCTTCCTTCTACTTTTGAGACAGCTTCCTCTTTTCAGCAGAATAATGCATTGCCCTATTCAACATCTTTGTGCTAATTTAACCCACTAGGCACTTTCTGGGTTTATGGGAATACCTCCTTAATAAGACACATATGGCTTAATTCGTTCACTGCACGGCTGCATAAGTAGAGACAGGCAAGGGCTCTAAACTTTTCAGTCTGGTCCTACTACACATTTACTGAGGAGTATCACTGACTTTTCGCCAAGAGTGGTGGTGGTGGGGTAACTCTGTGTCTGGGCTGTGCCATTGCAGACCACATGTGACGGGGTTGAGACAGAGGAGAACTTGGAGTCAGATCACATTTGAAGGTGAACCTAGCTAATCTGCATTTTCTGAAACAATGCATGGACCAAAATGCAGGCACCCTTTGAAATCTGGACTTCTCTGAGTTTTTGCAATGCTGTTCTCCCCACCCACCCACCCACCCACCAAGTGATGTGTTCAAAAATGCATGTACTAGGGTAAAAATGCATATACATCCATGAAAAACAACATCCAAAAATGCATGATCCTAGAGGAAATTGCTTTGCAAAACAGGTATATTCGAAGATATTGTGTATTAATATGTGCATATTAGGAGAAAAATGCAGAAAAATGCTTATGAATTTTATTGAGGACTTTAAAAAAGATCCATTAGAAAACAGATGCAGAGAACCAAACACAAGATTGGAAAAATGAGAAACTGATCGAAAGAGAAACTGACTACACTAGTCATGGTGAGGAGCCTTGCCATGGGAAGACTTGAGAGATTTTGCTTGCGCTTGCCCTGCCTATTCCTTGGAGACCTTTAAAAAACAAAAAACAAATTCTGCTACCCCCCCCCATTCCCTCCTTACAGCAGCTGTCATCTGATCCTCTCGTTCTCTCTGGCTTTGAATGGGCCTCTCTCTCTCTAGGAGTGCCAGATGTTGAAACAAAGGTCTAAAAATAATCTTTCCATCTTTCCAGGGAGGTGGGGGGCACAGCCGTTGGAGCAGCTGCGAGATCGGACAACCTGATCAAACTTGGAGCACGAAACTTCTCCGACAACGTTCTCAGTCACACCCAGAGCTCCTACAGCCGTCTTTTAGGACTAATAGCTGTGTGTGCTTGCATGCAAGGGGCTGGCTGAGCAGGACTTTTGCCTGACCAAAACCAACCTCCTCTTTCTGCTCTAAAGAAATCTGAAGCCAGCCTCGTCCTTGCTGAATTTGGAGTCGGGGAGTTTTTAATTGTTCACCGTGTAAGGAGAAGAGACGGGTCTGTGCGTGTGTCAGAATGGGGTGCAGACAGCATTTCTTGGTGGTCACTTTGTGCTTGACGCTTCTCCTATCCCCGCATTGCTGCTGTGGAAAAAAGCGCTGGAGAAGAGCCTCACACCTGAAGCTGGCAGAGAAATATGATGTAAGTGGATTTGGCTTGGAAGGTGGAGGGCAGGGAAACCAGAGGTGCGGGGGGGGGGGGCATAGTCTAGTGGTAGAATATGCAGAAGGGCCCATGTTTAATCCTTGGCTTTTCCGCCTGAAACCCTTGAGAGCCACTGCCAGCCTGTGTAAACAGTACTGAGCTAGATGGATTTAGTGGGCTGACTTAGTGCAATGCAGCTTCCTGTGTCCTGAAGAAGTGTGCTGCATTTGGGGATGGATAATGCATTGGGTCTCCCTTAAAGGAAAAACCAGAGGTGCACAAGCAAAAGAAATGGGGTATCTTTAGAGGTTACCCAGTAGATCAATGGATTTGGGTCTACTCTATGAGTATTATTTGCCAGGAAATCACTTTTCCCACTTTAAAAAATCTTGTAAACCACCCCCGCTTCAGTTTCTGCAGCTCTCCTCTCTGCAAATAAGTGAATAAAGGGGGGAAATAATCTACAACACAGGGCTAAATAACCAAGAACCAGAGGTTTGATTGGGAATGTGCAGACAGGGGCTAAACCCACACCCTAAAGGTCCCCATTCAATTCTAAGGGACACATAAGACATAATTGGTCCCTTAGAATTATTATTTATAACCTGCCTTTCATAAAGAGGATCTCAGCACAGGGTAGAAGATATAGATTCCACAAAATTACGCTCTGCCTCTACTTTCAGTGGCAGTAATACTTTATGAATGCTGGTTGCTGGGAACCACAGATGCTTGTGTGTTCCCCACAGGCATCTGGTTGGACACGGTGAGAACAGGATGCTGGACTAAAGGGGCCACTGGCCTGATCCAGCAGGGCTCTTGTGTTCTTACATAAAAATAGCCACAAATCATTTTTAAAGTCTAAGATGGCAACCTTACCTTTTTTACCTGGGACTAAGCCCCATCGAATTCAATGGGATCTAGATACATAGAGTAGCTGATTTTACTTTCAATAAAGTTTAAAAACAGCGATAATTAAGAGGGACATATGTTTATAATTTTACTAAAAAGCCAGGAAATTATATGAGCAGAGCAGATTCAATGCAGCCATATAAGTGAAAATAAAGTGTGAGGTCAGATGTGGTCTTGAAACGGAATACACATTTCTTTAAATTTATTAGGGGGGTTGCCTTCTCTGATGATTTCTTGTTTGTTTAATTGGGAATGCTTATATGAAGCATTGATTCTTTTGTGCCTGCGTGTGTGATCAATTGTTTTCAAATTATTGAATTCTTTGGGTTGACTGCATCCCTAGTATTTCTCTTCTATGAATCTGTGCTTTTGATGTGACACTAATACGGATGTCTTGATCATTACATTAACTGAATGAGTATTTATGTATGCTAGGCTGTTCTGACTGCCAGTTAGATGCTGGAATAGATGGGGCTTTAGATGGACCCCAGAAGGGCTCTTCTTACTTTTGGTCTTGTCTTCTGGTGTATATATATTATTCTTATTTTAAAATTGGAGAGAGGGCTCCTGCAGCGACTCTTTTATTTCCTTTGTTTCTAACCCACCTTTCCTCCAAGGAGCTCAAGGTAGAATCCATGGTTCTTCCCCTGCTTGCCATTTCATCCACAAACAAGCCTGCAAGGCTAGAGTGCCAGACTGTGATTGGCCCAAGGCCAGCTAGTTTCATGGCCCTGTGGGGATTTGAACCCTGGTCTCCCAGCTTCTGATCTGACACTCTAACTTGCCATCTTCTCTCTCTCTTCTCTTGCATTCTAAAGATCTCTCTGGATTGGGGTGGGGTCTCTCTCTCTCTCTCTCTCTCTCTCTCTCTCTCTCTCTCTGTGTGTGTGTGTGTGTTTAGGAAGCTTGCTGTTACTTGCCTCTCCACTTCCAAAGATGCCTTCATGGTATTTGCACTTTGGGCAAGCTGCCAATCATGCAATATGCTGAGCTGGCAAGGTTCAGGATTCCCCTCCCTTGCTGCCCACCCTCCTGCATGTTGAAGGACCACTGTCTTTGAATATGCCCCAAGGAGAAATGTAGACAGGTCTTTTCCAGAGGGTGGGCTTGTCGCTGGGACTTGGTTTCAATGTAGGAGATAAGCAGGCTCCATAGTATGAAAACTGCAGGGTGGGACATGATGGTTGATTTATATGCCCTTTTTTGACCCAAAGGTCTCCAGAGCAGCACATTAATGCAAAAACAGATACAAAAATAAAATTAAAAAATGCAATGACAGTGCAAGCTTAACTGAGTCTACTTGGAAGTAAATCCTATTGAATTCCATGGGGTTTGCTCCAGGAAAGTGCGGCTAGACATGTAACCTAAAGTCAATTACCAGACGCACATAACAATACATCAGCTCCAAGCATGACTTGCACACACCCACATCCGATTCCCAGAAGTGGGAGGACTCATAGCCACATCCATCCGGATCCACGGCTGCACCCTTTCTGTCATTGCTTCCATCAAAGCAACAAGAACACTGGAGGTTTCTATGTCTGCAACAGAGAGGCTTGAGAAGATGGGCTTAATCTTAGGGAGCATTCCTCCATATAGCTCATAATTCTGGCCCTGACTAGCCAGGCTTTGATATCGCAGAGAGAGGCGGGATAACGACCACAAAGTTGAAGGAAAGTGGCTGCGTAGAGAGAGCCAATCCTAGGTTAGGCCCTATCTGCACCATTCCCCCCCAAAATCACGCCACTTTCACCTGTCATGGCTTCCCACAAAGAATCTTGGGAACCATTGTTTGTTAAGGGTGCTGAGAGCTATTAGGAGAACCCAATTTCCCCCCACAAAGTTGCAATTTTTAGAGTTCCCTGGGACGAGGGAGTGGTTGCTAAAAAACTCTGGGAGCTGAGGGGAATAGGGATGTTTGGGTCCTGGTTGTGGGTTTCTCTCAGGCATCCAGTTAGCCACTATGAGAACTGAACACTGTATTAGATGGGCCACTGGCCTGGTCCAATAGGCTCTTGTGTTTTTATGTGCATGTCTAAATGGCTGGTAAAGAACAGGTATGTTGCCATAGAGACAACTGGGTGGTGATGCTTTCTTAGGAGATGGGTAGCCCTCCATCCTCCACACTTTCAGCTGGCTGGAAACTAGCTTTTAGTCTTGCTGGAGCTGAAAGCTAGAAAGAGATGCAAAGGTTTACCTTGCTGTGTGTGCTTAATCCAAAACTATGGCTTTGGGGATCCCAAACTTAATGGGGAAGCATGATATGATGGAGTGTTACTGCTGCCTTTCCATCTTGTGCTCAGGTTCTCCCTCTCTCTCTCTCTGTGTGTGTGTGTGTGTGTATATATATATATATATATATATATATATATATATATATCAGAGACACCAGACACCAGAGACTTCATTGGCCTTCAGTCTAAGGAAACTGAGCCCTTAGGGAAGTGATGACCAAACTTCTTGGCCCTCCAGCTGTTTTGGGACTATAACTCCCATCATCCCTAGCTAACAGGACCAGAGGTCAGGGATGATGGGCGTTGTAGTCCCAAAACAGCTGGAGGGCCAAGTTTGGCCATCACTGCCTTAGGGTCTCTTGGCGCTAACAGATTGGGGTGTGTGCAGTGATATATACTGACAGGAGCAGTGCTTTTTTTCCTAAAAAAAAGGTTTAGGGGTACTCTCATTTTGACTCAAGAAAATCACCATTTTATACATAGTTCAAATTGGGGAAAATAAATACAGTAAATGGACAAAAGTACAAAGATTCACAAAATGTTTAGGGGCATGTGTACCCCTGCATCCCCCCCCCCAGAAAAAAAGCACTGGAAAGGAGCCAAGCGGTATTGGGTGGGATTGAGCTTCTTCAGAGAGGAAATCTACTGTAGGTCAGGTGGAAGTCAAAAGGGCCTCAAATATTGTTTGAGGTTGAAAAGACGAGGCGTTTTAATCGCCGTTTCCTTGAAAGCTCATTTCCTATTATTGTTAGCAGGAACTCTCTAGGATTACTAAGAACGGAAAGTGATCAAAAGGCAGCAGAGAGGGCTCTCCTTGAAAAAGGAAGGCATTAAAAGGGGTGATTTCAGGGGGACTTAGGTCAGGGAATTGATTAGTTTTAAAGTCCACTCATAAATTAGATTGGAAGGGAAGGGAGTTGTTATTAGTAGACAGGTTCTGCACAATTTTGCTTCTATGTGGTCCATTAGGTCAAGAACAGACACACTCAGGTCTGAAACACACTTATTCAGAAATAGGTGGGAGAATCTGTCAATTTCTATTTCTCAGGTCCCTTCACCCACCCCCACCCTGCAAAAAAAATAAAAATCAAAAACATCTGAATTTCAGTTATCTGAATTTCCCTATAAATTTGTGATTTATTTATTTTTAAAAGGTCCTCTCAAAAATTCACCAGCATTTTAATGGTCAGTCCTCCTAACAGACATGCTTCTGTATGCGATTTTGTCTAATATGCATGCATTTTGGCAAGTGCTTTTCTCTAATATCCATTTCTGTAAGTTGTTTTCATTATTATATGGATTTTTATGCACGCTTTTCTCTACTATGTGCATTTTTTGCACGCGACTCGGCTGGAGAACTGCACTGCAAATTCAGAAATGTGCAAATGAAGGATGGCTGTCTTTCAGTTTGCACATTGTTTTGGGAGCTGTGAATTAAGTGTGTTCATGCTGAAATGCAAGTCAACAGGTCCCAATGGGTTCAATACGTTATTACTAAGAATCCAGTCAGGTAGCTTTTTAAAATTAATAATCCAACAAGAATGATGTAGAGAGTTGTCATGAATTTAGATACATGCAGATAACATGGATCTGAAAGCACTGCACGAACCATCATCTGTTCTACAGATGTGTTGATGGGTCCTTTTTTTTAGTTCCCCGCTCTGCCTGAAACTTTGAGTTCACAGCTAGAATGTGGCTGGCTGCTTCTTCAAATGAATTTCATTGGAACTTGACATCATACTATTATGATCATTCTGTTGAAATGATTTCAAAAAAGTGTGCATGTAAGGGGCTGTGAACATGTTAGCATGTTTTATAAATGCATATACCTTTCCACTCCATCATATCCTCCCCCAAAACCCCACATTACACACACACACACACACACACACACACACATACACACACCATTTCATTTGGAGAAGAAAGAGTCAGAAGGCCCACTTTCAACTCAAAACACAACCATGGGTTCACCTAGAGGCCTCTTTTCTAACACATGAACTCTGTTTGCATGAGTGAACACATGGGAGTTTCTGGTGCTACCTGGAGCAAAGCATTACTGATCCATTTGTTAACCATAATGAAGCAAAGCAATTTGTCAAACAGCGACCCCCTAGTGGCAGAATGCAGCAATAACCTTCTTATGCTGGGAGAAACCGTACAGAGTGACACCTACTGGCAGAACATGGTATTAGCCCTCCTATGATAAAGTCAGAGGTGGAAATGAGGGTGCTTACCTCCAGATTTATTGATGATAAGGAATGGAAGAAACCTAGCTGGTACCAGAAGAACAGACAGATTGAAGGTATTCAATACAAAGGAGCTATCCTGGGAGAAACTGAGAAACGATTAAAATTGCAACAGAATATTCCAGAGACTGCAGGGACCTACAATAAGCTAGAAGTGAACAGACAGTCATCTTCTAGAGGTGTTGTTTGCATACTGGAACAATGGGGCTTTGTCTCATAAACATAATGGCAATCAGATATAGTTTGTCAACATCATTTATATCATGTACAGTACTATGATAAAAATAGAGCTTGGTGTGTCTGTGGATTTTTGTGTGTGTGTGTAGCTGCATAATCTCAGCCCAGAGGGATGACACAGTGGAACAGGAACAATGTTAACAGTATGGTAATACATGACAATTAGGCACGGTGCCCAAACCCTCCAGGATATGTTCTTTCCAGCTTACCTGTCATCCAGGTGCTACTGAACTGGAAAAGACCCCAGATGTTCTTAGATTAAAAGGATCTGTGAGCAAAGGTGGGTGTACCAGGAGGTAAAAATGAAATACCTGTCTCAGGGGTGTGGGGTAAGGAGCTGGTTGCCATTAAGGTGGGAGATGGAGAGGCTAAACACAAGAGACCCAGTCTAGATCATTTGCACGGACATATACAATCACACACACACACACCTTCCCACATAAAAGTGTTGCCTCCCCTCCCCCCCCAACCATTATTTGCCCATTAATAGGATAAGAAATTGCATCAGGAAAGTATTAAAGGGCAAAGGGCCACAGGTGAGTGGAAAGTCATATTTCTTGCATGCAGAAGGTCTTAGGTTTAATCCCCAGCATTTCAAGGTAGGGCTGAGAGAGACCCCTGTTGAAACCCTGGACAACTGTCAGTGTGGAAAATACTGAGCTAAATGGGCAGGTGTTCTGGCTCTGTATAAGGCAGCTTCCTACATTCCTGTTTCATTGAAATGCTAATTGGTGGGGCTCTGGGGTTTTGTTGCTCTTAAGGTAGCCAAGGTGTGTTTGTGAGTATGCTTTTTTCCTAGCAGTCTGCACTCTGCGCTCTTCTTCGACACATCCAAACAAACAAACAAGCCATGCCATTCTTAAACAAGGGCAGCCCAGATTTTTTAAGGCTCAGTAGGGAGTGACCCCTGGCTCCTTCTGATCAATGAGCGCCACAGTCAGGTATGTCAGGTATGTCAAATATCTCAGGTACGCTTTTTGTATTTGACTAGAACTGGTTGGGGGAAGATAGTGACTGCTGGGCATATGAGACATGGTGGGGGCCGGAGGGGATCAAGGCCTGTCATCACAAAGAAGAGACAATTAACTTCATTTGTGATATACACTTGAATGAACTTCTTCTAGGCTCAGCATCTGACTCTACTGTCTGCTTTCAGAATCCACACCACACCAATACTTTTATCCAAAGGGAGATTTTAAAAAGCATTGGGGGGGGCGTTGCAAAGAGTTTGTGCCCCCTTGCAAAAAGTTTATTAGGACTATTAAATGTTCTTCTTTTTATACAAATGCACTTCATTTCCAAGAGATGTGGGAATGACTGTTAACTTTGATGACTTAAATAGCACTAGAGTCGGCACATTCCTGGAAGATTAGTTTATGAATGGCTATGAGCCATGATTGTTACAGAGGCAAAAGATCTAGAAATGTCTTGGCAACTTTTCAAATGAAAGGGTGGCTTCCATAACCACAACCTAAAGAGACTCAAAAAATTCAGGCAGCTGTGCCGATTTCTATCTTTATACCCCACAAAAAAGGACACATCATAGCATAAAATCCAGATTATTACAATCAGTTTACAGTTCCAGATCAGGGGAATGGACTACCTCAGAAGGTAGTGCACTCTCCTTCATTGGAGGTTTTTTAAACAGGTTTGATGTCATCTGTCGGGGATTCCTTAGCTGTGATTCCTGCATTACAGCGGGTTGGGCTGGATGACTCTGGGTGTCCCTTCCAACTCTGCAATTTCATGAGGGGTAAGAAACCTTTTCTGGCCGGCAGGCCAGATCTTCATCTCTCCACCCTCAGAGGCCCAATCTGACAGGTGGGTGGGCTGCCCACCTCTCAGTCACCAGGCATCTTAGTGATGTCAGGTGATGCAATACTTGGAATCTTCAACCGCCTAACGTGCAACTTTAGCTTTCGAACAGAGGTGCAAACAATCTTTCACTAGAAACAAAATGCATCCCACACCACCCACATGGAGATTTAAAAGGGTGTACCAAGGTGTGACAGGACGCGGGTGGCGCTGTGGGTTAAACCACAGAGCCTAGGACTTGCCGATCAGAAGGTTGGCAGTTCGAATCCCCTCGACGGGGTGAGCTCCCGTTGCTCGGTCCCTGCTCCTGCCAACCTAGCAGTTCGAAAGCACGTCAAAGTGCAAGTAGATAAATAGGTACTGCTCCGGCGGGAAGGTAAACGGTGTTTCTGTGTGCTGCTCTGGTTCACCAGAAGTGGCTTAGTCATGCTGGCCACATGACCCGGAAGCTGTACGCCGGCTCCCTCGGCCAATAAAGCGAGATGAGTGCCGCAACCCCAGAGTCGGTCACGACTGGACCTAATGGTCAGGGGTCCCTTTACCTTTACCTTTACCAAGGTGTGACAAAAGAAGAAGGAAGTGTCAGTTGAAAATGTAACAAAGTGTAATGGAAGGATTAAGAAAAGTTTTTGAAAACGAGATGGTCCCCAAATTAAGGGCTCTTCATAGCTGTTATAGCTGCCAGTTAGCGCCATCTGCTGGAACATCAGAGTAATGCAGACAACCCTCAAAATCTTAATGGCTGAAGTTAAGGCTGAATAGTGTGTGTGTACACACACACACACACACACACACACACACACACACACACACAGACACACACAGACACACACACACACACACACACACACACTTCTAATTAAAATGGTTAACAACATCTCAGTTACATTCAGTTGGTAGGTAGGTTTGGAAGTAGTTGCAGGGGAGAAACATGTAAAATCCTGAACTGGGAAGTTTCTACCTTGGATGATTATCTTCAAAATTAGGAATCCTCCCCTCTGTTTTAACAGTCCTGTTTGAAGGAGTCCTCTATTTTAAGGGTTGTTTGGTCCAAGTCTGGTTGAAAGATAAAACTCGCTAAGAAGAGAGAACAGGAGCCATTCAGCTCACCTGGACAGAGTCGTCCCTACTTTGGAGAGATGTATTATATTTGTGTTTAAATTATAGTCATTCTTTTTAAATTTATATGTATACATTAACTATGACATGCAGTGCAAATCTGTGTCCTCTTTTATCTTTCTTTCTTGGCAATACCTAAGGAGCCACCCTACCTCCTCCTCCAAAAGTGTCCCCCTTTTAAAGTAAAAAATAAAAAATAAAGCGTGTTTGAACATGAATTATGAGACTCAGCACGGCTTCCCTAGACTTTCTAGAACTGAAATTATTTTGGAACCAAAAACATATATTAGAATTCCATGATTAATGTGCAACATAAAATATTGATACCTTTTGTTCTAAGGCCACCTCCAGACCACCCGTATTTTGCAGGAGGGATTCAAGAATATACTAGGAAAATTGAGTTTGTGAATGAATGTGTTCTGTCATCCAAACATAAGAAATCCACTTAAACAAAAATCAACAATGGGCTTTTGAAGGTTGGAAAGTGATGGGGAAATGCATTGGAAAGGGTGGAATAAAAAAATGATGAACAGGAAGCTGTATTACCACTCCCACAAGCAAATCAGGATGAGTGCACAATAGATGATGTCCCCATAATAGTGCCCATTGGGACTGGCAGGTTGGAAAGGAAGAAGATCACCAGTAGGTGGCGCCAGAGCCAATGCTAGCCAAAGCCAGTGAGCGGCAGAGCCAATTGATTCTAGTTTTGAGACTAGTGAGGAGGAAGAAGGCAGTGCCAACCCCTTGGACTGCTTGTAAGTATGAAATCAGACAGGTGAGGAGTGGCTGGCGGCAGACTGAGGCTGGTGGGGCAGTGCCCTATTTTCCCCAAGTACTTCCTGCAAACAAGTCAGAAAAAGTTACAGGTAGGTAGCCGTGTTGGTCTGCCGTAGTCAAAACAAAATATAATAAATCAAGTAAAATAAATCAATAAAAGAATTCCTTCCAGTAGCACCTTAGAGACCAACTAAGTTAGTTATTGGTATGAGCTTTCGTGTGCATGCACACTTCTTTAGGTACCAACTGGATATGTTCTAACTCTTTTAGGACTATGAGTACCCCCTTCATTCCCATGGAACGCCTTACCAGAAGAACGACCGCTGCCCCCCTCCACCGCAGACGCTGCCTGATCGAGCGTGCGAGGTGCCCAGCTGTCGCTCGGACTCCGAGTGCGAGAGACACAAGCGCTGCTGCTACAATGGGTGCATCTATGCTTGCCTGGAGTCGGTGCCCCCACCTCCAGGTATGCCAGCCCATAATATGTCGTGCTGGACCAGATGAGGTGATGAGAGAGAGAAAGAGTGTTATTGATCTCTAGCATAAAATATTCGATCAGAGGAATACATGGAGGTCTGCCTTTGGCAGATCAAAATGTGGTAAGTGCTGCTTCCAGGTTCAGCTGCATGGTATCAGATGTTGAGTGTTAAGGCTGAATTCCCACAGCAGTTTATTCCATTTCCCCAGTGTTTCCCTAACTGTTAATTCTCAAATAATAATAAAAATTCCTTCCAGTAGCACCTTAGAGACCAACTAAGTTTGTTATTGGCATGAGCTTTCATGTGCATGTACACTTCTTCACACAAAAGTTCATACCAATAACAAACTTAGTTGGTCTCTAAGGTGCTACTGGAAGGATTTTGTTTTTTATTTTGTTTTGACTACGGCAGACCAACATGGCTACCTACCTGTTAATTCCCACTTTATATTTGACCCTGGATAGCTCAGTGTGGTGTTAATGATGCCAAGGTTGCAGGTTTGATCTCTGTAAGAAGCAGTTGCATATTCCTGCATTGCAGAGGGTTGGACAAGATGATTGTCAGGGTCCCTTCCAACTTTGTGATTCTATGATCTATGAGATTTCAAATGACATAAAAATCACTTCTGGAAATCTAGCAGAACATAGTGAAAGCTTATCGCTCAGTTCTGTGTTAATTACTTCCAGAAAATATCCATTTGGAAGCCTATTAACCCAGAAAACCATGGGAGTAAAGGCCTTTCCTGTTTTTTTCATGGGGGGATAATGGGGGAACAGAAGCACACATGTGCTGAAAGGGTGTGGGAGAAGCCACATTGTCCAACGGTGTGTGTCAGTGTTGTTCATCACCATGTGAATGACATTTAGCATGACCTGCAGGTATATTGATCAAAAAGCCACAGTTCCCTAATGCTGTAGGTACTGCCATGTGAAAGCAACGTTAGAAACCAGAACAGAAGCACTAGCATTATAATCAGGAAAACTGGTGCAATGTTCTGCATGTCTGAATGCAGCCAAGGAGGAAAATACCACCACCATCCCCCTGCTTCTGAACTTCCCTGGAGTATCCATCTGCCCACTGTCTATTGACAGATTACTGAGTGGCATCAACCAATGATCCATCGTAGCAAAGCAGTCCTTGAATTCTTCTATTCACTTTTCAGTGTTCTCATTCTCCATAACAATGTCTGGTTTCTTGGAACAGTTTTGGATTGGTTGGTTCAGCCCAAGCCACGCTGGCTGGGTGGAAATGGCTGGCTTCTCGACGGACCGGAAGAAGTTTTACAAGGTCAGAAAAATGTGTGCATCATTTGGAAGGTGTCAGAATATTGATACTGCTCTACAAATATGTTTCCCAATTTGGGTATAGCATTGTAGGATGGGTGAGGATTCTGGTAAAATGGTCAGACCAGTCTCTTTCTTAAGTTAAGGGCTCTAGCTAGGCCTGCAAAGTATTTCTTTGCATGTCTAAGCAGCACAAATACTACTAGCTAGAGATACTTCCAGGAGACAGGGCTTCTCCCTTCACCTGTCTGGAGGTGATGCAATAAACAAGTGTAAGAGAACAGACCTGAGCTGGTCTTGACCAGAGCTAGGAAGACACAGAGGTCTGGCTTTGCTCTCTGTGCTGAACCCCAAGCTGTGGCTTTGGGGCACAGACACGCCCCACGCCCCCGCAAGAAACCAAATGGAGAAGCAAAATCTGTTAGAGTTTTAATACTACGAGCTCTTCCATTCTATGCCCAGCTTCTGCATATGTGTAAACAAATAAAAATATACCACCATCTCTGGTGACCTTCATTCCAAGGAAACCCAAACTGACCTATGTGCTGGAACCCCTGAAATCTCCACTTGGAGAGTGGAGTGTGTGTAACAATAGGAAGTTGCCTCCCATCCAGACCAGTAATGTCTACTCTGACTGGCAACAGCTTTCCAGAGTCTCAGGCAAAGACTCTGTCTGCTCTCTGGTCCTTTTAAGTGGAGGCACTCTGACACTGCGTGAGGGTTCTCTGCTATGGCTCCCCAGAGAAAGGTAGCAAAAGCTAACTTAACCTGGTCTCTTCTAGCAAGATTCTCTCTCTGTGTATCTCTCCCTCTCTGATGTTACCAGCTGATCATGGAAAACTGAATTGGCATGCTCTTGTGTTTTTAAGCACACTTCAGCATGCAGAAATCAACTCACAAAACTTTTCACAGCACAGAAACGTGATCACCCGCTAATGCCTACACACCAAGCAGCTGTTAAAAAGCAGAAGAGGCTGGGGCAGGATGAAAGCTGGCAACCTTGTACTCTTGGGCCAAGGCTTTGGACTTCCTTTGGAAAAGCTACTTTAATTCACACAGCCTAATAGAGATGAACAATCAGGGTTATCTAATGACTAGGAAAAATCCCCCCCCCCAAAGCCAATTGATTTGCAACTGTCCCTGGCAGAGATCTGAGTTCAAGGCTCAAGGGAGGAACATTAAAAGACATAGTGGGCCAATAACTGAGCAGAGAGGTTTTGTGGGTACATAACTGCATCCATGTCATGTTCTTGTCACCTTTGGGCTGAGAAGGCAACCAGCAAACCAAGCCAGCAGGGAGGACCCTTGAGCATGGCTTGGTCAACTCAGCAGCCTCAACACGCTTAGCCAGATGGACCTTTGTCCTGGCCTGGTGGGGACCTTCTCATGTTCTCCTATGACTCTTTCCGCAGCCGAAGCATGCAGCACCACAGAAGATGGAGACGAGCCTCTGCACTGCCCAACAGGATATGAATGCCACATCATTAATCCTGGCAACGCCGCTGAGGGCATTCCCAACAGAGGCCAGTGTATCAAGCTTCGTGGGAACTCTGGTAGGTCTACACCTTCTGGGGATCACATGCCCTTGACCTTCTGAGGGTCAAGAGGTGGAACAACAACAAACGTGACTCTTGTGTACAGCAGGGTACATTTCTGCCACACACAAATCAGAGGTTTCTATGCACGCACCTCTCCGTTTTGGCAAGCAGGATTGAAGACACCTTCCAGCAAAAGTGCTTGAGAAGAGCACAAATGGGGGGGTGTGTGGCCTGGGGGCCACATGGCCTGAGGTTCCCTACCTCTGATCCATGTGTGAGTCAATGCTGATCTATTCTGATTCTTTTGTACTTCTGGCTTCCAGACACTAGGTGTGACTGTAAGTGTTCTGCAGATTGAGAAGGAAAAGCCAACACGGTGCCCTTCAGATTTTTTTGGGACTGCAGCTTCCATCATTCCCAGCCAGCATGACCAATATTCAGGGATACTGGGAGTTGTGGTCCACAACTTCTGGAGTCCACTGCATTGGCTACACACTGGTATAGAGGAAACTGGGTAAGCTCCCTATAAGGTCCGGAGTTCATATTTGTTACTGCCTTATTTCTAAAGGGCTGTGCAACATAATGGTTTCAGCAAAGTCAGGAGAACATCCATCCATCATGTTGTGGTCAATGCAAGATAGTCATTCCAATTTTACTATCTGGAGCTCATTTTCATTTGTTTTTCTCCCCAGATGGGTGGAATCTAAGGCCTAAATATTACAAGGAATATTTTGGTAAGACTCCACCATTGTGATTTGGATCATGACAAATTCAGCTTAAATGCATATTGCTGTTTGCTTGCTTGCTTGCTTGCTTGCTTGCTTGCTTGTTTCAAAACGTGTATATATATTGCTTTTTTGGTCCTAAAAAGTGCCCCCAAAGTGGGTTACAATAGAATAATTAATGCATTAAAAGTCAGTTTAAACACACACACACGCACACACATAAACCAAGAGCAGAATGAGATAACCCAGACATATTAACAATCATCCAATGGTCCACTTGAACCACCATGAATTCCTTCCTAGGATCCCAAGCCAGTTGCTGGAAACTACAAGCAGGGAGAGGGCTGCTGCTTTTGGGGTTACCAAAGACTGGGCCCTATGAGAACAGGTTGTTAGATTAGGTTGGCCTTTGGCCTGATCCAGCAAGCTCTTCTTCATGCATTGCATGGTTAAACTATGGAACTCATTCCAGGGGAGGCAGTGATGGCCACTAACTTGGATGGCTTTAAATGAGGATTAGAAAAAAATATTCAGGAGAGGGCTATCATTGGCTATTAGTAATGGTAGCTGTGCTCTGCCTCCACAGATGGAGGCAGCAATGCTTCTGAATACCAATTGCTGGAAACCACAGGCAAGGAGAGGTCTCTTGTGCTCAAATCCTGCTTGCAGGTTTCCCACAGGCATTTGGATAGCCACTGTGAGAACAGGATGCTGGACTAGATGGGCCATTGGCCTGATCCAACAGGGCTCTACATATGTAAACAGCTGCTATTCTCTTCCTATCCCACTGTCCTGCCCATGAAGCAGGTCTTCACCTTGTAATTCTATAGCCCCATTAAACTGTAAGGAGTTCAGCCTACACTTAAGTAGGACTTTGGCAGAGACACATGCCCGTCTGGCATGTTCCCTCTCTCCTGGTCAATCGTTTGGGAGCTTCATAAGCTTTCTTCTGCCCGAACATCACAGCGACCGATGCCAACCGACAATGGCACACTTAGGGATCCTCCGAGTTTGCACATCATGCGTGTGACAGACTTCAGCAACTCAGTATGTTGGCTCATCTACTTTATTTACATATAAACACACATGGAGCACTGCAACATGGCTCCCTCTCTCTCTAGCATCAGACAGCAAAGAGAAAAAGGACAAAGGACAGTCGTCCCACTTCAAGGAACACAGTAACACAAACATCCTGTCTTCGTCACTTCCCATTCTGTGGAGTCAAAATATATCACGTCATGTGAAAGACAAAAATCCCATGACTGAAATCATAGATCAGGAATTCTAACATACACCATGATATTCTTGAATGGATTCACATTCTTAAATGTTCATGCTTCACATCTATTCTGCCCATTGTTGTTTTACAGGAGGCAGTTCCAATAACGTGGTGGGCTACGTCAAACAACAGCAGAAACACCTTGGTTAATTCTGGCAAAGCCTTCGGGGGGGATTCTCCCAATAAATGGGGACACGGCGTGAAAATGCGTGACGATGCCTCTGCTTTCTGCTGCAGCTCTCAGGTCTTCCCCACAATCCAAGATCCAGAACAAAACAACATGGCGCCTTTGAGATGTCGTTGCACTAAAGCTCCCATCAAACCCCAGGTAGCCTGCTCAGCAGCCAAGGACCATGGAAGTCATATCCCAACATTTTATTGAGGGCACTGCATTAGATACCTCTGTCCTGAATTCCTGGTGGTGCCATAACATTGTTAGACTCCAACTCCCATCAGCCCTGGCCAGCATGACCAATAGTCAAGGATGATGGCAGCTGTAGTCCAAGTGCATCTGGAGGGTCCATCACTTTGGCTACTGCTGGCCCCGACCAGTGATAAAATTCAGATAGGAAACCATGTCTTGTAGAGAAATGCTGAATAAACACAGACCTTAACTCCTAGTTACCTGGATCACACTTTCACCTGTCACTTTGCACTGCATTCTTAAAAGCCACTGTATTCTTCTCTGTGTTTTCTGAGCTTGACCTTTTGCTATCATTCATATTTCGATAATAGAGTTTCTGATTGGCAGTAATGTCTTCTCATCTGCACACACAAAATAAATGCATCTTGTCCAGGGAAAGTGCCCTGTCTATTTATTTCTTTTGGTGTATTTCAAATGGAGCGGTTCTGTATGATATAGGTGAACAGATTTCCATCCCCCTGCCCTTGCTCAGATACCAACTGCTTTGGAAATACAGCTAATCTGCACATGCCAAGTGTATTATCACCATTCCTTCTATTTCCAGTGTCCAGGCTGTAATGGCAATATAGGAACAGGTGGTGTGGTGTTATGGACTAGGAGACCAGGGTTCAAATTCTGCTCACAGGGTGATTGTGGGCCAGTCATTGTCTCTCAGTTGAACAGGGTTGTGAGGAAAGGATTGAGAGAGGGAGGACTTGAGCTCTTTGGGGGAAAAGGTAGGGCAATAAATATTAAATGCAAATAAAATCAGCAGCATTTGCACAGAAAAAAGAAGTTATCAGCAAGCTTGTGGAAATTCCAGATTTATGTAAACATACACATAACCTTTAGGAAAGGTTGGGGGCAGGAATAATAGCCCAATGAGGACTGAGCATGCTCAGTAGTCTCCATGCTGATGGACTGTTAGGGCAGGGCAATGAAAAATGGTGGTGAGAAATGGAATGGAATGGAAGGATGAAATCCTGAACAGCATCATGCCCCACTGCCACATTTTCTGTCAATGACCTGTTTGCAAATTCAATCCATTTGTATGCAGATGATTCATTTATAAATGAGGTGGATGTCAGGCACCCACTTTGCTTTGTCCCAGCTCCTGCCAACCTAGCAGTCTGAAAGCATACCAGTTGTTAAGTTGTGGGTGAACATATCAGACGACACAGTGATTCTTCAAACAGCTTTTGTTTATTCACAGGCCAGAACAGAACTGAACTGAAGGGTTCAGCCAGCCTGCTTATATAGAGCTCCACTAGAATGCAACAGTAACCACTTTCTGTAACTATCCAATCACGGAACGTCACTTTCAATCCCTTATTTGCATATGTGGACCTGAGTGAAAACTGTCTACAGTATCCCCCTGCTGGCCCAGGGTGAGAACTTCAGTACATAACACCAGTGAACGTAGATAAATAGGGACCACTGTGGTGGAAGGTAAACAGCGTTTCCGTGAGCTCTGGCTTCCGTCACTGTGTTCCGTTGCACCAGAAGCAGTTTAGTCATGCTGACCACATGATCCAGAAAGCTGTCTATGGACAAATGTCGGCTCCCTTGGCCTGAAAGAAGAGATGAGCGCCACACCCCATTGTCGAATTTGACTGAACTTAACTGTCCAGGGATCCTTTACCTTTTCCCCAACCAAGGACCCTCCAGTGGTGGCTGGTGCCCATTGAGGCTGGTAGGGTGGGAGGCAGGGAGCTGAACAGTAGGTGGCACCAGAACAAATGAGAGGCAGAACCACTTAATTCTAGTTTTGCTTCCATCCTCCCTGCTGAGTTCTATGAGGGCAATACTGAGACTAGGAGGAGGAGGAAGCTGACAGGTAGTGGTGCCTCCCAGATTGGGTGTAAGTAAGAAGGCAGACAGGAGGGGCTGCCCAAGGACCCACTGCTCACTGATGGCTAGGGTGGCCGTGTGCCCTGCTTTGCAGAGGACACACCTCCGTGGGAAGACATCTCTGTTTGGAGGGCTGTTTGATGCTGGGTACATTTAAAGATAAGCCTAAGAAAAGGGCTGCAGCTCAGCAGTAGAGCTGCCAGTCAGTGTAGACAACACTGAACTAGATGGACCAATGTTCTGATTCAGTATAAAGGCAGCTTTCTGCTTTTCTTCTGGATCAATGCTGGATAAAGTTGTCTGGATCAATGCTGGATAAAGTTTCCTACAGAAACCTTTCAGGAGGATATTTTATGACCCATTCTGCTGCATGCCTCATCATTTTATGGAATGACTTTCCCTCCTTAGAGAATCTTGTCTTCTGTGCCCAGAGGGAAAGCGCCTTTTGTGCAGACATAAAGGAAAATGAGGGGCAGTGACCTTTCCCCTGCAGCTCAGAAAACCTGGTGAAGTCTTGTGGCATCTTGTTCGGGTTCTTAACTAGGAATGCAACCTGGTTTAGCCAATGAATCGATCAAATATGTTTGCAATCAACTAAAAATTACAAGGATCATTTATTAAATCTGTTAGATGGTTGTTATGTAAAAAGGTCTTCAAGAGTTGTACACAATGAAACACACAATTACCAGAAACACGTGCAATTCATAAAAATAAATGAATCCCATAGCAACTTCCAATTAATGGCTACTAGCCAACCTAGCAGTTTGAAAGCACATCAAAGTGCAAGTAGATAAATAGGTACCACTCCGGCGGGAAGGTAAATGGCGTTTCAGTATGCTGCTCTGGTTCACCAGAAGTGGCTTAGTCATGCTGGCCACATGACCCGGAAGCTGTACGCCAGCTCCCTCGGCCAATAAAGTGAGATGAGCGCCGCAACCCCAGAGTCAATCACGACTGGACCTAATGGTCAGGGGTCCCTTTACCTTTACCCTTGTTGGCCATGCTCTACCTCTGCCCATTCCTCGGTCCAATGGATACACAAATTTCTGGAGAAAGGAGAGCTGCTTTATCCTATGTAGTGAGAGTGTAAAGCCAGCCCATACTCCTTGTGTCTCACCCAGATCCCAGAAGAGCATGCTGGTCTCCTACAACTCTGATCCTAAACTTCCAGCAGCATGAATGCCAAGCGTCTAACCCCGAGGTTGGCAATCACACACACTTCAGCGCTTCAATTAGGAAATGTTATTAAAAATAAATAAAAATACGAGGAAAAGCAGGAAAAAGTTCAAAACAGAATACAAAATAGGCCAAAGAACTGCAGTTCTAAAAATCTACTAATGCTAGCCCATTTACTACACCCTAGTTGGTCTGGTTTACTCTTAAGGAAGCAGTGAGGATAGTCAGCTTCTTACAAAGTCCATTCTGGATCCCTGATGGTGGTGGGAAAGGCAGTTATGAATTTTTCAGGATCCAGACTCAGTTGCTCAGGTCCCTCACGTTTCTCAGGTAGGCATCTAAAGTTCCCTTTTTTTTTTTTTTTGAAGAGGATGCCTGGAAGATACATGACAGCTTAACTTGGAGGACACCAAATTCCTGTGTGACAGTAACCACAGCCTTTTCCTCTCTGACATTTTCCCTCTCCCTCTTTCTGTTAAGTGAGTAAAATACCTGCTTTCTCCTGAAACATTCTGCTACCATCTAGTGACAAAATGTTGTAAATGCAGCCTCTTTTTACCTACTGCTGCTGCCCTGTGACCCATTACTGTACAGTAAAGTGGTACCTCGGGTTAAGTACTTAATTCGTTCCAAGGTCTGTTCTTAACTTGAAACTGTTCTTAACCTGAAGCACCGCTTTAGCTAATGGGGCCTCCCGCTGCCGTCGCGCTGCCAGAGCACGATTTCTGTTCTCATCCTGAAGCAAAGTTATTAACCCAAGGTACTATTTCTGGGTTAGTGGAGTCTGTAACCTGAAGTGTATGTAACCTGAAGCATATGTAACCCGAGGTACCACTGTAACGCAAAATTGCTTTCTCTGTTTACACGCTGCTGCCACCTGGTGGTACAGCCTCTTTTTACCCACAGCTGCCATCTGGTGGCATAATACTGCAAACTGTAGCCTCTTTCTACATGCTGCTGCCAGTCGGTGCTTGCTGGACAGGTTTCCCAAAAATGTGGCCCATCAACCAGGACTTCAAATAATGAGCAAAAATGTGACCCATGATTTTGTTTGTTTTTCAGCTCCTGCCCAGGCGGGTCACATTTTCACTCATTTTTCAGAGTCCTCACCCATGAGTCATATTTTTGGAGGAGTTTATTGCTGTTTTTATGTTTGATCTCAACACCTTTGCTCTTTCTATTTTTATTGTGTAAGTTGCTTTGAGACACCTAATAAATATTTATTTTTATTATTTGGGTTGGTTTTTTTAATTGTAGCAATGCAATTGCTATTAATCACTTCCCTGCTCCGCTCACATAACTGCAATGGAAGACCACGGAGAGCTACACACTTGACTCAGCAAGGATTTCTGACTGAGAGCCAGTAAAGCACACTTCAATGGTCAAAAAGTGGTATATTTAACTGTTAGTGATTAAGTGTCCAAGCCTGGATTTAAAGTGTCCCACTAGGACTGTACTTATCAGTTAATAGGTAGGGGTTTCAAATCTACTCTGCTCTCACCTTGAAAATCAACATGGCTGTAGCTGAACTAAAAAGGTAACAGTATCGAGGGTTGCCATACATCTGGAATTTCCCAGACATAGCTGGTATTCGGCCCTCGTAAATGGGGCCGAATCCCGGTGGAAAATCAGTGAATGTCCAGGAAAATCCGGACGTATGGCAGCCCATGCATGACGGAAGTGTTGAAAGACCATGACGGAAGATGAACAACGAAAAGCTCAATAACTATTGTGTCCAGATTTTCGCTCTTTGAAATATGGAATAAAACTCATTATTTCAAATCTAAGTTGCATTGACCCACCTAGTCTTGCGAGCTGTTCATTATGTCAAAGATAGAAATACTTCATCCAACATGCTTTCCTAGGAGTAAAATTCGCAGAACCCAGCGGGGCTGCTGTTCTGAGTAAACATGCAGAAGATTGTGCTTCTCAGGGATATTTTAAACTGCGATTTAATCAACCTAAAGTAGGGTGAAGGGGAACTTCTGGCCTAGGGGCCAAAGGCAGCCCTCCGGGCCTCTCTAGGTGACACCCCTCCTATTGCGACGGTCAGCAGGACAGAGACCTAGGAAACATAGGGAGCCAGACCATTGGTTCATTGAACTGAAGTCTCTTCTAGACAATCTGTTTACTGAAAAATTGCCCTGATTTGCTTGCACAAAATTGCCCTGATTTGCTTGCAGCTATTTTTCAAGCATTCATCCTCATTTGTTTAGATCACATTTGTGTTAAGCAAATGTCATCCCACACTTTCCAGTACATCTTTCCATCACTTTCCTTATTGCAAAATTCATTTTTTTAAAAAATAGGGGAAGCAGGTTTGTTGTGCAAGGAGAGCTCAAAATCAACTCCAGTTGCACAATGTGAACTTGCTGGTATGTGATTGAATGCCATCCGCAGAACAGCAGCAGTCTGGAAATGCCCTCAGTACTGGGACTTACAGAAGCAGCTTTCTGGGGTTCACATAGGAGTCTTTTCCTAGTCCTACCTGGAGATGCCAAGAACTGATTTTTTTTCATGCAAAACATTTCTTGAGAGACAGCTGTTCATTTGCATATAGGAAGCTGCCTTATAGTGTGTTACACCATTGCTCTTCTGTTTTTATTTTTCTGTTACAGAATTGTACACAAATCATAAAACACGACATTGACAGAAAATGGATCACTGGGGTGGGGATAAAATACTAAACATATTATTTTGCAATACATAAGAATGAGATGATTACAGTAAACCACTTCAGTGGGTTCCTCAATAAATCAACTCTGAAAGCGCAAGATAATAAGAGTGAACTAAAGAGCATTGCCTGCTTATTTACACCATATTGCAGTGTCAGTTGTAGGAATTTCTCATCCATGTGTTGTTTCATCTGTATATTTAACGAAATCATACCATACAGTGTAAAAATTATATTGTTTTTTCTCTCCCCTTGCCACTTCCAGTTTTTGCGACTTTTCCATTATGGCTGTTTGCTGGAACAGTGAACAATATTCATTAATTGCAAGGTTTTCCAAGTTCTGGCTATCCCTATTCTAGCTGAAGTTAATAAATGTGCCTTACTCCATTGTTCTCTCCAGCTCTATACGGTCAGCAGTGACTGGCAGTGGATCTCCAGGGTTTTAAGACACTGTTTTCTCTCAGACTCACCTGGCAATCTCTAGTATGGGACCTGGGATCTTCTGCATGCAAAGCAGATCCTCAGCCATTCAGCTACAGCCCTTTGCAGTGTGTCATATTGTCTAGGGTTGAGAGATGGGCTGTGGGGAGGAAACCTGGGCATGCAGCGGCATGACAAACCAAGTTATTCGTTTTTTGTTCTTTTAACTCTCATTATTAGGCTACTTGGCTCGTTTTTTTAAAGTACTGATGTTCAGATGTAAAGAGTATTAAATGCAGTTTTTAAATTAAAAAGAGTATCTGCAAACTTCTTTTTTTAATCAATCTCTCTGCTTTTTTTTTCTTTTAAAGTTTGGAACTGGAACAAATAAATAGCAATCCGTTTTCCTGCCTGTCCATCAAGAAACCAGCAGTAAGTCCAGGGGGAAAAACGGCACAGACGGAACCCACCAGCCATGCCCTTTACGTACTGAAAGGCTTTTTATGTCTCCATACTGCAGCCAATCGCTAGCGGGGGCTAGGCCACACTTTATCCAATTAAAACCCACCCTCGGCTCCCCACTCCCCACCCCCGCCACTCTGACAACGACTAATGGCAAAGGGACGTAGGCGGGAGCACGGATGATTCAGCCAATTTAACCAGCGCATCTCTCCTCTTATAGGTGGGAGAGGTGCACCCGCCTTCTTCCCAAACAACCACTGAGCAGGCAGGAACCCGCCGACTCAGCCAATCCGAGGGGGCTCTTTGGTTTTATTTATTTATTTTGCTGCGCCTGCAACCAAGCTTGGCCTTGGAAATTCCCTCCGTCGGCGGAGAGCAAGGGGCGGGGGTTGGCTTGGGCCAGGCAGCCAATAGGCAGGAAGAACCGGCGGCGAGCGGCCAGGAGGCGGGAGGGAGAGCTGGAATGGCAGCATCAGCGGTGGCAAGAGCAGGGTAGGGTGCGCGCCTTGAAGCCGCTGCCTGCGCCTCTGAGGGGACGAGGATGGGGAAGGCGAGGCGGTGGAGGCGGCGGAGGCGGCGGGTGAGGAGGAACCCCTGAGGCGGCGGCGGCGGGGAGACGGGAGGGGCAGCGGCTGCGGCCTGAGCCGCGAGGAAGCAGCAGGAGGATGGTAATACCGGCAGCGCCGCTGGGCCGGAGGCGGAGCAGGGGTTGGGGTGGCGGCGGCGGCGGGGAGACGATTGCAGCCTCTTCTGGGGTGGGGCTCCGGCGGCGAGTAGCATTCGCGGAGAAGGAACGTAATGGAGCGCCCATTGCGGGTCCCGGGAGGGAGGGAATACCTGCGCTGCCTCCCCCTTCATATTTCCTTTCGCTTTCTGTATTATCCTTATTATTCTTAGTTACGGGCCAATGTTGGTCCTACTCAGCGTAGGCGCATTGGACGCGGCTGGCAGAGGGGCTCGCGGACTCCCGCTCTGGACCAGCCTCTGAGCTTGAATTTTAGCCAAGTGCAAATGTTTACCCGTGATGCTGTTGATGATGACCATAAAATTATTATTGGCTTAGTTAGACGGTCTTAATCCTGCTTGGCCTAGCACTAGACCATAAATGGCCATGGTTGGCATAGCAGGTTCATTGATTTCAGGGAGTCTTCTCTGGAATAGAGAGTGGTTGGGTACATATACTGTACAGTACTGGCCATTATTGTTATTTTATTGTTAACAGTATAAAATCATTATTGGATGTAGACTAGCCTAGTTTTACTCAGAAGGAGTCCCATTGAAGTAAGTGGCCATGACTGCCTTAAAGGGTAAAGGGACACCTGACCATTATGTCCAGTCGTGACCAACTCTGGGGTTTATCGCTTTATTGGCCGAGGGAGCCGGCGTACAGCTTCTGGGTCATGTGGCCAGCATGATTAAGCCGCTTCTGGCGAACCACAGCAGCGCACGGAAATGCCGTTTACCTTCCCGCCGGAGCGGTACCTATTTATCTACTTGCACTTTGACATGCTTTCGAACTGCTAGGTTAGCAGGAGCAGGGACCGAGCAATGGGAGCTCATTCGGTTGCGGGGATTTGAACCGCCGACCTTCTGATCTGCAAGTCCTAGGCTCTGTGGTTTAACCCACAGCACCACCTGCATCTCTATGACTGCCTTAGGTTTGTTAATTTCAGTGGGTCCATTCTGAGCTGGAATTGAATTGTTGGGTGTGGATATTATATATTACAATCAAATTATTATTGCTTGTAGACGATCTTAGTCCTGTTCAGACTTGTCCCGTTGAAGTAAGTGGTCATGGCATAGGTTCATTAATGTCAGTGAGTCTACTCTGAGCTAGAACTTGGATACAAATACTACCTATCATTCTCACCATAATTGGTTATAGACAATCCTAGTCTTATTCAGAGCAGATCCATTGAAGTAAAATGGACATGGCTGACAAGTTTATTAATTTCAGTGGATCTGCTCTGAATAAGAACATAGTTGGATACAAATACTACTCACTATTATTAAGTAATTAATATTGGTTATAGACAATCCTTGTTCTACTCAGCCTAAACCCATGGAAGAAAATGACCACCAGTGGCATAAGAATTTAGTTGGATACCTCAATTCTCACTTCCCTTCTGTAGTGTTGAATTTTTAAAAATTGAATTGTATTTAGCATATTAGCTGGCCGCCATGTCAACAAAGGCCTCTGAGTGGTTCACACAGGCTTCAGGCAATGTACAATTATAGCATTAAAATGCTAAACTCAGTTTTAATTGGAGGCGTCTTCAGGGCAGGGACCTGCCCTCTTGTACTTTGTAAAGTGCCATGCGCACTGATGTTGCTACTTCATGATCATTGTAGTAGTAGTAGTAGTATTGGCAACAAATATTTGTTTCTGTTCTTACTTGATTTTTATTTGGGGGAAGTAGTTTCTTATTTTTTCTTATGTAGTTTGGCAAATGTGTTCTTATTTCCATGTGCTTTTTGGGGGGAGTGGGTATTTTTCATCAGTCTTCTACAGTATTTAGTTATCTTACTTTGGTGATTCTTTTACATTTAATTCTGATATCAACTGCCAAACAGCTTTTTCGATACAGCATGCATAGTTAACTTGTTCCAAGGGGGTAGCCATGTTTGTGTGTGTTGCAGAAAGCCCACAAAATTGAGTCCTTTTTCACTTCAAAAGTCTGACATACTTGTTGTGGCAGAAGCTTTTGTGGACTGGTCCAGATCCCTCTAAGATGCGTGAATTGTTTGCCTGATTTATTTATTTAGTTTGCATTTATATCCCACCTTTGCTACAAGGAATTCTCCATTCTATCATCACAACAACCCTGTGAGGTAGGTTAAGTCATGGCTGAGTGAGGATTTGAACCCTGGACTTCCAAGTTCTAGTCCAGCACTCTAGAGCAGGTATAGCCAATATGGTGCCCTTCAGATGTTGTTGGGCTACAACTTCCATCAGCCCCACCAATCTGACTAAGAGTGAGGAATGTTGGGAGTTGCTGTCCATCATGTTGAGAGATGCAGACAGATGCTGCAAAGGAGTGTTTAACAATGTGCCCCAAAGGTCAAGAAATTCATTGGGTACAGAGACTGTGTACCATTTCTACACAGAAATCAAACATGTACAATCACAGTAACCATTTCCCACAGAAATATCTGGCCGCAACATATTCCTACCTTTGATGCTGTGTTATGGCCAGATCCTGGCATGTTGCACTATTGCACTATCACTGTGCTTCTCCTATGCTTTGCATAGAAGTACCACAGACAGTACAAATTTTGAATATTATAGCCTATGGGGCTGTGTGTTTCCATCCTCTCCGAAGGCGTGCGCCTATGTATATGTGCATGCATGTTATACATTTACTGATAATGATACTTCATTGGATACACAAAGTGAGTTATGCTGCTATACCACAGTGGTGCCTTAGTGTTACAGCTCGGGCTGAGGAGACCTGGGCTCTGATTTTGCCCTCAGCTGAAGAGCTGACCTTGAGACTGAGCATCTTTCATGCCAACCTACCACACAGGGGATAAAATGGACAGGTGGCCATGTTTGTTGCCTTGAGTTCTTTGGGGTGGGGAGAAAGAAAGGTTATAAATGTAGCTAAAAAAATAAATAGCCAAAGTGTATGCCACACAGTAAATTTTTAAGGAAATAAGAGTCTGAGGAATTATATCCCACAAGGTGTGGTGATGGCTTGCCTAAGTGGTTATTTTAAAAAATAAACAAATAAAAATAGAATTAGGCATATTTATGGAGGAGGAGGGTAGATTTATAACTGGCTGTTAGCTGTAGTAGCTAAATAGAGCCTCCATGTTCAAAGGTTGTTTACCTCTGTATACCAATTGTGATACTAATAAATAAAATGAGGGAGGGCTATTGCTTTCATGCTCTTGTTGTCAAGTTGCCCTCTGGGTAATGTATGATGTAGCATAAGAGAACAACGAAACCACAGTACAATTAAACATGATACCAAAAATAAACGGAATAAAAATCATAACATTGTAAAGCCTGTATAAACATCAAATTGCCAGCAAACAAAACAACCCCAGGTTATTAAAATGTAACTTTGCTGTGCACTCCCAAATACCTGCTGAAATAAACTTTCATCAGTTTCATAAAACTAACATTAGGGCTGGCCTGCTAAACTTATATAAGGGAGAAAAATCTATAGTGAAGGTGCATCTGCCAAAAAGCCTCATTCATACCCCACCCCCACCCCCTGTCACTTGTAGATTTTTATTTTAAAAAACTCTTCTAACATACAAGACAAGGGCGATAAAGAAAGAGTCTACTGTACTCATTAAACCACTTCATCATCAATATGAGCTGCCCATATGTCCTAAATGCTCCCAAAACGAAGAGAGAGAGCAAGTCATAGTTCAGAGGCAGAGCACACACTTTGCATTCAGAAGACCCAAGGTTCGTCACCTGGTGCAGCTGGGGAATATTTTTGTCTTAAACACTGAATAGCTGTGGCCAGTCAGTTTACAGCACTGATGGGAAAACTTTGGCCCTCCAGATGTTACTGATCTACAACTCCCATCAGCACCAGTAAGCATGACCATGCTTGCTAGGGATGATGAGAGTTGTCGTTCAGCAACATGGGGGGGGGGCGGCACAGGTTCCCCATTTTTTGTACAGACAATATTGAGTTAGATGGAACAGTGGTAAAGGGCAGTTTCCCTGTTCAGAAAGAAACACACAGTTGAGTAGTATTTCTGCTCTAGATTTTCTCTGTTTCTTGTGTCAAAAGATTAAGAACTGTCTTGCTGTATTAGACCATAATTAAGCATCCTCCTTCCAACAGCAGCCCCACCAGATTCTTCTGGGTCAATCAGAAGCACAGTGATGACCTTTCCTCATCATTTGTTCTCATCCTGCAGCCTTCAGTGCAGTATCATTTAACCACCATGGCAAATAGGTGTTAATACGTTTGAGGGTGCATATGTAACAAATAACCAACTTTCCCTCATATAGCTTGCTTTAGGTGTGTACATAAAAAATAACCACCCAGGGACATTTTTTGGGGAAGGAGCAAGTTGAAGGGCCAAATTTGACAGGTGGATGGAGCCACCCACTTGTCAGTCACCAAACACCATAGTGACAGCAGGTGATGCTGCCCTTTGAAACCCTGACTGTTAGGACTTCAAAGCAAAGCATGGGGTAATTGAAAGCACTTTTGCAAACAGCCCCGCACAGCATGGAAAGAGTCGCATAGACAAACTGAGCAGTTAAATAAGCGTGTGTATATTATTTATACGTGGTAGTGTTTGTTTAATGGTCTTGTAAGTTGAGGGTGGGGATTCAAACCTCCCTTGATTCTCATCTTAGAGGATCCTTTTACAGCCAGTTTAGCTGGAAGGCACCTATAAAGAACTTTGGTGCCCCTTTCAATCTCTAATAGTTAAGTATTTCGTCTCTGATTTATTTTGTTCTGTGCTTCTTTGGGAAACATGTCATACTAAGAACAACTTTTGACTCAATCTGAGGATGACTATTGAGTTCATTGCCACCAAGTTTTTCTGGAAATAGTTAATCCACTTGCTGCTTTTGTGAAACTGTATTGTGAATTTCTTTTGTGTGCAAAAAAAATTGAGCTGTACTCTGTGAACTTGCATTGTAGTCCTCTGTGCGGTGATATATTTCTTGTTGTCTGTCTCTTTCCAAAACAATAAACAAATGAATCCTGTATATTGGGTTCATTCTTCTTAAAAATGGGGAAACTATTCTAGTCTGCAGTAGCAAAGCAGAAACAGGTGTGCACTTGTTCAAGTTTTAAATAAGGATTATATAGACCAGATATCTCCAGTCACAGTGAAGGTGAGGCTGCAAATATAGCATTAGGTCAGTTTTATTATGCAGATGAAGTCTTCAGCATGACCTTTGTGGCTACCCAAGTATCTCTCTCTTGCCAGCTGGTTGCTGTCATAGATCTATAAAAACCTGTGTTGTTTCTTTTGAAAGTGGTTTGTTTTCTTTTGCTTTGTTCTTACTATGACATCCTTCAGCTGCCACTGATACTATCTTTTATTTTTGTGTCCAGGTCATCCGTTCTGGATTTAGCTCATTAGGACATGGATGAAGAATCATTAACTCACTATGGGAAATCGAACAGGGGCCTTTTAGTAGGAGCATCTAATTCCTTGGCAGTTATGTTGGCAACTTGGCTTTCTTGAACGTTTCTTCTTTGTACTCATACCAAGCTTGAACCATATTGAATCTAGGTTTGTGGAGTTAAAAAAAAAAGGCAGCATGTCCTATTGGGAAGAGCGTATATTTTATTTGCTTCTCCAGGAATGCAGCATTGTAGACAAACAGACTCAAAAACTGTTGAAAGTACCCAAGGGAAGCATTGGCCAGTTCGTTCAAGACCGTTCTTCAGGAGGACACACCAGAAGCAACCCTTCGTCAAAAAGCAAAAAATTGCAGATAGGAATCAAGATTTTGGAGCAGCCCCATGTGGTCCTCTTCGTGGAAGAAAAAGAAGTTGTTGATATAGATGAGAAACGAGCAGAACTGCTGTTGGCAATTACCAATTGTGAGGAGAGATACAGTATATTTAAAAGTAAAGGTAGACTGAGCAAGGGTCTGCACATTGATGTCGGCTCACCGGTGAAAGTACAGCTGCGATTAGGTGATGAGAAATATCCTGGAGTTGTTCGCTTCAGAGGACCATTAATACAAGAAAGATCACTCTCTGGAATATTTTTTGGAGTGGAGCTTCTGGTAAGTTTTCTTCTTCCAAGGCTTTATGCATTGGGTCAAACAGATGCTGTGTGTTGCTGTAGAAACATTCTGAAAAGGTGCATAGTATGAGTCTTTTTACTTAGTATATTTGTATCCTATTTCTCCTCTGAGGAGCAGAGGCCAAAGTATATTGATCCCCACACCATTTTATCCTCTCAACTAACTTGTGTGGTAGGTTGGGCTCAGAGTGTTGAGCAACCATCCTAAGATCTGGATGAACCTCATGACCAGGCATAGGTTTCAACCTCGGTCTCCCCGAAGACCCAACATTTTAATTACTCCTATGACAGTTCTTAATGATCTATGTTTTTTTCTCCTGCAAACCTAGGAAGAAGGCCGTGGTCAGGGTTTTACTGATGGACAGTACCAAGGCAAACAGCTGTTCAGATGTGACGAGGACTGTGGAGTGTTTGTTGCACTAGACAAACTAGAGCTGATGGAAGATGATGACAATGAGCTGGAGAATGACTATGCAGCTCCAGTTGACTCAATGCAGGTAGAACTTCCTCCTTTGGAGCTCAACTCCAGGGTTTCTGTGAAGATAGGAAAGAATATAGAGTATGGGACAGTTATATTCTGTGATGTCTTACCAGGAAACGAGAGTTTAGGATACGTTGTTGGAGTGGACATGGTAAGAAATTAACCTGATTCTTAACTTTTTGCATGTGTGTTAAATAGAAGTACATGCAATAGTGGTGGGGAGAGATGGAATATTGGCAAGCTACTTATGGCTCTCGATTGCTATGTATAATTGCCACCCAGCAGCTTTTTTTAGCATTGGGTAAAAATGTATTGAGTTAGGCTTGGGAACAGCCACTTGCCTGATCGTGCATGGCAAGAAAGAATCTCCTCCAGGGGATCAGATGGTGCAGCTTTACTAAAGTTTTATTTCTCCCTTGCTGAGCCATAAATGATTGCCCATGTGTATCCACATTAGGCAGGCTAGTAAATTTATTGTATGCGCTAGTAACTTATGTGGGCTTATTTACAGGGCCTTACTAAATCTTACCTGACACTAGCCAGGCAAAATACCCATTTTCTTGCTTCTAATGACCAGCCTGCTTTGCTAAATAATGTTCCAGGGTTGGCACTACTGATCTTTTATAGTTTTCCTCTGAAAATACAGCCACGTCAATTTTTGCCTGCAAGGAAAATGCGAGGCTCTGGCGTAATGTAATTCTGTATGTTGAGTGCAATTCTCAAGCACTACAGTAACATATGCTGATCCTCGTCTTTCTCCTACTTGTGTTTTGAAACCAGAAGACTTACTGAGGCTTGAAATAAAGAGAATGAAACTGAACTATTACACCCTTAGAATATTAGTAGGCATTCAACATGAAAAAAATTGCACCTTAATGTACTTGTTCACCCTTGCTCTTTAAAGAGGTAGGCAAGTCTTCCCAGTGCTGGAAGCTGTCTCTTAATGCCAGAGAGATGAAATAGATCCTTCAGGCATGAAAGCCATTTATGTACCTGTTGTGAATGGCTTCAGTTGTGAAACTTCTGTGCTGCTGACAAACTTTGCTTGGCTTTTCTCCCACCACTTGGGAGGAGTGTTTTTTGCTTTTGTTTCAGTGTTGCCATTATCAGTGTATTAGTGTCTGTGGCACATTTGTAACCAAACAACATTGCAGAATGCAATCTGTTTCTCTAAATGTGGAAGACGAAATGACAACACTACAAGTGTGACACTTGAAATGTTGTTGCAGAGCAAGTGTTTGCATTTCTTGTGAAAGCTCGTGCTTCCTGTCTGGGCTGCATGTAGCCAAGAACTTTAATTGAACCATGTAGATGGTTTCTTGAGTATCTTCACTTGGGCAACATGTAATGGTGTTTTAAAACGATTTTTAGGATAATCCAATTGGAAATTGGGATGGAAGATACAATGGACAACAGCTCTGCAGTTTTGCAAGTGTTGAAAGCACACTTCTCTTGCATATCAATGATGTTATCCCAGGTACAATTTGTATATTTTGTCTATAAAAAAGAAAAGTGAGCAAACCCCAGTTCTTAGCACACATCCTTGTGTCTAATCATAGTTTTAATGTTGCTCAGGATTCAATAATTTTGCTTTAGTCTTAAACATATATGGGAGTGGGGTGGGGACTCCACTAAACTATTGATTGGTTATATTATTGCTTTGCTGCCTTGTCTTGCTTTATTTCTGGATAAGCTCCTGTGACTCCTACATGCTTCTGTATAGACATCTCCCTTCTTTCCCTCTCACTTTGATGTGCCATAGTAACATAGTGCTGTATTTTGGTATTGGTGGTTCCTTGTCCCTTTCCTGGTGTTAGAATTTGAAGGTTGAAGGCTTACGGTCACTGCAATGTGGCACTGGGTTTTCTCAGTTGATGAATTTTACTGCTGTATTGTAGTACAGTCATACCTCGGGTTACAGCTGCTTCAGGTTGCGTTTTTTCGGGTTACGGACCGCCAAAACCCGGAAGTACCAGAATGGGTTACTTCCGGGTTTTAGCAGTCGCGCATGCGCAGAAGCGCTCAATCGCACTATGCGCAGAAGTGCCGAATCGCAGCCTGCGCACAGATGTGGGTTGCGAACGTGCATCCCGCACGGATCACGTTCGCAACCCGAGCGTCCACTGTATTGTATGTGGTAGGGAAAAGGCAAAACCGTTCTTATTTGCTGCTAATAGCTGAGTCTACATAATTACTTGTCTCCCAGTCAGTATTTTAAAGGCCATACATAGATAGTGAAAAATAGCACATAAATGCCTTTCCAGGTGGTTCTGCATTTTTCATGCAGTAATATTTGCTTAATCAGAAGGGCACTGTGCACTGGATTGTTTTCTTACACTTTCTTCAAAGAAATATGTTCCAGCGATGCCCACATATGCTCCGACAAAAGAATTGGCACTTGTGAGCAGTGCTTGGAGCCACAGGCAATCTGTTCTTTCTTCCCTGTTATTAGAGTGCAGCATTTTCTGTTCAGAAGCTCTTGCTGCATGGTCACTTCTATGCTGCATATGGGGCTACAATATGGAAGCTTTTGCTGCTTGGCTTTTTGGCTGTGTGGCAGGGTTAACAAATGCCCTCCCTGAACAGGGAGAGATTTGGTGGTTTGCCCAGTAAGGATCTACTAAGTTGAACCACAGGGAGGAATAAGCATAATGCTAGTTTGTTGGACAGACCTTGTTTTGACCCTTGCACTAAACAGAAAAAGTCATAGCTAGGCTGCCGGGGTGGTTAGAATTTTGTACAGCAGTCTTGTGAGATGATGGTGTCAGAAATCTAGAGTTTCACCAGGGAAAGGGGAATTGGAATTGGAATTTAAAAGGGAGGCCAGGCTGCTGTCCGAGGAGAGTTTCTTTCCTGCAGCAGGAAGTTCCAGGTGCAACTAATGCTGTTACATTTGAGCTAATACCGCTTTTAGTTAACTGAGATGGATGGGTCACTGCAATGTATTACTCAAGTGATAGGATGCAGCAGGATCTGTGATGTACAGTACATGAACTTTAGAGAACATGAGAGCAAATATTAACTTGGAAACAACACACTCTTCAAAGTGGTTTTTTAAAAAATGAAATAGGACTTTTAATTGTAAGGAAGATGCTATAGACAGATTGCCATTTTAAGCATAATTGTCATATTGTACAAACTTGAGGCAGTGCTTTGCTCCTGCTACTTCTTTCTTAAAGAAACCTACTAGGACATTTTTTCTTGAAGGATCAGTCTTTCGAAAAGATGCTTTCTTCACTGTCTGGCTAGAGATGAGTTCCAGTGAAAGTAACTGAAGTGTTTTAATAGAGTTATTCCCCAGGGGCAACTTGGTTAAAATGCAATTGAACAGCTGTATTTTGATTATGAAACATGAAGACACATTTCATTTGAACTCTTTAGTGAATACATGGCATGGTTAAAAATCCTCAGATGTTATGCAGAGTAAATGGCAATCTTCTGTGGGTATGATAACCATACTATTTTGGTGAGGAGTCTGGTGAGGATTTAGCAAAAAGCACAATATTTTCTATTTGAATTACTGCTTTTTTATGCATGCCTAGCTTTCTTCTCCTCAATCTTTTTCTTATTGTTGTTGCTGCTGCTGTTCAATCACATCTCCAGCAAAAAGATTTTTTAAAAAAAAGTTTCAGTGATGGGGGCTTTTTATCTTTTTTTAAGTTTGATAAGTATTTGCTTCTTCCAAACCACATATGAAGCAAATAAACTTACCATAACATGAAGCCAGTGATCACTTTGGAATTTTTCTTTGGCTGCGTTATTTCTCAATACAGCATTTTACAAGGTTCACCATAATTGATTGGTGCAGTATGGGAGGAAACATATTCTAAAACTTCTGTGAGAGCAAATCCAGCTTTTTTGCTTCAGTGTCAGTAAAATGGAGCTATGCCCTGAGATTTTGGAAGAAAAAAAAAGGCTAGGCTAGATGTCCCATTGTGTTTTAAAAAGTATATATTAATAGCTATAGTCATCCTTATTTAACAGTTTTGTATGGGTCCCAAGGGAGGCTGCCTTCCATATTATGGTTTCTACTTATGTGAGTGTTCCTGCAACTGATTAGTTTTGTCCAAGTGACTATCTGAAAGAAATTCTGGATTTCACAAGTATTTCTGTGACTTGCTTTATATCCTAAAGGTGCGTCTATTTTGTACTAAACTGATGCTTTAAAGCTAATGCTATCTATACTATGTACTGTGTGGTGGTGTAAGATATCTTAACCTTCTACTCTATTTTAGAGGCTGTGTCTCAAGACAGGAGACCTCCCAAACTTGCCTTTACATCTAGAAGTGGCTGTGACAAAGGATTCAATCATAGTAAGCCAAAGTCTACAGGTACTTTTACTCAACTACTATTTAGCAAAGTGCCAGGTATTTCTCCTGTCCTTGTACATGAGAATTGTGACATGCAGTCCCTTGGAGTTGTGGGTTCAGAGGTGGGTTTCCACAGAACTGATCCCACATGTTTTGTAGAACAGTGGCTCCCCAATAAGTGGAATGTGTAACAAGATACTACATTCGCTTGCATAGTTAGCATACAAAGGAGGTTAGATTGTACATCTTGTGAAACATTTCTGAGGATTTTCCTGTCTTGCACTTGTTTTGTAAAACTGTGGGAGGGATTTCTCTTCCCCCAGACTGAGTGCACAAATAGCCTACACATGGCTATGGAAGTAGAATTTTTTGCTTGGTTTCAGTCGGCTCTGACCACAGTGACATATGCCTTAGTTACATATTGTTTGTATTACTGTAACACGCTACCTGTAACTGCCTTTAAAGAGTGTTCAGAAATCAGCTGATTCAGAATGCTGCAGCTCAGCCTCTTGACCAGGGCTGGGTATAGGGAGCATGTAATTCCCACGCTACAACAATTTTGCTGGTTACTTGACTGTTTTCTGGTCACAATACACAGTGCTCGTTGCTACATATAAAGCCCTACTTGACTTGGGGACCAGATACCTGAAAGACCGTATTTTCCTATTCAAGCATGCCTGGGTTTTTTTTTAGATCTTTGGTAGAGGTCCCTCTTCCTGTCTTACCAACATCTTAAGCACGTCCGTTGGTAACTCAAGAGAGTGCTACCTTGGTGATTGCTTCTAGACTCTGGAATTCTTTGCCAAGGGAGGCCTAACTAGCCCGTCTCTGATGACCTTGTGCTGGGAAGCAAATACACTTTTATTCAGACATAACATTTAGCCTCATAAGTTGACTGTTATAGCCAAGGTAAAAGTTGCAGTTTGGGCAACTGGCTGTTGTGTGTGTTGGTTTTAAGGGATGTTTTTAAGCTTTGTATTTTTTCTTGTTAGTCACCTTCCGCATCTTTTGATGGAAAGGTGAAATATTAATTTAACAAATAAAGATAATAAACGGATAAAGCACTTTGTTCCATTGCTCTGGAAAGCATTAAAAGTGGTTATTACTGCAATTTGCAGCCTGTTAAATGTATTATGGCAGGAACTTATGTGGGCTAGAGTCCATTTCATCAAATGTGTGAACCTTATGGAGGAATCAACAGAAGCTGATCCATTAAGAAATGTGTTCATCCCATTGCAGCAAAAAAACCCCACAAAACCTTGTAGCATCTTAAAGACAGCTACTTCTCTAAGAGCAGAAAGGTCAAGTAATTCTAACCTAAAGTGGCCAATTAAATCCTCCATGTATGTTCCTTTGGAAGTAAACATTCTGAAGTGAAAGCTCCATATTTTTGAATTGTTCCTGCAAGTAATAAAGGGAACAGAGTTCCACTGAATAGGAGATGGAGGAGGTTAAAGAGGTACAGTTAATAGTTTGCAACTTGAAAGGTTCTCTCTGTGTAGCTTGAAAATGCAAGCTGAGAACATTAACAATATGGGTGCCGAGAGGGTTATACATTTGTTGCAGAGATTGGACCAGATGATTGGCAGGTTTCTTTCTTAAAGTTGTACAAGTTAGACTCTGGTAATGACATTTTTACAGACCCTACTCTTAATAAGCTTAGCAGGAAGACTTGGTTTAAAGGACTGTAAGGCTTGTTTTTTTCCATAATGCAGCATTTTTTATGTTTTTTTCCTCCCCTTTGTCTCCTTTATGACATGGTTTGTGTCTTAGGTGCACTCTCAGACCCTGGAAATAGAAACAGATCAGAAATTTTCTACACTTTAAATGGCTCTTCAGTAGATTCCCAACCACAGATGAAATCAAAAAACACATGGTGTATTGATGAAGGTAATGAGAGACTAGACATTAAGTTTGATCACAGGCGTAATAACAAATTATATGATGATTAAATATACTGCCTTCAGATTATTCTGGCCACATTTTGTGTGTACTCCCTAACAAAAGACTTTTTAAAGGGCTTACTTCGGTTGAGATGTGTATTATTATCCTGTGTAGTGGCCAGAATCCAAAGAGCTACTTAAGCTCACATGAGGGGCTTGGTGCTAGCCCAGGGGAATTTATTTTACTGTCTCATTTGCACAGCTGACCCCTATACAAACTGCTTTTGAAAATTGCCCTCTTTTTCTGAAGCAGTTTGCTATGGTTGGGGGCTCTGAGAAAAATGAGTGGGCTCACAATGTTAGTTTTCCTTCTTCTTTGGATCCTGGCCTAAGTTTATTGAATAACTCAAGGCATTTTACTTGGCACATCTCACATAGTAACTTGAGCTTTTCAGCCATAATAGATAATTCCTTAGGCTACATTCTGTGCACATTTGAGCCTAGTCTTCTTATTAGACCAGCTGGACTGTAGGCACAGGATGCAAGATGCTTATAAATAGTAACTTACCACTATCTCAGCTTGTGATCTCATATGCTGAGCATTGACTCATGATTTATTTACATATCTTCAGGTAGTGTTGGTGACTTTATTATTTGGAACCTCTGAGTTGACAGGTCCTGCCTTTGCTAGAATTAGGTTGGGGGTGCAAACTTACATTTTTGAATTACAGACTTTTCCATTACAGAGTGGCAGCATTCAGTTTTTTTCAGACACAGGACCCAGCTAAGTCAACATGCATCATGAAATTCAGTTTAAATCTTTCTGTTGTATATGTTTTCCCCAGTTCCTTCATTTTCTTTTTCTGAGAACATTTACACTGCACACATGCTAGGTTTGCTTCTCCCCAGGGAACTTTGGGAATTGTAATTTGGGGATGGAGGAAAGAGAACAGTATTTTCTAAGTGAATTCTTGTTAGCTGTGCTGAATTACAATTCCTAATGTTTTAAGCCACAACAGTTAAGCTAGTAGTGTGTAACCAGTGTAAATCTGTAGTACAAAAGCATTGTTTTCCATCTCTCCACATATGGGATTGTAGTTAATGAGTTGCCCAATAGTCTTCTTTAATAATAATAAACTGCCAACACAAATGCAGAATGCACCCTGGAAGTTACATTTTGAAGAATACAGAACAGTGGTCTCCACGCTTTCTACGTTCAGGGAACCCTTTCCATGCCAGCTTGTCTCCTGAAGAACCCATCTGCCATAGGAACCCTGTGCACTGGAGAGGAAACTGGAGGAAAGCTTTATAGGGTGTACGTACAGTTTGTACAGAGCAAAGGTCAAACTTGTATGGTACTTCTGATGCCTGCATGAACTGAAAGCATGCAAGAACCCCAACAAACACAAACATTCAATGCAGGTTGGGATCAACGCAGAAGACTGGTAGCAAGAACACCAGTTTCATAGAATTTAGTAGAAAAACCACTCCTTTAGTTGTAATTAAAGTAACATCCTTACATTGCAGCTAAACGTTCATCAGTTTTGTTGACTGGCAAATTAAAGAAAAATCTGATGTCCTTCTGATCTTTCTGCTTCCTCTGAAGATTTCTGTCAGAGTAAGAGCATAGATATTCACTTGGAAGTAGGTCTCATTATGTCCAATGGGGCTTACTCCCATAAATGTGTGTATAGGATTGTAGCCTGAGTCTCTTCGTTCTCCCCCCCATCCCTCCCTTGGAAAAATGATGGGGAAAATGCCTGTCCCTTGTTACCTCATCTCGCTTGGCTTTTTCTGAGCAATTGCCAGAGTATGCTGTTTTAAATATAAGTAGGTCATTCTTTCAGAATAGAATCTAGTGCAAGAGATAGATGCCATGCATATTTTACTCCTTTTGTGTAGAAAGCACACAGCATTAGTTCAGACACTTAGTAAATATTATTCTAATTCATATGCTTATTTACTGTTTTTCTAAAAACAATTCAACAGTTGCTGAAGATTCTGCAAAGTCCCTTAACGACTCCTCTACTGGGTTTGGGCACTCTTCGCCGCCGCTGCAGCCTCCCCCAACGAACACTTTATCTGCCGAAAACAGATTCCATTCCCTGCCTTTCAGTCTGACTAAGATGTCCAGCGGCAGCAATGCTATTGGACACAGTCCGCTCTCTTTATCTGTACAGTCGGTTATTGGAGAGGGGAACGCAGGGGCCACCCAGGAGAGCACACCGCCGATGGTAGCGCCCATCAACATGCATGGGCTAGAAGCAGGTTCCTTGGCGGAAGTAAAAGAGAACCCACCTTTCTACGGAGTAATCCGTTGGATTGGGCAGCCTCCGGGAGTCAACGAAGTGCTAGCGGGGCTTGAACTGGTAAATAACGTTCGTTTCAAAAGTTTGCCACTCCTGCCCATTTTATGTCCAGCTACTTCTTCTTTTAAGAAACACCTGAGCCCTATTCAGGTGTTCTCCCCTCTGCGCAGTTACCATCACATAGCGATTGGGAGAGCAGGGCGTGCTTCTTGTCCCTGCCGACTCTGTATCGCAGTCACCACTTCCACAGTCCTCCAGATCATAGTTCTAAACTGCATGTGGAGCCCTCATGAACAGAAACATCTCCCTGCTGCAGAGGCTTGGGGGCTGTTGGCAGGGTGGGGTGGGACACAGAAGCACTCCCCTTAAAAAGGTTGGTAATTGCGTGGGGAGGGGGACGACACCTGCAGAGGGCTCTTGTTCTGCTGAACTTTGTAGTTCAAACTTGTGGCGTCAGTAGAATCTGATTCTTAGCAGTGTGAAAAGTTGTAGCGTGGTTCACAGCACAGATTTACCTTGCCCCACTTACCTCTTCAAATAGATGTTCAGTTTACCTCTTGCCTTCCTTGACAGAGGCAAGTAACAATTGTGTTTCCAGGCAAGCAGAAAAGTGGCAGAATTGCACCTCTCCTTTCCGTGCTGCCCCTTTGGCTTTGACTGGAAAGAGTAGCATGGAGATACTGTAATCCAGGTCAGTTGCAGTGATAAAGAGGTGAATGAGCAGCTGGAATAGTATGGATCCAGTGTGTATGTGTGTACATACACTCAGTGATTCCATGACTATTTGAAAAGCTGAGATTCTTGCCTTGTTTAATGGCCTTGAACCTGGAGTTGTCTGATATTTTCTGTTCATGTGGCAAGACAGTCTCAAAGGAAGTGCTTTCTGCCAGGAATTCTAGGTTAAAGAACTGCATTTTAAAAACTTTTCTACTTGAGGGATCCCTTTCCACATCAACATTGAACCCCTTGCATGCTGCAGAAGCTTCTGGGAAAAGGCATTCAAGAAGTGTGTGTGCAGGGTACTGGTGAGATCTGTTGGGCCTTGCTGCCATCCTGCATCAGCTGGGCATGTTATAAGGCACACTTGCCAAGTCCCCTCTGTAGCTTTATATTGCTGGGGAATATAAGCAAGCTGTTTTCCAGAGAAGCCTCTCTGCCATTATTGGACCTTCTCCTTCCTGAAACTGTTTGAAAGCCACTAAATAGCAGCAGGATGATAGTATTTTAGATGCTGGATACACTCGCAATGTAAAACTTGTTTAATTATCGTAGTTTACATGTACTCAGTATCTGCTTTCTCCCTGTAAAGAACCAAATTACAACAGGAAATGTAAACTGGTGTTGAAACCTGTTGCTTGTATATGTATTGCTGTATTAGCTAGTAAGCTATTTTCTTAGCAAGTGGCAAAAAAACTTTTGGGCATAATGAATTGATGTTGACATTAGAGAGAGATTGCACTGCACAGCATCCTTAAAACCATTGCACTTAAGAATTAATAGCATGCATGCTCAACTCCCGCATGGCTAAACAAATGTTGGTACCTTTGCATACAGTAATTCCCCATGGAACTTGCTGTGGGCTGATGTGTTTTGTGGGAGGGAAGCAGAACAATCCATCATCACACTTGGGGAAAAATTGGGGTGGGGAAAAATAGAATGCACTCATATTTTCATTTTCCCCCATCACCTACAATGGGCTAGCAGACTAAAAATGAAGTTTTGAGCTATCTATTCAAAAGGTACGCAAAGCACTTGGATTTGCTCTCTCCAAATGCCTTATTAAATTTGCATTTTCAGTTCTATGTTGAGCTGTCCATGAGTTTTGAGTGTTTAGATAGGTGGTCTCTTTCTCCGTTGACTTAGGTTTTCCCCACCAAAATAGTTTTACAATTGTAAATAGAATTTTCAGAGAAGATGGCATTGCTTAATGTGGCTTTTAGCATGATGTTGCTGCGGCTTAATCAGGTCAACCCTTTAGAGCTGATATGGCAGACTTGGCACACACAGTGCAACCTTGTCAAACACTGCTGTTGCTAGACTGCCATTTGTTTTGGCCGTTTGTCGGCAGAGGCTCTTGGGGAGACTGGAGGATGCTTACAGGATTGCACCCAGATCATGGCTTCATAGCCAAAAAACTATTAGGTGCTTCAAATATGATATTAAGGAATAGCTTCCAAGGTGCTGCATGTGTTAGTTTTTCCATTAAGGCAGGTAAGTCTGCCTGTTTGCCTTTTCCAGGAAGACGAATGTGCAGGCTGTACTGATGGAACATTTAAAGGAACTCGATACTTTACCTGTGCACCCAAGAAGGCTCTCTTCGTTAAGTTGAAGAGCTGCAGGCCAGATTCCAGATTTGCTTCATTGCAGCCTGTGTCCAACCAGATTGAACGCTGCAACTCCTTAGGTATTGCTCTTTTCTTTCCCTCTGTTTCCTATTTCTATCTAGCCATGTAAAACTAAGTCTCTCTCGATTAGGAGTAAATTTAATACATTTCCATATCAATTTATTTATAGTTACCACCTTCAAAAGGTTTTTTAAAAACAAAACAAAACCTATTTCAAATGGGTAACAAATGAAAAACTCTCAAACAAGCAGATTATTGTTCTATTGTTTACTAAATTCCCATCCTGGCCTTCATCCTGAAGGAGCCCAGGACGGTAACAATAGCTCCAGCATCCGGGCAGGCTGATGTGGGGAAAAGCGCTCTGTCAGGTATTTCGGACCCAAGTCAAGTAGGGCTTTATATGTCTGTGTTGAACACTGGGCTCAGTAGCAAATTGGCAACCAGTAGACTTTATTAAGTAAGAAAAGACTGTAAAAGAAATGCTAGTTTTCATGCTGTTGCTTCCTACACTTAAGGCATCTGCAGTATATTTGAAATTAGTGTCAGTTATAGCTAGTATTTGGAAGGATCAGCACGAAGATGGCCTCTGTGGTTTTAGATCCTTGTTTTTTATGGATACTGAAGATGAAAAGTACTACAGGCTTGGGACACTTGAGCTTTTTGACATGTATGAACTGTCCTCCTTAACTTCACCCTTGCATCTTCAGTGTTGGTTTGTTATTGCTAGCAGGTTACCTTTGTTCTGTGTTGGAAGAAGTTATTTTCATGATGCACAGCCCCCTGCCCTATCCGAGGGCAAAAAAGTCTGGTGGGGGGAGGCACTCGAGAAAATTGCAAGAACGTCCAGATGCAAAGGGAGGCAGGATGATCAGATATGGCTTGGTTGTGTACGTGGGAGAAATTAAACCGCCAAAGCCAAGGGAGTGAGGTGGTGGAGGAGGAGCAGGTAGCTACTTCTATGCAAGCCATACCAGTCAAAGAACCCCTGAGGCCTCACCATCTGCTTCTCAGTTCCTCCAAGGACAAACACTGCCACTTCATTCTCCCTTGCTGCTGCAACTCTTGGATCCACGAAGGAGTTTGAGTCCCTTGCTTACTCTCAACCTTTTGTCTTTAAGCTTTTGGGGGTTACCTAAGTGAAGTGGTTGAAGAAAACACTCCCCCCAAAATGGAAAAAGAAGGTCTAGAAACAATGATTGGAAAGAAGAAAGGAATTCAGGGTCACTATAACTCCTGCTATCTGGATTCCACCTTGTTCTGGTAAGTAAGGAGCTGTCCTTTGAACGCCTAGATGAGGGGAAAGGACATGAGTGCACAACAAACAGCGCAAATATTTCAGATGAAAGTTCAGTAGAGTGACATTAGCCGTCTATTGTGCTTTGCTGTGCAATGAATGGAGTTCACTGAAAGTAGCTTGACCTGGAAAGGTGAGGAATTAAGTGTGGGTGATTTTCTCAGTGAAGCCATTTCCTGATGCTTTAATCTTGATCTGCTGTGTCAGATATCTTTTTGGGGAGGCTGGGAAGCACCTCACTGCCTCTTGCATGGCTGGATGAGTGGATGAGGAGGAGGAAGTAGTGGCAGGTGAAGGTCCATGGGGAAGGTTGTGAAGGGATCAAATGAGGTGACACTACTGGGGTTCTGCTGTGGCCTTGTCCACAGTATGGGATGTAACACGACCAGCCTCTGTATTTATATTGCACTTACAGAATACCTAGCTCTTTGTGATAGATGGCCATTACAGCGGAATCTGAAGTAGCCAGAAATTGCAAAATTAACTCTGATTTGTTGTGCTTCCTTGGCACAGCAAACACACCTGTCTCAATAACGCAAAAATGTTTACAAAAAACAAGCAAACATGAGAGTAGCAATAGCAGCCAGGCAAAAAAGCACACAATCTACATTACCAGTTGGAGAGCACCTGATCCTTCCCTGTCATTGTCTCACTGTCTTCTACAGCAAGGATGGGGAACCTGTGGCCCTCCAGAGGTTGTTGGACTACAACTCCCATCAGCCCTGGTCCTTATGGCCAGTGGTCACAGATGATGGGAGTTCATCAGCATCCGGGGGGCTGCAGATTCCTCATCCCTGTGCTACTGGCTTAAAACTTTCCGTAGGGTTTAGAGTTCTTCCCCTCCACTTTCATGTAGGGTGGTGGTAGCAGAGCCACATCTGCTTGCTAGATCACATAAAATTGTGATGTAGCAGCCAGCCCCTTAACCAGCTGTTCTCTCCAGGAAGTAGATGACTGTGAGTTCTCTGCCATAAAACTGCCAATAAATAAACATAAAAATAAAGGAAAAACCCTCTCTGAAGGCCCTCATTTCATTGTATGACAGTCGTATTGAGTATCATAATCTCTTGAGAGTGGGATTGCACTTCTGGCTGCTGTTTGACAGCTTTGGCTGAATCTCACCCTGGCAGCAAGCTTGCATTTTCCCCTCGAGAAACTGGGAGGGATGGTATGCTTCTGATGTCTTTCAATCAAAATTGGCTAACTTCATCTTTCCTACTTCTAGTCTGCTCCTTATTCTACTTGCTGCTCCTTTTAATATTTGATGGTAGAGTTCACATTCTGTATACTATGCAAAGTGGCTCAAACTTCCTTTGTAAAGTGTAAGGTAGTATGCATAGTAGCCTCAGCTTTTGGCAAGACTGGAACAATTCCCTGCCAAAACTCAGATCCTCTTGCTGGCAGTAAGGAATAGTTCTAGTTTCTTCTGTTAGTAGCAGCAGTCCATAGTGGCAATGCAAGAGTGAGATGCCCTTCACAAGCACCTCAGCTTTAGGGTATCCTCTATTGTTGCTGTGTTTCCAGATTGAAATTAGCTTCTCCCCTCTTTCAGCCTGTTTGCATTCAGCTCTGTTTTGGACACAGTCTTGCTCAGACCAAAAGAGAAAAACGATGTAGAATATTACAGTGAAACTCAAGAGCTTCTGCGGACAGAGATAGTCAATCCTCTCAGAATGTAAGTACGGGCAAATGAATTGTTTCAAAATTTTCAATAGTTTTCAAAATGTATTCCTTGCTTACCATTTCTAGTCTTCCCTGTACAATGTATAGATAGGTGAAGAGCCGAGTGTATTATTGGCAAATACAGGCAGATGGTGAAGGCTTAGATATGTGGCCTGCACCCTAGAGCGTGATCCAGAATCCTATGTAACATGCAGGTATTTCTTTGGCAGAATTCCTTGAAAGCAGAAAGTTTGGAAACGACTTTGCTAAATCAACCTCCCCAGTTTCTACCTAGCCCTTTCAACTCTTTTCTTGTTTAACCCATACTGCTTTTTTTATATAGTTCCAGCTCCCTGGGTTTTGTCAGCAAGGTGTGGCATTCCTGATGTGGAACTCAATATCATTTCTGCTGGGATGAGTACAATGAGAAAATGAAAGGGCCCTTTGTTTTCATTCCTAGAAGAGCAGTTGGAAGAATGTTGCATATATTCAGAATATGTATGGAGGCTTCGAAACAAGTTTGCTCTGAGTATAGCTGCATTGCCCTCAATTCAGAAAACCTATGTACTTCTTCAAAATGTGGGGCTCAGAAACTGAGAGCCCATTACCTTAGCATTTTCTTTGTTGCTTGTTCTCATTCTGCTCTACTAATGTGTGAAACAAGGAAGTTTTATAGTTACCCATTCTGCCAGTTCTGTGTATCCCCATGCGCCTTAAAGCTTCATATCCCTTTGAGGTTCACCATTACTCTCTCTCCTCAGACTCTTCATCTTTTTATTCTAGATATGGATATGTGTGTGCAACAAAAATAATGAAGCTGAGGAAAATCCTGGAAAAAGTGGAAGCAGCTTCAGGGTTTACCTCTGAAGAGAAAGGTAACTTGATTTATTTCTTTTTATTTAAGAAGTTTATATACTGCTTTTCATTGTATATCCCAAAGTGGATTACCAAAAATAAAATGCAATTTTATTTGAGCTTTACCAAACTCTGTATCATTGGTGAGGGAAAGGGAGTGAATAGGGATGGGTGTTTCGGTTACAAACTGAAAGTTCTGAATTGTGAGTGATATTGAGAGAGATGGTTCTGAGCTGGTGCCAAATTTATTAGTGACTGTCAGAACGTTACTATTTATCAGCAAAAAATCTGAAATACCACCCATTTCAGAGTTAGATCAGAAAAGTTTGAAACATGATGCTCCTGACTAAATTAATGTATTTTTCCAGGAGCTATTATAGAAAGCAAGCGGATACATTTATGTAAATATGCTTCTATTTATTTATTATGCTTTAGAACAGTCTCCAAGATCAGGAAGCGGTGGATCCAAGAAAGTGCAAGGATTTCCATTTGCTCCACAGAACTTCTCATTCCTCTCCTCCCTGCTGTCTGACCCTACCTCCAATCTGTTCTGGAGGTTCCCCAGTCCTCCAGAGCTGGTTTGGGATTGGTGCAGGGGGCATGTGGGAAGAGGAGGGGGAGGTTCCATTGCGCAGTCCTTGTGCTTATGGAATGACCTGATTGGATACAACCCATTCTGTTTCTGCCCTCAAAGTTTTAGTTTAACTCTCTTGTGCTCTGATACTGTGCTTATACTATATTTCTGGCTATATGGCTTTTTAAGAGCATATTTTAGAGACAATCCACTACATGTTTTAGAAAGTTGTTTGTTAGGTATGCATTTGGACACGTCTTAAGATATTGCAACAAAAGTTCCTGAAATCATTTGGATACCATTGGGTGCCATTTTGAATATTTTGAAATGGCACTTATTTCAACCAGTGATTTCATAACAGCTGGGGTTTTTTCGGCTTAGAATTCCTGAGTGATGTTGGGTATGAGGTGGCTAATGCTTAATATAGCTAGGTTAATGTACTATATTCTTTTTTGTGCACATAATAATGTCATTAGAATATTGGAGAGTTTCAGCTAAGTTTGTATTTTTTTTTAGAATGATAATGGAGAAATTGAGTCTTGATAATCTTGACTATTTAACTGTTTTTATAAATCCTTTTGTATTCAACCGTTTATAAAATATGCTCCCTGCTCTTTGCCAGTTTGGTTAAAATGATTTTTTATGTGAACATTTATTTTAAAATTATTTGGGTCTTACATATTAGTCTTTGTTTGATATACAACTCTCTTTTCCCCCAGATCCTGAAGAATTCTTGAATATTTTGTTTCATCATATTTTGAGAGTAGAGCCACTGTTAAAAATAAGGTAAAATATTCCTCTGCTTAAGTCATGTTTCAAAATGAAGTTTCGGACTTCCAGGAACATGAGCTTTCAGAGACATCGATTTATGATGGAAATGCTGTGAAAACTGAGTTGAGCTTAATCCTTTGCCTGGTGATCATAGGCAACAAGGAACTTTACACAGGCAAGTGGGTTACAGGATGCCGGGTGGGGGGCAGGACTAAGCACTCTGCCCCTCCTTCTGGCAGCCCCCTGCATTTCCATGACTGCCTTGTCTACACCCCACGTAAAATCACAGCCTACATATTTAGTTTGCTATTAAAAAAATAACAAAACCCACCACCAGCCCCTCCTATCACTAAAAGCAGACTAGTAAAAAAAGGGGGGCATCTAGTAACTAGTGGTCTTCAGTGTATGGGCCTTTAGTTGTGTATCTCTTTAGATTTTGTACTACTGTTTATGACATTGAGGATTCCCCCCACACACCTCTGTTCCAAAAATTGCTAAGATTTTGGGAGGGGTGTCTGTGTGTTGTACTGTATACAATCCAATTTTTTATTCATGTTCACACTGGGCCAAAAATTTAGCTCTGCCTAATAAGCACACAAAGTTGCTCACCTGATAAACTAGTAGCTTGAATTTCCCCTGCATTGAATTCCTGATTGGCTATGACTACCAGGCATGTTAGTAAATATAAAGCAGTTTTAGTTTCATCCTTGTCATATCGAGTGTTTGGGATGCCCGCACAAGCTCTCATATCCATTCCTCCTTCACAGTCATGCAAACTTTCCCTTCCCCGGCTCTCCCTTGTTAAGTATTAAATATGATTCAGCAGTACATCTGCTTGGGTACAAATGACCCTTGTTAAACAGCGGTTACAATCTGTATAACTGAACATTCATTTCAGAATTATGGGAGTCAACATTACTGTATTTGCTTTGTTATGAATGGTCTTAATTGATACATAATAGTGAAAGGGCTGTCAAAAAACACTGAAACCCAGGTAATCCAACAGGTATTTCTATATCTCTTAGTTGGAACTTCATAGCTGACAAACCGGTGGTAATCTGTTGAGAGGATTTAAACACTGTCTTGAACACCCATGTAGGAAAAGAAGGTTGGATTAAGACTAAATTAGTTGAACTTGGATCCCACAGTGTGACAAATCATGACTTAAATCCAGTTGAAAACAATGGGACTTGAGATCAGCTAACATACCGTATTTTTCGCACCATAGGACGCACCGGACAATAGGACGCACTTTGTTTTAGAGGGGGGAGAACAAGAAAAAAAAATTCTCCCCCTCTCTGCCCAGCGCCCCTTCAGCGAAGTGGCAGGAGAACTTTCCCCCTCTTGTTTTCCCGCTCTGAAACAAGGTGCCGTTTAAGGTGTGTTCAGGCGGCTACCTTGGAAGCCTGGAGAGCAAGAGGGGTCGGTGTGCACTGACCCCTCTCGCTCTCCAGGCTTCAGGTTCCTTTCGACCTGCTCTTTGGGGCTGGTGGGGGGAAGCCCACCACCAGCCCCAAAGAGCAGGTCAGGGAGCAGCGGAAAGGCGCAGCGGAGAGGCTCCTGCCATAGCCGCGTGTCACCTCTCCAGCCGGGAGAGGGTCGCGGGGCTATGGCGTCTTCGCTCCATAGGACGCACACACATTTTCCCTTCATTTTTGAAGGGAAAAAAGTGCGTCCTATAGAGCGAAAAATACGGTAATCTGGATCCAGCTCTGTTTTTTTAAAATTGCCTTACAAAATGCTTACTCTTTCCCAAAGGTATTTTTTAGTTTTTGTAACAGAACACATTTGTCCAAATGGATGAAAGAATAGTTAAATGTCCTCTTGTTCATCATTAAGCCTTATCATTTTTTATCAAAATCTGTTTTGAAAATACTCTCTTTTCTTAGATCAGCTGGTCAAAAGGTTCAAGACTGCTACTTCTATCAGATTTTTATGGACAAGAATGAGAAGGTTGGAGTTCCTACAATTCAGCAGCTACTGGAATGGTCTTTTATCAACAGCAACTTGAAATTTGCAGAGGTTTGGAGGATATTATTTGCTTTCATAAAATTTATACCCATTGGATATATAATTTCACTAAAACAGCTGCATTTTTTTCTTGGCTCTTGCTAGGCACCCTCATGTCTGATTATTCAGATGCCTCGATTTGGAAAGGACTTCAAAATGTTCAACAAAATCTTTCCATCACTGGAATTAAATATCACAGACCTACTGGAAGACAGTGAGCATAAAATATTGTTCATGACACTATGGCTGATCATAGAGTATTTAGAAATAGTTTTATTTCTTCTGGCATTTGGTGGTGTTTGGCTACTGCACAGACTGGTGGTGCTATGAGCCACGTGAATCATATTTTATTTGGCATATTTTATTTCCGTTAACAGAAATTTTGTCTAACATTCTGCTCACAAAATATTAGGAGAACAGCATATTGGTGGTTGACTGTGGACAGGCTTTAGGGGTGGTCCAGCCTTGACCACAATGCCTTCTGCCTTCATTCTCTTTTTGTCAGGATAGATGACGTTTATATACATACAAAACTGGACCCATTTTTCCAGACCTTGTTTATTACACTGGTAGTCTTACCCGCCGTCAGGAAACTTGGAACATATACAGCAGGACTGGTGAATCTGTGGTTCTCCTGATACTGCTGGCCTCTAAACTCCCATTAAGTCCTGGCCAATAAACAGGGATGCTGGCTATAATTTATTATCCACTCTTCGCCCTAAGGTTCTGGGTTGCAACCATTAAAGCACAACATGAAAAAACAGTTTAAAACAACTTAAAATCACAAAAATAAGGTGGGTTCTAAAAATATGCACCTCAAAAACACGTAGAGGTGTTTTTTCTACAGTCAAGTTGTATATAAAGTTTATGAAATAAAACAAGTGTCAAAAGCCAGCATGAAGTGCTGTTTATTCAGCATTCACCAAAAGCTATATAATGAAGATGCCATTTGTGGGGTGGAAGTACCACGACTTGGGGGCAGCCACCGATAATACCTTTTCCTGGGCTGCCACCTAACCCCCCCCCCCTTCAAGCTTTTGGGAGTGGTCAAATGACCAATAGGGTCTCTCCGCTGATCTTAACACCTGATTGGGTCTGTAGGAAATGGTAGTCCTGCAACATCTAGCGAGTCACAAGTACTTCACTCTAGGTGTGTATGGAGTTCCCTGGCAGTCTCCCATCCTGTCCGTTCTGCTAAGTTTCAGAGGTACTTTGGGGGCCTTCAGGTTCTTCTCCTTCTCCATCAGCTTATCAGTTGTTAAATAGAAGAAGAACTGAGCTTAATTTCTGTGTGTAGCCCTTTGGAAAAGTATTTTCTTTTTCTCATCAAAATTATGAATGGAAGCATTCTATCCATTTTGTTCACCTTCCCTCAAACAACCATGAGGGTTGGTGTGTTTTTTGCATGAATTTAAAACTGAAGGAATTCTTTATGGCTTGTGTCTGCAGAGTAGAGATTTATTTCACTGATTCATTTCTTTTATAAACGTGCATGAGTGAAATATATGTGCTGTAAACAGGGCTGTTGCTTTTCTTTTTGCTTCAGTGTTGGAGAAATCACTCCAGTGTTGGAGTGTAGGAGTGTCGCCTTGTTCGGTTTCAACAGTATATCAAACTGTGTTAAGTCTTTCACCCCAATTCTTGTACACAAAATCATGATTTGCTATAAAAAGCACCCCTCCCCCTGTTTATATTAAGTCATGCCTATGTTTGTCTTAACATGTTCATGCTGACTAACACAGCTTTGAAGGGATGGCTGCTTCCACTGTTCATACACAATTTTGATAGTTTCATCTTGCTAAATACAGCTCCTAGGCAGTGCCGTATCTGTGGAGGACTTGCAATGTATGAATGCCGAGAATGCTACGAGGATACCGACATTTCTGCTGGGAAGATCAAGCAGTTTTGCAAAACCTGCAACACTCAGGTAAGTTACTCTTTCAGAATGTCTTGGGACTGGTGTCTGCTCAGAGCTCAGCGCCAGGAATCTCTCCAGGGGCAGTGGGTGCCTTCTCAGAGAACTGTGAGATTTGGTTTCCTTTGAAAAACAGTAAGGCAGAAGATGACCTTGCAAAAAACTTATTCTAACCCTCCTTGTCAATTACAGGTTCACCTTCATCCCAAAAGGCAGAGTCATAAATTCAATCCAGTGTCTCTCCCTAAAGATCTACCAGACTGGGATTGGAGACACGGCTGCATACCTTGTCAGAAGATGGAGTTATTTGCCGTTCTTTGTATAGAGACAAGCCACTATGTGGCTTTCGTTAAATACGGCAAGGGAGACTCTGCTTGGCTCTTCTTTGACAGCATGGCTGATCGGGATGGTACGTCTGTTCAATTGGCCTCATTTCCTTTCTCTGGGGTTCATGTAGCTTTGAGTAACCTTAACCGTAACCTCGGAAATACACTTTCTCCAAAAGGTTTCCACAATTTTGGCCACTAGTGTAAATTGAATTAAACTTAACGTAGTGAACCTTCTCTGTTTAATAATATGAGTGAGCAGTGTTAATAGCAACCCAGAATATAGTAAAAATAAGCTTGAAATAGAGTAGTGATTGTCAAGACTAGAGCTAGGGAGACTCACCTTCAAATCCCACTCTGCCATGGAGCTCAGTGGGTGACCTTGAACCTGGCACTCGCCTACCAATCCTACTTGTGAAGAGACAAGAGAGGGCAAAAGTACATATACCACCCTGAGCCTTTGGGAAGAAATGTAGGGTAAAAATGTGATAAAATGAATGGATACTGGATGTCAGATCTTTGAGTCCAGCATAAGACATGCACAGAATATGTGCCCTTTATAAGAGCTTACCTTCAGATATAAAACTCTTTTTTTTAAATCCAGTAACTGAAAAAATGACAATTATAATAGGTGGAATATACACAGAAGGGCAGTTTGTACGAATGTCTCCTGAGTGGATGCAGTACATCTCTTCACCCGGCAACCTTCCCTTCCAGTGAAGAAGCATTTGTTTACAGGGGAGATTTTTTTAAAACAGCCACAATCTTCTCTTGCTAATCTGTTGATCTGGGGTTGCCACTGCTCCCTGCTCTCAGTGCCTCCACATGCTTAAATGTTGAGCTTGCTTCTCTCTCTTTAGCCCTAAGATAGGGAGGCTGTGGCCCTCCAGCTATTGTTGGACTCTCAATGCCTGTCATCCCCAGTCACCAGTAGGCAGGGTTAATGGGAGTTGTAAGTCTGTCAGCGTTTGGAGGGCTACAGGTTGCCCACCCCAATTCAGTCCTATCCATTGTCTTCATTCCTTCATTCCCTGGTCATGCGGAGTGGGGACCTGAAGTTGAGAATTGGCATTTAAATAGATTTATAATTGAATGTCAAACTGATTTACAACTTCTTTTAAAAAAATGACATGGTGGAGATTTAACTGGCATCAAGGAGAGCTCATGCTTCTTACCATTGCACACCAATGGGAGGCTACAGTCTCGGGACTTCATAGTTGGTAATGAATTGTGTCCCCCCACCCCCTTGAATTAACCCGTCCGCCCTCTCCTTCTCTCAAAAGGAGGACAGAATGGCTTTAATATCCCTCAAGTTACTCCATGCCCAGAAGTTGGCGAGTACCTGAAAATGTCCCTTGAGGAATTGCATTCGCTGGACTCCAGAAGAATTCAAGGCTGTGCACGAAGGCTACTTTGTGACGCTTATATGTGCATGTATCAGAGCCCAACCATGAGCTTGTACAAGTGAAAAGTTGTTGTCTGGAAGAAGGGAAGCAGCTTCCCAGCAACTTGACTGTGGCCCAAGAAGATTCAGCAGGACTGTCGGCGCACTTGCTCGTGCATCTGTTGCCGGCAATGGATGCTTCAAAGGGGGTGGAAAGCAAACGTCTATGGCAAAAGAAGTGCATATTTTAAAGAAGGGGTGGAAAATACCTTACAATGCAATGTTCTGTTGCTAAAGTACTTAATAAGCATTTTGCACTCTAGGAAGTGCGTGTGTGTGCGTGTGTGTGTAGGGTTTTTCTAAAAAAATAAAATAAGTCTAAATGAAGCTATTAAAATGTTTAGGCTGCAATTTCAGAGGAGTTGTGTACATGGAGTGAAGTTTTATGTGTTTCAAAATTGCCTTGTGGAATTTTCTGCATAGACCTCATCCAGGGAACCACAAAGCCTAAGGGAGAGGACTGTATTAATATGTGTGTTTTCTCCAGCATTGTATAGGTTGTACACTCAAGGCACTTCACCTCTGTAATACACTGGATGCTGGCCTGAATCTTGGCACTGAGGTTTTTGTTTTGCTTATTTTGACCTGGTATAAGTTAAATCACAACAGGAACAAAACATCTTTATTGTGTTGAATGAGTGTGCAGAACGCATTAGCTGTCTGTTTCCTCCATTGTATTCCCCTGGACCAAGAATGCTTAGTGTTCCCTTTGTAGCTAATGGTTGCCTGCTGGAAAACGGCGAAGATTAAGCTGGTGTAAATGTTTTGTAGCTGCAAGTTGGTGTTTAGACTAATTCCCATAGCTGGAAGCATTTCGGTATTTTCCTTTATCCACACAACTCACTCAGTCTATTCTGTGACCTGGATGGTGTTTGCAGGATCATCTCTGAGCAGGTTGTGTGGATGACTCATTCTGATGTCATGCTTCCATAATGGGTGCACCCACATAAAATTCTTCTGAAAGGTATTTCCATTACATTGGCACTGTGTTCAAGCTTGACTTTCAGTGGAAGCTTGCTTTTAAAAACTGCTTCTTATACTCTGGTATTCTCCTACGTTTGGAAAACTCCTTAGCAAACTTCCCACATGTTTGCTTTCATGAATTTTTTAATCCCCCTGCCCTGACACTGCCCAGTCACTTGGAACTTCTGACTCCAGTGTAGTTTTACTTCTGAGAGTCAAAGACCATCCTATGACTTGCAGCTGTGATTGGTAAAAAGAAGGTGGCAAAGTTGATTTAGAAAGGTTCAAAAACAGCAGGGATGTTAAAGAGCTAACCTTTTCAAACTATCTTTTTCTAGTGTGTGTGTGTGTGTGTGTGAAAATCAAATCTAGGTCACATAAGGAATTCAGCCGTGTAGTATATGTACACTGCAGTCTTTCTCTGAGGGGAAACGATGTCTCCACTGCCCACTATGCTAAGGCATTACTGTTGAGGAAGTTCTGTTGGGATAAAATATCCTCTCCAGACACCCATGCATAATATTAATAAGGTTCAAGGCACAAGGCGGCATCCTTGACAGTATGTTCAGCTTTTTGCCTCAGGGAACATCATTGGCTCAGAAATCTGTAGTCTATAAAATGGAAGCTAATGCTTTAGACTGAATTTATTTTCTTTCCTTTTTTTTTAGGAGATGACTTACACATTTATCATATTAAAAGGATCAAGTAAGGTCTGTGTGTAGTCAAACCATTTGACTTGCTGCTCAGTACATATGAAAAGTTACTTGTTGCTTTCAAGTATCTTGTAGTGTATTTAATATTTTTATGAACTGTTGAGTCTAATAGTTCTCTGCAGTGGGAAAAATATCTCCTGTTGTAGTTGCCTTAAGTATTTCGTTTTTAAAAAGAGCAGCTAAATGCACATCCAGTACGAACAAAATTTGAATGTGGCAAGGAGAAATTGTAGTCTCTCTCTTTTTCTTTTTTAGCTTGGGGTGGGTGAATGGGTAGATACGTGAATTGTCTTAGGTCAGGTTGCTGATTAGAAATGGGAGAGAGTAAGACACACTTAGGGTTGCTTTGGATGAATTTTTGCTGCAGTGCAGGCTTGCACCCACACACCTGGTTGCCTCATAAGCATCCAAGCCTGCTAAACACTCACACGTGGGATGCAGTATATGCATCATCTACATAGGACTAAATTCCACTTGGTTTGGGATGCGAACTGTGTATTAAGTCACATAAAATGAAATCGTCCATCTTGTATTGGTTCACTTTTAAGTTGCCACTTTGTTTTGCTGCAATATAGCAGAGGTGGCAAAAGCCCCTGGAGCTATGTAGTGAAATGGCTGGGACTCCTACCCAGCCCCCAATACCTGCCACCTGCTTTCTCAACCCCATGACTACTCCTGCCACTTATTTTTTCCCTAGTCCGCAACTGTCTCACAACTTCTTTCCTGCTACTTTGGAAGTGGCTGCTGTTTCCTCATTGGCTGCAACCCTCTGGGTGAGGGCATAAAGGAGGATGAGGCAAGTCTTCATCTTGAATAAGACTTTTTTTTAAAAAAAGTTCAGTTTTAAATTGCACTCAACTTACAGACAGTGGCTCTTAATTTGGAAGTAAAAAAGACCTACAGGCAAGTAACGGTACAGGCTAAGCAGCAGTACAGGGCTCAGGCATCATGATCCAGGAGTAGGATTCAGAAGTGACAAAAGTTGCCCTAAGCTTTTGAAGATGAGGAGTGATTTGTTCCCTTGCCTTGTGGAAATGCAGAGTTTGCAAGTTCCTGCTCCGTTGGGGCGGTCGTCTCTCACCCCATCTGCAAAGGGGGCACCTGGTTCTGACCAGGAAAGGCTGCACCTTCCTGTTCGGATGTTGTTCAGTCCTCATCACCTCTTGTTCAGCCTCCCCCCCCCCCCAATAATCAAAGCCTTCCTCTGCCTCTACTGAGACTTCATGCACCAGCTAGCATCCCTGCTCCCTCTTCCAAAGCAACTGAAATCAGAGTGGGAAGGGGATATCGTCCCTCTTTTGGCCCAAGTTCCCCAATTCCTCTCTCCCCCCGCCCCCGTCTCTTCCACTTTGCCTGATCCCGACTATATAGTACCCAAGCTTTTTGAAAGCTGCTGTATTCTTTAGTGCTATTTTGGTAACCCTAACACAGTTTTGGGGATATTTCTTATAGGCCAACACCGCTACCATTTATACTTAAACATTTTCCAGTGTGTGTTCTCATTCATTTAGAACGAGATTGCACCATTCCCCCTTTTGCATCTATGCTGCTGTTATCTGTAAACTATTAACTGTGGCCCTAAGGTTTGTGTGTGTCCTTCCCAGCTTCCCTGAAGATACCCAAACAGTTTGCAAAACTACTGTTTCTGAAAGTGAGAGAAATTGATTGACTTATAAAAATCCCATTTTATACACTTTCCACTGTATTCACAATGCTCAGGGCAGCTGACAGTAAATCTAAATAATTTAAAACAGTGCAGCAAAGAAAACCACCTTTGGCAAAATGTTTTCTTGGAGGTCGTTCTTACTTGCTGCAGGCTGTTGAGCAGGTAGCCTATGCAAGAGGCATGTGTGAATAGGGCCTGGCACAACACTGCTTCCTGGTCTCCATCAATTGCCGTAGTTTTCCCGTCTTAAATCTGAGGCCAGACATAAAATTGAATCATGGTGAGACAATGGTAAAATGTTAACTGACAAAAGTGAAGTGGATAAAGCATTTTAGAGCAGAAATGTATTGGATACATACTTTAGGCATCTCTCTGATGATTCATATTTTTGAGGGAGGGAGAACTTTTCACTGCAAAAGTACACAGGGTTTGTTCCTGAGACTTGTGGATGCAACAAGCTACAGATTTAAATGCATGTTACAACTGTACAGGTTAAACACCTTTCATAAACCTTTGGGAAGGAGATTAAACTATATGTGGGGGTGGGCTGTTGTTTTTTTGCAGTGGAGGAACTGTGACCTTAAATTGTCCAACTTTCTGGAAATCTTTTAAGTTTGATCCTGTTTATAAAATTCAGACTACTACTTATGCTGCAGCCACACATAATGATTTGCCCGGTTAGCCCCTTGATGCAAAGCAAACAAAACTCCCTTAGGAGGGATTGATTTAGATCAAGGGTAACCTGGCCTTCGTCAGTGCTTTAAGGACCTGTGTTTGCTTTCGGGTATACTGCTCTGGGACATTGGACGGAGCTGAGAACTGCTCCCCTTCTCCCCTGTTCTGTTGCAAAACACCTTCCCAAGTCTGCTTTGCAATGGAGAGGAGATTACCTTGCCAGATATTACCTGTGGCTTGCCATAGTTTGGCTTTTGCAAAATATGTATGGGCCACTTGCAGGAAACAATCGGGGGCTTGACGGCCCCATTTATCCCACCCCACCTCACATGGTCTGTGAAAGGAGTAAAAGACCCCTTCTTTTGAACCTTTGAAAAACACCCTCTTCTTCATTTGTAGCATTTTCTGGTTCTGTTGCTCGTAATCCTGGTGTTTTGATACTTGTGTTCTGAATGTTGTTGTGGCAATCTTTCCCACTTTGCTTTTGTGGCTTCTGTTACTTGACTCTATGAGAAGCCTTAAATATTTAAAATAAGACCCTTGTGGAAATGTGCAAGAGGATGAGAGACGCGGTTGAGGTGGCTAAGTCACTGCTTATGATCATGTAACTTGTGGAGCTCCTGCTCCTCCACTGGCTGGGTAGTTGGTGGGGAGTAGCAAAATTGAACGTATCTGTACTTTAGGGGCCTTGTTCCTTATGCCTTTCTTATTTTAAACTCAACGAAGCATTGAGAGCTGGCATTGTGTACAGTGAGACAGCATGCATCCCGATACTTGGGCTGCCTCCATTGAAAAGTGCTATGTGTGTGTGTGTGTGTTGAGGTGGTGTATATAATAAGCCCTGTTTTTTGTGGTGGTTTTTGATCTGTGGTGGTGGTTTTCCCATCTTCAAATCATCATCACTTGCTGTTGCAGTTCCTCCCTAGCAGTTATGCATCTGTGAACTCTCCCTTCTGACTGTGATGTGAAGTAGAGAAGAAGAAGAAGAAAAAAACTAGCATCATCTTTACATATCTCATCCCCTCAAAAACAACCAAACAAAATCCTCACACGCACCCTGGTTTCCTTCCTCTTTTGTATTGCGCATTGTAGTTTTGGCATTCTGAAACTGTCCTTTTAATCCTCTCATGTCAACTGTACAAAGGTGAACATTTAAACACTCGCATATACAGAACGAAATGCCTACGGATGTGGAATCATTTTGTTTCTAGGTCGTGTTTCAGGTTTTCCCGCAGACGTTGCAACGTTAGCACGGTGCCCAAACCCTGGTGTCGTGCTCCCAGGGCTGAGATGGTTACAGAAGAGCTGCGTTTGTGTGAACGTGAAGGTGGAACTTTTTATTTTTCTTCAGACTGCCTCTCTTGAGGTTTTGGGTTTTATTTATTCCGCAATTGTAACAAAGCGTGTTTTGCATTGGCCTGCACAATTCCTGGTGTTTTTGTTAAATAAACATCCTGTGCTCGAGTGCAGTCGTCTCCTCGGTAGATTGTCTCCACCAAGAGCTTAGAGAAGTGTTTTATATCGGGTTGCTGTAATTAAGCCTTAATTTCCCAGAGAAGAGACTGTACCATATCCTATTTCTGTATTAATATTTATTAAAACTTATCATTTTTATGGCTGTCTAAATTACTTGGGGGAGCTTTGAAAGGCACTTGATCCTTGAAAGGGGTTTATTCTGTGGTGTTTACATGATCTTCATTGGGTGGTTTGTACATGGCAGAGGGGCAGAAGGGAAAAAAATGTGATAATGTATAGCACAGATGGGGAGTCCTGGGGCCTTCCTGAGGTTCCCCATTCTTCTTTGACTTTTGGCATTGCTCACTTGGGCTTACGGAAGTTGGCATCTAGTAATACTGAAGGACCACAGGTTCCCCATCTGATGCATAACTTCATCACTCTTGAGACCCAAAAGTTTGCACATGTGACTCTTCCTGTGTGAAGTCCCACGTTTGAAATGTGCTCTAGCCTCTGTGCATTGGGTATAGCATGTTAAGGGACTACCTTGCACTAATGGGGTGGCCCAATCCTTCCCTCAACCCACACCTTGGCTCTAGTATTTTGTAATTTTATTTAAAATACCTTTAGCTGTGGAACCATTGTTTCATTATATATCTTGAACTTGGAATGGCAAAACTTCTGTTTTTCAGTTTTGCCACCAGCTAGCTTCTGGCTGAAATACATGCATCAAGTGCCATCTTGTGGCGAAAAGACACAACTGCTGCCTGCTTCCCTTCTCTGCTGAGATGCTCCGTGAAATGCAACTAATTTGCATTAATTTTTCTTAAGTGCCAATTAATTTGTTCACATTATCCCAGTTATTTTACATACTCAAGCTGAACAGTAGTTATAATTGCTTATATATATTTTAAGCATGTTTAAATAAGGTTTTAATGTGTATGAGTTAATCACATTTTAATCCCATGCTTTCCTACCCGGGAGCATAGGGTGGTATAGTGGGGGGGCGGGGCTAGCTCATATTATCTTCATAACAGTTGTGCAGAGAGACAGAGCGATAGAAGTAGAGTCCCGCTGTATCAAACCACAGGCCTTAAGTAGATCCATGTGCAGTCCCCTTCTTGAACCAGGGTTCTGGGGCATAAACTGGATGCATAACTCTAGTGGACCTCCATAGCACAACCCAGTTCCTGCCTAAAGAATGAAACTTGCTATAAGCGCTGAACAATGCTTGCAGCAAGTATGGCAGGGAAAGGTTGCCACACGGGCCAGTGGATGCTTCACCTGACGTTCTGATGCTCTCAGGTGATTGACAGGTGGCTGAATCCAAGAGTCAGAGAACAGGGGGATCTGGCCTGTCAGCTGGATCCAACTCCCCACCTCTTGTTGAAACATGGATGATTTAATATGGGCATGGAGGGAGGTGGGATGTACTTGGGATTAATCTGGATCACGGTGCTTCCAATACCTTAAATGTGGTTTACAGAGTATTGCAGAGTTTTGCAGTTTTGTGCAAGAGCTTGTGGGAAGCAAAGCTTGCATCTGCAGAGGGGCATCCTTTGAATTTAACGGTTCCATCTCCATCCAGAGATTTTGTCTGTTGCCCACCAACAGATCGATTAATTGGCACAACTCAGAAAACTACCTAAGCTCCTCTGGATTTTGAAATGTAGTTCTCAGACCATAACATGGGGGGGGGGGGGATGTGTATGTTTAGTGGGGGAGGGGAGTGTGTGCAAAAATGTGGGTTTTTTTTAGAATAACACATATAAATATGCCCTAGAAAGGTGCACAAATGCTTAAATGAGCATACAGTATTAGGAGAGATGTGCACAAAAGTGGGTGTGAATTTTTCATGCTGATTTTTAATGTCTTGAAAATGGGATGAACCGAAGAGGTATTACAGTTTTTTTGGTAAGGCATTCTCCTTCCTGGCTTGTGCAAAACTATCCCGTGAGTTTTGTAGGACCTTGTTTGAGCCTGAAATGGCTTCATCCAGACCTAATGTTCTTTTCACTATTCCATGAACCTCTTACTGCATTTTGGTCAACAGCAGCTGAATAAAGATAGGAGGACCAACACCCCATAATTCTCGCTGGATCTCTTGTATTTCAAAACACAGGACTGGGAGTCCCAAATATTGGCTGTTTACAACTCTCCCCTACCCCCCACAAATGCCATTACTTGGCTCAACTTCAGAAATTTCCTGGGTTGTTTTGTTTTGTTTCTAAGAGATCCTAGAAAAGCATCGGCTAGCTTTTGAACTCTGTGATTATTTAAAATAGGCCAATTTTGGGTGGGGGTGGGAATCCTTTTGATGTGAGCTATATTGAAGAGTTGGGCTTCAGGCCAGCTGCAGGTTTCAAACAGTTCTTTAAACAGGAGAATTGGGACACTGCTTTTCCTTAACAAGACCTGCAGCGACAAAGCAAAATGTTAAAGAGAGTAGATTTACAGGTACATTCACCCATTCTCTTCTGCCGTGTGCCAGGAACCCTCAAAGAGCGGGGAAGAGGAGGCTAGAGTCTCCCTAAGGTGACTTAGTGCGGCAATGGGTGAAATTTTACCACCATGTTCAAGCATAGGAGCAGCAGGCTGAAGGACCACTGGTGCAACTTCCCACACCCAGCAATAGAGAGCAAATTTTGATTTGTGGGGCAGGAGAAACCTTCCAAACAGCAAGCAAAAATCCTGTGTGGATGGCCTTCAAACCTGCCATTGCCTTTATGCAAAACTGGCGTATTACCAGCTGTGTTTCTATATAAAATGCAACCTAACCTACCTTAAAATTGGGTTTTGCTCCACAAGCTTTTTTTTTTGGGGGGGGGGGAGTCTTGTGGAGTGATGACTGACTTTTCAGGCAGCACCATTTAAACAACCCCCTTGGCCAGACAAGAGACAATTATTTTTGGAAGCTGGCACCTGATAGAGCTTTCCCTAAGGAGTCAGAACTCAACCATCAGTTGCATGAACTTGAAAGAGACTCATTGCTGCAACAGACTTGTACCGTGCTTTGTAGCATTCATTGTTTGGAATTCTGTATAGGTTTGCTTTAAATAAACAGCATTTCCTCCCAAACCAATCCAAAATCCCAAATACCACAAATGCTGTGAACCACCGACTATGCAGAAACTGGCTGTTTATCAATAATCCAAAGAGTCTCAAGTTCATGCAGCTGATTATGCCGTTAGTGTAATACAGAAGCCGTTTGTATATATTTGAGTCTCTCTCTTCATTGTGGTGGATTTTAATCTGCCTGTGGCAGCGAAGAAAATACCGAGCCCGTCTTGCGGCTTAGCGTTTTGGTTTCTGCGGACCCAGTTATGGAAGTATTCCGAGGCTCTGCAGTCATTGGCAGGCCCAGGCTCACTGGGCGCTCTGTGTCCCCTGCTCAATGGACATTGACAGAAACATTTGCTTGCTCTCCGAGTGTCTGGCAGACAGGAGCGCTGGGATGCTAGCCAGCTGGCAGTGATTCTCCTCCTTAAGACTCGAGAAAGTTGGCTAATTAGCCAAAGGAAGGGCTTTGAAGAAGTAGCAAAGGGGAGGGAGGGAGCTTGCTCAAGATGAGGGTAAGGACATGAAGTCGCTTCATGCTGGATCAGACATTTGCTCCACCGGATGCTCTTGTTTGTGGTTGCCCTCTAGGCAGAGGTTGTCATGAGTCCTGCAGAGATGTCCTGGAGAGAAAGGTCAGATCCTGAAGAGGCGTGGGAGGAGATTGTGGAATTTGGGACTGGATAGACATGGAGAAGGTCCTAGAAGGTTGGGGAGGTGAAATCAGGGCTTCAGGAAACTTCAGAGCTGGAGGAGAAAGCCAGTGATCAAAGGGAGGGACCACAAGGTGTTCTGCCCCTGTGTTATTGGACCCCTGCCCCTGGTCAGGCATCTCTTACAGTAGAGGCACTAGCCTTCCCCTTTTGGGGTGGTGACTGGGAGTAAGAAACTGAACTGGTACTGAGGACACCAACAAACTTCACAGGCCCAGCCAACTTAAAGGAGTGCCTGACTGCTTGCCTAGTCCTGCGACCCAAGTCGTTTGCTGTGTGAAGAGCTGTGCCCATCCCATTCTTCGAGAGGAAGAGGAATTGCTGTATCAAATTGCAGCTGCTGCATCTTCTTCGTTTGGCTTTCTTTCCGAACTTGGATCTGTTTTGGTCATCTCTCAGGGAAGAGCCATAGCTCAGTAGTAGAGCATCAGCTCTGCACTCAGAAGGACCCAGGTTCAATTCCTGGCATCTCCAGGTAGGGCTGGGAGAGAACCCAGCCAGAAATCCTGGCGAGCTGCTGCCAGTCAGTGCAGACAATACTGAGCTAGATGGGTCAGTGGTTTGACTCTGAATAAGGCTATGTCTTATGTTCACTCAATCTTTTTCCTTCTTTTTTAATGACAGTTGTGCCTGCCCTATTTTTTGTGTTGACTGCTGCACATCTGTGAAGCAAACTGGAAGCTTACAGTGCATGGATTGGTCCTCAGACACAGTCTCTGCAAATGCAAATGTGGGGAGCCTTTGACCTTCCAAAACTTGCAGTTGGCCATCCTTGCTGGGGTTGATGGGAGTTGTAGTTCAGTAACATCTAGAGGGCTAAAGGTTCCTCACACCTGCTGTCAGGCAAGCTATGAGGGTTGCGTGAGATGATCATTTATGAACCTCTGAGTATACAAGTAATTAAAACCTAGTGTATATTAATGCGCAGAGCGTGTGTCAATTCAATTCATAGCCAATTACACTAGAGCTGAAAGAGTATTAGCCCAAATTGAAAGGGAAATCATTTTATTGAAACAGAAGGCTGAAGATATGCGGTCTTGGTCGTGAAAACAAGAACGGGCCTATAATGAAGTTGCAGCAGTGGTGACTCTCGATGGCCACACATCGAACCTCATTTGTACCTGCTGTGATAATATTGATTTTCCTGCAATTATTTGACAGTCATGCCTTTTTTGTGTAGCTCTTCCATTATTGCATGTTCCTACTGAGAGGGGTGCCTGTTGAACTTGTCTGTGATGCACCTTTTAAAAAGCAGGGGTGCTCTGCCAGGAAAATAGGTTTTCTATTTTTGCATGGTTTGTATAACTTAGGTTTTCCATTCTTTTGTGGCCTGATGTAATCAGGATTGTTTGCCCTTAATGCAGGGATAGCCAAGATAATAATAATAAATATATAATAAATAATAAAGATGATGCTGTCTAGATCTTCTAGGCCTACAGCTGCCACCATCCCTGACCAATGGCTGTGCTGCCATAGCCTCATGGGAGCTGTAGTCCAGCAACATCTGTAGGGTACCTAATTGGCTATCCCTGATTTAATCTGTTAGGAAGCAGGAGGAAGGAACTCACTCAAGTGTGCTGCATGCAGAAAGTGCTAGGTTTATTCCTTGGTGGAGCAGGGACAGCCCTCTGCTAGAAATCAGGGCACACACTTACTAACTGCAGTTGCATCTAGCATACCCTCCAACATTTCTCCGATGAATGGACGTCCCATTCCATAATGATGATTTTACTATTTATACCCCACACATCTTACTGGGTTGCCTCAGCCACTCTGGGCAGCTTCCAACATATATAGCACATATAAAAACATAATAAAACATTAAACATAAAAACCTCCCTATACAGGATTGCCTTCAAACAGCTCGGGGGTCGGATAACTCCTTACCCTCCAATATTTCTCCAATGAAAATAGGGACATCCTAAGGAAAAGTGGGACATTCTGGGATCAAATCAGAAACCAGGATGGCTTCTTCAAATCACAGGCATCCCTGGAAAATCAGGATACCTGGAGGGTCTGGTCTTCATGTCTTGTAAATGTCCATATCACACATCTGAAAAGACCAGCCACCACCTTGGGGGCACCTGGACCTGAAGCTTACCCAGACCACCACACTATGTCTGCATAAGAAGACTAGCAGCTGAATGGGGTAGCCACAGCTTTTGCAATGCATGGGCCCTGGCTATATTGTTCATATATAATGAATAACTAAACTCAGAGGTGGAGTACATGCCTTCTAAGTCAGGCATAGGCAAACTCCGGCCCTCCAGTTGTTTGGGACCACAATTCCCATCACCCCTGACCACTGGTCCTGTTACCTAGGGATGATGGGAATTGTAGTCCCAAACATCTGGAGGGCTGGAGTTTGCCTATGCCTGTTCTAAGCAGAAGGACCAGCATCCATCTAGTCAAGCCTCCTCTAGTGTGGTCCAGAGCTGAAACTGGGACCTTGGGTGATCACGGCACCTCAGGAGAGAGACTGTGCTTAATGAACTGGGTCTCCTTGGTAGTGTCCAGCCCGTGACATCTCCAGTTTTTAAAAGGATCAAGGAAGATCATTCTATCTTATTATGAATCTATGAATTACCTTTTTCATAATGCTCAAGGGGATTTGCAGTCATACAATGAAAACCATTTAAAAATGGCTTAGAAGCAATGCAGAAACAACTAAAGGTGGGTTGGAAAACAATACAAATAAGCACCCAGCCAGATACTTAAATAAATAAATCATTGAGCCAGGAAAGTTTGTCAAAACAAGAATGTCTTCCAATTATTTGCTGTAAGCAGAAGTAGTGGGTACCTGTCCTAGCTCAGCAGGGATGCTGAGGCAGGTAAACTGAAAGCCCTGCTCTGAGTTGCTGTGAAGTGGCCTTCTGGTATTTGAGGGACTGCAAGGAGACAGATACCTGCAGGATGCGTTGGGTGTGTAAGGGGTGAGGCAGTCTCTCATGTAGCAGGTATGTCAAGACTGCTGTTAGTCAGAGTGGATCATACCTTGCTAGATAGACCAACAGCCTGGCTTGGTGTAAGGTGACTTCTCAAATAAATTTTTGACCAAAGTTCCATCTGTATGGAAATTAAAGGTGAGTAAATTGAAGAAGGCAGAAACTACATAAACGTAGATTTACATGTGCAAGGTCTTCTTGTAAATGAGCTGGCAGATGGGAGCCTTAACTTACCCAAATGTATTGCAAAAAGCTACCTTGGGGTTGATGCTCTGTGCCATTTTCTGCTGTTATATATTGCTCTTGCTTTTGGGGGAGAGCATCTGCTCTGCATGCATAAACTCTCAGGTTCAATCCCAGGTGCTGTGCTTGAAAAAATATGGGGGGGGGCACTGTGTTGCGAAATCGCATGAGATCACGGCAACCGAAATGGCCACTATGCTCTTGCGATAGAAAAGCGGGAACATAAAATTTAGAATTGGAACCCGTGGAGGGAAGGAAGGAGGTCTCAAGGTTTGAAAGAACCCCCTTTTTAATGTGTGAAAATGTTGTGTTTATGGTGTACAGTGGTACCTCAGGTTAAGTACTTAATTCGTTCCGGAGGTCCGTACTGTTACGATATAGAAGCAATGCGGCCGCGAGCTGCTAGCTTGAAAACAGCACATGATGGAATGTTAGGACTGTTCCGTGGGAAACAGAGGGACAGTCAATTCACAGGGCAATGCACTGGAATTAGCTCAGAGTGTAATATGAGCTCTTCCTTTTGCTCTTGTACAGGAAGTACAGTTTTTGTTTCACTCTCGACTGCAGGAGTATGAAGAGAGCAGTCATGTTTCTCTGTAACGCTGCAAAGACAGAAATAAAGGCATGTAAATACATTTCTGTCTATCACTTTCCCCTGCCGGGGGGGGGGGCAGGAAAGAGAGGTGTGTTCTTCTCACTCTGAGAAGGATCGCCTATCGCGACCTCTGCCTGGATCCTGCCGGGAAAGCAGACAGGGAGGTCAACAGGAGACCAAGCCGGGTGCCTGGGAGAGTTGCCAGTTTCTCCTGATAAAGGCTTGATTTCCGACTCGTACTTAACCTGAAACTGTTCTTAACCTGAAGCACCACTTTAGCTAATGGGGCCTCCTGCTGCCGCTGCGCCGCCGGAGCACAATTTCTGTTCTCATCCTGAAGCAAAGTTCTTAACCTGAAGCACTATTTCTGGGTTACTGGAGTCTGTAACCTGAAGCGTATGTAACCTGAAGTGTATGTAACCTGAGGTACCACTGTATAACCTTTATGCAAAACTAATAAAAAATATAATAATAATAATAATAATAATAATAATAATAATAATAATTAATATGACAAGGGGGAACATGGTGTCTCAGATTTTGGCTTCAGAGTGTTGGAACCTATGCCATTGGACATGATGGCTGGGGCTGGTGGGAGTTGTAGTCCAAAATATCTGGAGGGCTCAAGGTTGGGGAAAGCTGATCCAGTTCATTTATTTGCAGCAGGGATAATGAGTCTTTTTTTCACATTCCTTTCTGGGGCCATGTGCTGCTGGTGGGTGAGACCAGAGGCAACAGTGGGTGGAGCAATGAATGTAAAGCTCATCTCTGTGCAGTGGTGGAGTGTCTACATACATTCGCATACCCCTTTCAAGGGCCAGCCCACCCAGGAGGCAATGTGGGGTGACTGCCTCAGGCAGCAGGATCCGCAGGGGCAGCAGATCCTGATGTAGATTGTTATTCTTCCCATGGTTCCTGGTGTAGATCTTCATTCACCCCTCCTTCCCTGGTGGGAAGGGAGACACCATTTTGTGGTTTACTTCAGGTGCCAAAATGTCTTGGGCCAACCCTTCCTCTCTCCATCCTCCATCCAGGTGAGAAAGAGGCATTATCAAAGTTGTGAGTGCCTCACAAATGCACTCATGGAGGATGTGAAGTGAGGCCAGTAAGAAAGGTAAGAAGGGTGGTCCTGGAGTGAATCTCAAAGGCCTAATAGAGAGACCTGAAGAGATTCATTTGGCCCCTGAGCCTGAGATTCCCCATCCCTTGTGTAAAGTAACTAACAGGGACTCTGCACAGTTTCAGGCAGCTTTTCTTGGAGACACTAGGTATTGAACCTGGGATCTTCTGCATGCAAAGCAGATGCTCTGCCACTGAGCTACAGCCCTCCCCCATCTCCATTTGAAGCACTGGCTTTAGCTGTAGAAAAGACACTTATGCTGGCTATTTGGACTCACCATGCCTATCATCGACTGGATTCTCTGTGCTGTTTTGATCTCATGCCTATGGAAGCAATTTGCAAAGGTACTTCTATTCCCAGCTCTCAATTACAATAAATTAGTGAATAAGTGGCGCATAATGCTGCATTTAAATGTATAATGATATGGGCAGCAGCAGCTATTAATCAATGCAGAGCAATATGCCCAAAGGTGGATAAACTCTTCCTCCCTACCCCCTTCTTGCAAGCCAGGTGATGATCTCTCAAGGACGGCGAAGCCAAGCAGCTGTTGTACATGTAAATGAACTCGCATGTCATATGGGTGCTACCCATAATACTCTTCTCCAGGCCACATTATCGCATCCATATCGGTTCTTCCACGCTTTCTTTTCTCCCTGAATAATCAAGATGCAGGAATTGGTAATTGATTGCCTTCAAAAGGCAGATCCCTTGGAGTGAGTTATTCCCTCAGAGTCTTCCACCCAACTCACGTTAGTAGATTTGCATAACTCCGTTCTTGTACAGCAGTTGTGGTGAGAGGCTGGACTAGTGAATGGTAGCAAGACTAGGAAAGACGACAGCAATGGGATTATTTATTTATTCACATGTATTAGTTGCTTCCCTGCTTCCCCCTTCTAAAAAAAGTCACCTAAATTGACTTACAAAACTTTTAAACTAAATATAAAAACCAAAACAAAATGAGAACCCAAAAATAGATCATTACATGCATGAAAATGTGGGGCAATATGAATTCAAGTTCTTGCAAGCAATGTTGGAAGGAATTGCTTGAGAATGCAGGTACAGAAAATGGAAAAAGAAAAGAAATGTAGTTGCATATTTTTAACTTTACATCCTGCCCTTTGTCAGGAGACCACGGGGCAGTTTACAATATAGACCATAATAAACAATGTGACATAATTATGTAATGCAATGCAAAGAACAGCAAAATAATTATATGGATATGATTCAAAAAAATAAGCCATACATAATAATAGATAAAACATAATGGTACATCTTCTATAATGAGCAATACATGCTGAGCCACATATCAAACCATGCACATTGTCAACCCAGCAATAACCTCCACAACTCAAACCCTTCTGAAATACAGAGCCTCATAATGCATTGCCTACCCATCTCAAGCACAGCTATAAAACATAATACATATCTGAAAACAAGAGCCTTCTGAAGAAAGAGAGAGGTGCAAAATCAGCAGCGGTGTGCCTGAAGGGCAGGAATGGTGTACACAAATTTGTACAAAACTAGTTTTTCCTAAGTTTCAGCCAACATCTACACTTAAGCCCGTTAGGTCTAATCCTGTTCTAAGGGAGGGGGAGAGGAAAAGTGAAGCCAAACATTGCGGCTTCCCTAACAGATATTTGCACTAGAGAAATCCTGGCTCTCACTCATGTTTGCCCAGAGGTTCCGCTGGCTTCAGTGTGTTCCGTCATAAATGTGCTTAGAATTGCAGCCTTGGCCATTGTGCTGTATCCGCTTTCAAGATGTGCATAAGGATGCTAAGGGGAAAAAATAAGTGAGATGCTGAGTACAGTTTTAGCCCAGTTTAGAACTCTGATGGAACATCTGCACTCTCTGGCTGGGACTGTCTCAGCAGCAGAGTGAGATGGTAGAGTCTTCAGTTTGTACAGCAGGCTGTACCATTTCAGACTGCAAGTAGGGAAATACTATTTTTTTTAATGTTCCACATCAGGTTGTGGTGGGGAGCATTTCAGGAAGGATGTGCTAATCTCTAATGTGTTACTTTTCTACCTCCATTGAGTTGTTGTTGTTGTTGTTGTTGTTGTTGTTGTTGTTATTCAGCATTCGGAAATGGTGCCACTACCACCCCCTGCCGTCTTAAAGTGGTACAGCCTCCTCTCCAGCCCCAGCACTCTACCACATTGTTCTTCAGCACATCTAAATCTGGACTGTGATGGAATTTCAAGGCAGAGCGCATCAGGTGCAGAGGAATGAAACCATTACGCGGGGGAAGGGGAGGCGGAAGCCACCCTCGGTTCAAAGTAAAGAGAACTATGATAAATAGATCTGTGCATATTTCTTTACCCTCATTCCTCACTTGCCAAGTCGGATGCTATTTTCATTAGGTCATGTTACCCAGCCGTGTCATTTTATGCCAAGCTGCCGTATATCACGACTGGGAGGTAGAGGTGCTTGTAGTCGGACACGAATGAGCTTGTAATGGTCCATCTGCTTTGATTTTATTTAGTGATCCCTCAAGGGCTGGGAGCTGGAGTGAGAATAACAATGCTGCAGCCCATCTGCTATTGTAGTATCAGCCCCAGTTTGAATTATCACATGTTCTGAGTGGCTGGCATATGCTGTCACATAAAGCTACAAGGAAGTGTTGCTCTCCAGCTGTTGTGTTGACATACTTTTGAGCCAGCCATTAACTTCAGCTCAATAACCGGGCTGATGGGGCGGGGGAGGAACAAAGGGGGAACCGCCACTAAAAGTTGGTTATTATTTCTTAAGTATTGCAATGCTAGGCGTCACTGTTTCGAGAACTAACGACTGTGTGGTTTCTCTTGTTTCTAACATAACGGATGGTGTCAAACAGATGAATGAATGAAAAGGATGGGCCACCTGGTTCCACCAGCTGCAGGTGTGCTGATCGAGGCGATCACCTTCCTGTGAATGAGGTGTTGGAAAATGGGCGGTGCTTTCAACAGCCAATGGTTGAGGTCCAAGGTTTGCATCTCCAGTTCCATGTATTTGGTCAAGGTCTGGAGGAAGAGGAGGAGGAGATTGCATTGGCTGGGCCCTGCTCCAAATGTCCTGCTCCTCTACTGAATGCTTGGAGCTGAAGGCATGACTTGAGATGGCCTGTATTCCACATTGGGAGCTGTGTGAGTTCATGGTCCCTGATAGTGAGATTGTGCCTGATGCATAGAGACTGGGAACAGAGCCCGTTTGTGGGATCCTACACCTCCTAGTGCAAGAGTCGCCAACCTTTTGGAGGCCAATGGACACATTTGCAAACAGAAGAAACTGGCTGCTCACTGCAGCCAAGCACACCTGTTCAATTGGCTACAATAGAAAACTTCCCTTAAACCTGTAACTGGCCACCTATAGTTGCCTCTAGGAGAGTTGCTTCTAGGAGAATATCTTCTAAAGGAAGAATACATGCTCAACTGATTTTCCTCTTCATTCATATTCTGCCTTTCCAAACTAGGCTCAAAGTAGCTCACAAAAGCATTAAGCAAATCAGCACTCAGGTGTATGAGTGGACCCCTGCAAAGTGAATGGACTGGAAATGGAGTGTTCCATCCTCTCCTCCTCACTTTGAAGATGGGCATTTTGCTAGTAAGATGTTGGTATGAGCTCTGGGGCTTAACATCTTTGGAAACCCTATAAAAGGTGCTGAAACACTGAACCAGGTGGCCTTCTGGCCCGCTCCAGTCTCCCAACTTTGGGACTAGTGTCTTCTTGGAGGTTGTCTTGCAACAGTCCAGGAATAAACAAATGTACACAAAGATACCAGTTTTGAAACAAATGACTTAAGTCACTTTGACTATTTAGCACTTACCCTGATTTGCTTGTGAAAAGATTACACAAAGTTGCACCCATCAATTTTCATCCCACATTGCCCAGTGCATTTCGCCATCACTTTTGTGACTGCAAAAACTCAGATTATTTTTGGAAGTGGGTTTTGTTGCCCTGAATTTCCCCGTTGAGCATTGGATTCCACCTTCAAAAAAAGTAACAGTCTGAAAGTGCCCTTAAAGTAGTTTCCTAAACACCTCTACTAGTGATGTGCTTGCTGCTAGCGACATGCTTTTCCTTCTTTAAGCCCAAGAGTTCTCAGTTGCAGGCCTCGCAGCCAACCAGCCATTTGTTACTTTACTTATTTATCTGCATCTATTGGCATGTCAAGATGCGACGCTCTTGCTACATGTGGGCCAAGCCTTTGAATCCTTAAATATGACTTATAATTGCGTTTGCGCTGCAAGACAATGGAGACGAGTTCATGTTGGCGTGTTGCAATTTGAGAGGTTTATGTTTCTTATTGTGTCCCAAGACCTGTGGGTACCAGCTGCCTTTGGGGCTGTTCCCGTATTCTGATCCCCTGGCTAGCATATGAATTGTTGATTAGATTCTCTTTGATTCAGTTGATTACCATGAATAATAGGGCAAGAAATGCTGTCAGCATTTTGACTTTAACTATAACTGTTACAATTAATTATGGGTTTAATTAGCATGCATGTCTGGCAGCAGCGAATATAACACTTCATAGTTAACAGATGACCCTGCAGCTGTACCAGCATGTATGATAGGGGCCCCCAGGACAGACAGAAAGAGTTATTAATAAATGGCTCCTATTGTTTGACGTCCTTATTTATACAAATTAGCAGGCACTACATAATCAACTTAAACTGTATAATTTATAATAATTGATTTCATTTTGACTGACCACCGGTCAGTCTCTGGAAGAAAAATGGCCCTATTAGGATAAGTTTAATCCTAAACATAGCTAATGAATCCTATTACTTTAAGGTCATATTTGAAGCTTTTGTTAATTGTCAGAACCATTTTAAATTGATTAGAGTTAAATTAAATCAATGTAATGTTTAGAAAAAACAATATTTCTAATGGATGAGGCCGAGCTGACCTCGAATAAACATATATATCAACCGATTTCAGCGAATGAGAAGGCTAACAGCTGGGCTCATAATTCACAATTGTCTATAATATGGGAAATGTCACTATCTCGGCAATTAATTATGTCAGGTTATAAATCTGTTGCTTACCGTTAACCATTTGCCAGTTGGGAAGGTTGACAGTCCTTGTAGCAAACGGATGATGTGTTATGACCCACCCCTTGCTCAAACTTTACTCAAGAGAAATTTAAAGCACAGGGGTTTTGTTTTGTTTTGTTTTTATAGAGCAAAGCCCCGCACTCCGCAATCTATTTTCCTGAAACATATTTCCCAAGCCAATAAGCAGCAGAATAATGCAAGCCTGAGTACCATGTCATCAACTGTGGTCTTCCATGGTCTGAGAACCCAGCAGGTATCAGAGCATAGGAATCTGCCTTATGCTGAGCCAGACCATTGCTCCATCTAGCTCAGTATTGTCTATGCTGACTGGCAGTGGCTCTCCAGGATTTCAGATACCTGGCCCTATCTGGAGATGCCAGGGATTGAACCTGGGACCTTCTGCATGCAAAGCAGATGCTCTACCATTGAGCCATGGCTCTTTTTAAGTGGTGAAGGCAGCAAAGCTTCTCTAAGGGCCAGCCAAAGACATTGTGCCACTGGAGGTGAAGGACAGAGGCGCCATCTTCTCGGGATGATTGAGGGGGCCCAATGCGGCATCCTGATGTTGTGCACGGAATGTCATGAGGAACCAGGGGCCAGAGCCAAATGCCCTCTGAACATTGAGGGGGCCAGCATTGGGAGGGGGGCACAAAAGTGCCTTGGCCCTTAGGAGTTGGCACCTATGGTGAAGGACAAGGTGCACCTCCCTTTTTTCCATGCATAGAAGCTGAGTAGACGGGCAGTTGAACGTAACATCAACACTGTTAATGGGCCAAGGTCCTCCACCATACCTGAGGGCAGCAGACTACTTTAAGGGGTGAAAGGCAGGCTGTGTGGCCATTCTCAAATTGTGCAGAATGGACCTCCTGAAAATATGGGAATTGCCAGATGCACTCTCCTGCGATTAGTTGCTTTATCTGGGGGGATGTGGAACTCTGTTAGGTATCCTGGTCCCAAACTGTGTTGAGCTTTGTACACCAATACCAGAACCTTGAACTGAGCCCAGTACAAGGCAACTTGAAAATACCCTGGTGCTAGCCTCTTTTACGTTGAAACTTCCTGCAATGGGCTCCAACTTCTTTAAAATGTCTGTGTCTTTCTGAACCCCCGCAGCCCCTTTAATCCCCACAACCCAACCTGCAAAGAATCCACCAAACTCATCAAAAGTGTTGCTCAAGTTGTAGCTATCATAAGTCAAACACCTCACGTTCCAGAAACTGATGTTTTTTTTTAAAAAAACACACAAATGCCTCTCCTCTTCAAGATCTCAGATACGTTATTACAGTACTGGTCTCATACACAACAGTCTTGCATGTCAATCCACCCCCACTTTAACCTTACTAGAGTGGTCCTTGTGTTAATTATAATAACTCCACACCACGATATTAAAGTGTTCGATTCTCAAACATATTCTTATTTATTTTAGGCCTCTTGTTTTTTTCTCCCTCTCCCAGGTAATGAAATGTCAGAACCCTACTTTTTCTGGTTTTGTAGTATGTTGATCAAAGTGACCTTTGCTTGGCAAGCAGACACAAATCAATATCACGCGCCCGCAACGTTTGACAGAGAAAGGTGCAACATATAATAAATGACAATCACTGACGAGGGGAGCAAGAAAATACCTGCCAACTTCAGTTCATACCGGCAATTTTCAGACAATGCCGCATGTTATGTTCAAAGCGAAATTCATTTGTCCATCTAATAACAGAGATGGGGAGATATTAAAGGCCTCGGTTTTGTTAAAGAAATGTTTCATCTCACGGTAATAATTCAGGGACCAGCCAGGGTCTGAGTCACTGACGTGCAGGTAAAGTTATTACGTTTTGAAAAGCAGTGGAGAGTAGCAATTTTCCTCCGGGTAAAGGGAAAGCAAACTTTTGTTCGGAGAACCAAATTCAACAGACAGTTCCCAGACCATTTGTGCCCCTGCTCCCCCATCTGCACAAACAGGCCAGTAAAGTCCTACTCAAATTACAATCCTAACCAAGTCTACTCAGAAGTAAGTCCCATTGAATTAAATTGGGTTTATTACCAGGTAGGTGGAATTACAACTGCAGGCTAAATGTATGCCCCACCCCCTCCAGATGTCCATTTTATTATGTATTCATGGTGATTTTTGTTCATGATGATAAGGGTAATTTTTAAAATGTTTACAAATTCAATATAGAAGTGGCACAACTTATTTATTTTTGCATGGAATTAGAAACTGAGTTGTAAAGGTAATGAGCCTCTGCCTCTGCTGCCACCCTCTTGTGTTTGGGATGAGGTGCTACTCCTTTTTTTTTTCTTCCTTTCCCCCCCTTTCCTCCCCAATCAGCTATAGCTACAGCTAAATCTAAGGTACCTGAATTATTTTCTGTGGGACAGCTTGATTGTAAACAAAAACAAAAAAAATGTTTGCAAAGAGAATGAAACAATCAATTATCAGTAAAAAAAAAACCAAACAAAAAACCCAGTTTAAAACAACTATTTAAAACATTTTTTGCACCACTGGTCGGAGTGGGTGCAAAAACTAACGGGATATGCAGAATTAGACAAATTAACAGAAAGAATGAGGGACAGGTCAAATCAAACCTTTACTACAAAATGGGATGTATTTAAGAGATACAGTAACAGTATGAAATCCGTGACAGCTTTTGAATAGCTTCCATATTACATGGATTAAGTGATGAAGATAAACTATTAACAATATTTTACCTCTGATGACCAATATGATTGTGCACTATGTAAATACTTGTTTAAACCATGTATGGAGAAGACTGGAAGTTGGTTCGATGCTTAGAAGACCTAGCTTAACATGTATTAGACAGTGACAAACTTTTATGTTATTTATGTTATTTGATTTTGTGTTTGTCTTTATAGGTTCAATAAAGCATTGGAAAAAAAACCCATTTTTTAAAAAATGGGGGGGGGGGTAACCCAGCAATAAACTAAAAACAGATGAAATACACACCAACCTTCTATATGTCTGGGTAGGCTTGTCTAAAGGTGCACCTGTCTGATTTCAATAGGCAGGGAGTTCCAAAGTGTAGATGCTGCCATACTAAAAGACTGATGTCTTATGAATGTGGGATGCATATTATATGTAGCACCCATCTCTGTTTCACAGATTGAAGTGGTTGAGTAGAGTAAGGTGATCTTGCAGGTGAACTGAGTGAGGGACCAGGTCTGCTTTAGGATGCTCTTGTCATCCGCAGTGAAATACTCCGGTAGTGCTTGTCAACTTGAGATGTGTCATTTATGCACAACTGGCAACTTATTCACATGATTTTTGGGTGTCCAGAATCTACAGCTGCTCTACTCTGATCACGTAGGTTAGTTTATGTAAAGTCCATTAGGGCCACCTTGATGTAGGGCAGTTTTAAAAACCAAAGCAACACACAGCCCTGTCTCCTTCTCCCAAACATCTGCTCGACTGATAGACAGTGCAGAGCGCATCTTGTTCTACCTGAGATCACCTGGGGTGTGCACCACAGCTTGCACAGCATATGGCTGTGCTTATGACATCAATAGCAGAGACTGAATAATGCAATTCTTTTCCGCAGTCATCTTTTATTACTATCATAGGTCCGTCTAGCTCTCTTTGTTTCTCTCGGCCTCCTGTAGATCCCACCCCTCCCCCCCGCCCTTATTAATTATATTGACAGCATGATTGAATTAGCCAGTGGGCTTTGCCAAGAGATACCAGATTGCTAGCAGTTAAGGGCCTTTTTCACAAGAGATGATAACTTCCTGTTGTTGTTTTTTAGACTTTCCCCCATCTCTGTAAATCTAAAGAGCCACATGGTTCAAAAACAATGCACATTTCTTTATGCTGCCCTGTGCTGCAAAACCACAAAGTTGTGTCTGGGTAGCCCACATTCTTCTTCCTTGTGTACATTATGCAAACGAAGGATATCTGCCTCTAACTTCTCTCTCTCTCTCATTTTGCACAACTTATACTCCAGTTTTGATTAGGCTGCACGATTTTTGACTAATTGTGCTAGTGAAGAAGATTGGTAAGAAGCTATATCCACCACTGAATCCCTGCCCTTTGATCAATTCATATCACCATTAGCAGGCATTAACCACATGCTTCCAAGTACATCTCTGCAATCATAAGGACTAGGAGCTTACCATTTTAAAAGAAAAGAGAGCTGACATTTTTAGGTAATTCTGCAGCTAATGCCGCTACAGCTTTTCTCTGTGTGCGTTTTACATTTCAGTTTCCCTCTCCTTATCTAAAGCCAAGATGGGGAAGCCTGTGGCCTTTCAGATGTTGGGATCCAACCCCCATCAGCCCCTGCCAGCATGGCCAATGGCCAGGGATGATAGTAGTTGTAGTCCAGCAACTTCTACTTTGCTGCTCCTGGTCTAAAGCAGGCTCTCTATTCCATTTATGTGCTTGAAAGAACTTCAAAGGCTGTTTCCAAGTGAATTTGTTTCCTGGGATCCTGATCTATTCTTTCTGAAGAAAGTGGTTAGACTTAAAAAGAAAATGTCACGGGGGCTGGAGATGTGTCATCAGGAAAACATGAAAAGAGCAGGTGGGCCGCAGGAAGAGGCAGAGAAGACGCTCTTTCTCAGAGCCTTCATTGACCAAGGAACTAGAGGTAAAATGACTCCATGGCTGAGGATGGAACTCATTCCGTCTGTGCACAGGTGTTTTGCTTTATTTCATTAGAGGTAATATTGTCTTTGGAAATATCAGAGCCATTCTGTTAGAAATTATGGAGAGAATTAATTTTGGAAGCCAAGATGGAAAGAATAAAAATAATAAGAGTAATAAAAATAGGGCAGGAGGTGGGCAAGAGGATTTGAATTACTGAGCTGGTGCATTAGTAACGTCACTGAGATTTGCCTCTATTTTGATGCCTCCCGCATCTTTGTGCATCTGAATGTCTTTAAAAACAGCTTGCTTGATATCAATTATCCTGATGTCAAATCAATTGTTTATGACACTCTCATGTCCGGAGGGTGGGTTTCATTTCTCCATGCTGGGATGATGGATTGTGACTTTAAAAAAGAAGAAGAAAAGGCTTATTTTAATTGGGACTACTGATCATAAATGCCGCTGTTTTGCCATTTTCTCTTATGCGCCTTTTTTAAAAAAAGTTTGTTTTAGACTTTTAGATTGCAAACTTCCTGATGGCGGAAAGGTGCTGTGAATTAATGCAGCAAAACATCAGCGAGTCTATAAGAACATAAGAAGATTCTAGGCCAATTGGCCGAAATATTGGGAAATTTTGGAACAAGATGGAGATAGACTGAAACTGCAGAGTTTTGAGAAACTAAAAAATAAAGTGCGAGATTGGCTTCATTATTATCAGATAATGGAGGCATATAATTTGGACAAGAAAATTGGCTTCCAGGTGGAAAAATCAAAATTAGAAACAGAACTGTTAGAACCCAAAACTATGAATTTGTCAAGAATGTATAACTTGCTGTTGAAATGGAA